GAGAAATCATCGTTTCGTACCGAGAAATCATCGTTTCGTACCGGGAAATCAAAAAAAAAGAGGAAAAAGAGAGGAAAAAAAAGAGAGGAAAAAGAGAGGAATAAAAGAGAGGAAAAAAAGATAGTAAAAAGAGAGGAAAAAGAAAAAAAAGAGAGGAAAAAGAGAGGAAAAAGAGAGGAAAAAGAGAGGAAAAAGAAAAAAAAGAGAGGAAAAAGAAAAAAAAGATAGTAAAAAGAGAGGAAAAAGAGAGGAAAAAGAGAGGAAAAAAAAAGGAATAAAAGAGAGGAAGAAGAGAGGAAAAAGAAAAAAAAGATAGTAAAAAGAGAGGAAAAAGAGAGGAAAAAGAGAGGAAAAAGAAAAAAAAGATAGTAAAAAGAGAGGAAAAAGAGAGGAAAAAGAAAAAAGATAGTAAAAAGAGAGGAAAAAGAAAAAAAAAGAGAGGAAAAAGAGAGGAAAAAGAGATGGTCTTACCAGAGAAGAATAGAAAAAGATAGGAAAAAGAGAGGAAAAAGAGATGGTCTTACCAGAGAAGAATTATCGTGATGATCTTACCATTCTTATCGTTGTTACTAGGATCTTATCGTTGTTTCCAGGTCTCTATCATGGTTTCGTAGAAGGTTAGTCAACGAATGGCGATTGGTTTGAATACCCTCAATTTATTGCAACGATCCCAACCTTCTGAACTTCCTATTACTTTTTGTAAGGAATTACATCAGTTTCGCAGTGTTCATCAAGTTTCATGCACAACACGATTGGCCTGTATTCCAAGCAGTTTGGGACCACGTGGATGTATTTTGAGACCAGCACTTTTTGAAGAACAATCCAGTGCAGATGCACCATTACTTCTTTCACTTCCATTTTTATTACATTGCAAAGCAACATTGTGTTTGGATGAGCAGTGTGGATTGAGGTTGGTTTCACAACATCTGGATTTCAGTGTACCATGCCATTTGGGTCCTACTGGAGCTTTGAGGATTCCTATTCAACAATTTACAAGCGATATGATTTTATTTTTATCACAACGTATTCCAAAGACATCGGATGAGTACGAACTCTTGCAAACTCATCACGTTGGTGGACACCTTGATGAGCATGAACATGCCGGCAGTGTCTCCAGCTCTCAATTCGAGAAGACTCCGGCCCGTGGAGCAAGCCCCTGCGTACCTCTCAATCATGCATGGCACGCGGGTGAAGCGCGGCCGAACCGAGGTGGACAGTCGTCCAACTCTTCAGGCCTGGTTGCGCCTGGTCCTGAAGACCATCATGATCATGAACAAGGCCATCTGCCACAAGGTCCACATGAAACTCAAGGTGCCGGGCCCCTATGGCCTGATGACCCGGCAGATTCAGGAGATGGCAGAGATCTTGGACGACAAGCAGCTGGAGAAGGCGATGTTGACCCTCACCGAAGAATGGCACAATCGAGAAGCCATGAAACGGTTGAGCAGTTCCAGGTCTCCAACGCCTTCAGGTTGGTCCCGGGTGACCGAGAGGGATCCTCCACGGACTCCAACAAGACCTACCAGAGCGGAGACATCTACGTATGCACAGATTCCGGCGACACCGGAAAGTCATCAAGCCAGCATGTGGGACATCCCGAAGGACTTCGATGTGAACAAGGAGACACCCCTGTGCTCATGCAACAGGCCTTGCATTCTGTGGGTTTCGAAGACCGAGAAGAACCCGGATCGACTTTTCTGGAGATGCAGTCTGCCACGAACCCAGCAATGTGCATTCTTTCGATGGCTGACCTATCAACCTCTACGTCCTCCAGTTCCGGACTCCACCGAGGAGTACATGCGCAAAAGGTTGCAGGAGATGTGTCCTCACAAGAACTTGACACGCGATGGAACCAACGGGTATGTCCTGAAGGAGACTTGCAAGGACTGCGGAAAGATTCTTCGCCACGAGCAGAAGCCCTTGGCCAACTACACCAAGAAGGCAGCGAACCGCCGCTCCAGCAGTCCATCCCGATCTTCGATGACAGCCGAGTCGGCCATTCCACCAATGCCGACACAGGGAGGCCAGAGCAGCCATCAACGACAAGCTGCCCGCGAAGAGTACCAGGAGTTCCTGAACTGGCGTCGCATGAAGGAGGTGAACGAGGACAGTTCGTCGAGCCCGACATTTCGACCTCAGGGCAGGCATTGAGAGCCGGGTTACGACGTCATATTTATGGCTGCCTCAAACGTTCTGAGAACTGTTGGTTGGAAATCCACAGACTATTTTGTGAAACTCCTGAAATTGATGATGATTTTCAATTGCAAACAACATGCAAAGTGATGCGTACCATATTTCAGAACAAGCAGCCTGGCATGAAACATTTATCTGAGATGTACTTGCTGCAGCCAAAACAGCTGAAGACCGTGGCTGAAGTTTGCAATCCTAGCAGGTTTGGACCCAGCACTGACCATTTTGGATTACGGGCTGGACAGGCTTTTGACCTTGAGCTGGGTTGGGATCTTTTGGATATCAGGCATCAAAGAACCGTCATTTCATATTTGAAAACGGAAAGACCTGGTCTTGTGGTAATTTCTCCTCCCTGTACCAAATTTAGCAGACTTCTGAATTTGTGCTGGCCGAAATGGCAATCCAATCCTCAGAAGTTCGATGAGCACATCCGGGAACTTCGGAAAGCCCGGAAATTACTGAAGTTTTGTGCTGATTTGTGTTTACTGTGCAATAGTCTGGGCTTGAGTGTCGTTTTTGAACATCCATGGTCAGCCAGTTCATGGGAAGAGACATGTTTACAACAGGTTTACAATCATCAAGATTTTCATTTGGCTCGATTAGATCAATGCATGTTTGGTCTTACTACTGATCAAGGTGGATTCATGAGAAAACGTTCTGGATTTTTGACAAGCAATTTGACCATTGCCCAACACCTCAATTCGACGTGCGACCGCTCGCACCAACACGAGCTTGTCATGGGGCGCGATCGTGGCTCACCAATGAATCGATCTCGACTGGCTCAGAAGTATCCTCAAGGCCTTGTGAATGCCATCTTGCTTGCCTATGCCACCTCCATCGGCATTGCCCACAACTTGCTCTACATGATTGAAGGCTTCAAGATGCTACAGTCTGATGCCGCTTTTGAGAATAACTTGGTGATTGGTGGATTGGTCCAACAACCTGAGGAGATCTATAACCTGACCAACAACCATGTCACGGAGATCTACCCCTTGGACGAAGCAATGGAACCCAAGGAGAACTTCCCAGGCACTCATCCACTATCACTAGAAGCCCTTGTGAAGCGTGCACATGATGGTCTGGGCCATCCAGGCAAGGAGAGATTTCTCCGTATCCTCGCCAACAGCAAGGCCAGCTCCAAGGTGATGGAGATTGCCAAGTCACTGAAGTGCTCGGTGTGTGAAAAGTTTCGACTTCCTCGGCCATCGAGGGCGGCGGCACCCCCAAAGGAGATTGGGTTGAACGAAGTGGTGGGGATTGACACCATCCAATTGAGAGCACCTTTCTCCAACAAGACCAAGTACTGCATCAACATCGTTGACTACAGCAGTCATGTCCAGTTGATTGTTCCATTGACGGGACATACCGCCGAAGCTACCCGAGCTGGATATCGACTTTGGCTGAAGATTTTTGGAGCTCCTCGCAAACTTCTCTGTGATTTTTGGAGCTCCTCGCCAACTTTTCAAGGACGTCTTTTACAAGACGATTGAACAAACGAAATGTTCCACCTGGGATGAATGGTATCAGACTATTGACTTGGCATGCAGCACCAAGAACAGATTATCCACTCGCGGTGGCTACTCTCCGGCTCAACGAGTCTTTGGATACCAACAACGTATCCCCGGTGGATTGATGTCTGATGGTGAAGGTGATCTTGCAGTACAAAGCTTGGCAGCCGCAGGTGACACTGATGTCGCCAGGGCAATGATGATTCGAAAAGCGGCCTCTCAGGCCTTTCATGAAGTTGACTGCCAACAAGCAGTCCGGGCGGCAGCTACTCATGGTCCTCGACCTCATTTTGCCTATGAGACTGGTCAAGCTGTGTACTTTTGGCGAAGAGGCACCGATGCAGCCAGAAAGCCAGCCATTTACTTCTGGCATGGTCCTGCTAGAGTAGTTGCAACACAGCTGCCATCTACTGTGTGGCTTTCCTACAACCACCATTTGGTTAAGGCATCACCAGAAAAACTTCGCCCAGCGTCTGAGGAGGAGTTCTACTCTATCTCTGGATGGCTTGAAGGTATTTCAAATGCCAAGAAACAGTTTGAGACTGACAAGGTCAAGGGCATGATTGATCTCTCTCAGGAGAATGATGATCTACCTCCCACAGAACCACAAGACTCTTGGCGTCGGGAAGGCAACTTTTGGATTCGGGTTCATGAACTCCCACGGCGAGAACTATTTCGCCCTGATCATGACCTCTCCAAACTACCAGTTCACTTGGATCAATTGCTGCCGTGGAGGAAAACAATCATGTCAATTACTGGTGGCGATCAAGAGATCCTCGAAGATGAATGGACCCATGGACAGGACTTCCCTAGCCATGGACATGAGTGGATTGGAGAGACATGGTTTGAAGAAAAGCCACCTCCTGAACCCCGAGAACAACTCAAGCGACCAGCAGATCCGCTGGTACCTAGGGCCCGAATCACTCAGAAAGCCAGGATTGATCCAGAGCAGATGATTCCACTATCACAAGCTCCTATGGCCAAGCCCGAGCAACCTGCAGTGGTAATCCCTTCGCCGAGAGTGCCAGAGATTGAGGCCCCACCGGGACTTCCTGCTCCCGAACCTGAACTACCAGCTCCCCATGAACCAGAAGCGCCAGAATCGACATCATTGACCCCGATGGATGCTTCTGATGAAGGATCTGCTCCTGATGATCGCAAACGGGTTTTTGATGAAGTTCTTCAACCAGAAGGTGCTTGGGAGGAGCTGCCAGCCTCCAAGCGCACCAGACTTGAGTTGCTGGAGATGTATTTCACAACTATCTCCAACAAATCGGCCACTAGACAAAGAAAGGGAAAAGAAGCGACAGCCAAAGACTTCCAAGGCCGAGACCGAGAACGACTCATGCGAGCCATTCAGAAGGAGTTCAACAACAATCTGGCGACAGGTGCCTATGAACTCCTTTCCCCACAGGAATCAGCACGAGTGAGAGCACAAAACCCGGAAAAGATCATGGAGTCCCGCTATGTCCTCACAAAGAAGCCCATTGAAGATTTTGCCCTTGAAGATGCCATCTCAGCTGATGAGGTGCTGGATTCATCTGAGCCAGACCAACCTGCGAAGGCGAAGTGCCGCCATGTTATGCAAGGCTATTCAGAGGCGGCACTCCTTGACTTGGAGACGAGCACTCCTCAGGTGCATCGAGACTCTGTCATTTTTGCTGCTCAAGTCATGGCCAGTATGCGTTGGATTCCTGGTTTTGCAGATTTTACCCAGGCATTTCATTCTGGTGATCCGATTGATCGGGAGCTTTATGCGGAACAACCAGCAGAAGGACTTCCCAATGCCGAACGAGGCCAGCTCCTTCGATTGAAAAAGACATGTTATGGACTCACTGATGGTCCATATGCCTGGTTCAAACATATTGTGAATTTTATTTGCAACGAACTGGGTTACCGGCAATCAGTAGTTGACCCATGTCTTTTCTTTTTGGATTCACCGGCTGATTCAGATGGACATTCTCAGATTGAGGGTATTATAGCTTTGGCAACTGATGATCTATTCCATGGTGGTACCCCTCGACATGCAATGCTGATGGAAAAGGTTAAGCAACATTACAAGTTGGGTAAGTTTACATGGCGAGAAGGACGTTTTGTCGGCAAACAAGTCAGTCTTCTTCCGGATGGTTCCATTACTTTGGATCAGCAATTTTATACTGAAGCACGAGTTGCCCCTATTCAGATCTCCAGAGATCGAAAACGGAAAAGATTTTCTGTGTGTACACCTGAAGAAATTGAACAGCTCCGTGCTTTGGTTGGAACGCTATCATGGTTATAAAAAGAGACTCGTTGTGATCTTGCAGGTAAAACTGCTTTGATTCAGCAGTCATTTCCTCGACCATTGATACGTGACCTTATCAATGCGAACCAGATTGCGAAGGAAGCTTTGGACTTCAAGGAGCTTGGCCTATTCCTCTGGATCGACTACATGCTGGAGTTGTTACTGACGCATCGTGGGGGAATTCCAAGGAATTTGGATCATATCTTGAAACCAGCGCTACGAACGACTGGTGGGAGGAAACAGACCAATCTTGGATCCGTCACCATGTGGACACACGAACGACAAGTTTTCATCCAGCGGCATGCGCTGATGGACCAGATCTTCACCAGCTTCTACCAGATCGCCATACGGAAATCAGAAATGCCCAGAGAAGTACCTCCGTCCAGGACATGTGGACCACTAGCGATAGCATCAGATCTATGTCATCAACACCATGGACGGGAAGAACGACGTTCTACAAGCAGGCTGAGGGCAACATTCTTGATGCCAAGGACATTCATGCCGGTTACGACCAGCTGAACAAGCTCTTCAGCCAGGGTGGTGAGATGGTTATCTTCTATGACAAGGACCTGCCGAAGTCCCAGACTCTCCAGAATGTCTCCCTGGCGTCATGGAAGAGCTACCGTTTAAAGCGACGGACCGTCAACACCCTGAGCTCTGAGACTCAAGCTTTAGTCCGTGGTCTCAGCTCAGTCCATTGGTATAGGGTTCTCATCCTAGAGGCTCGTGGTCTCCATTTGTCAGCCAGAGAATGGCATCGCGAAGTAGCTCAACTTCCATTTATTTGTGTCACTGACTCAAAGTCATTGTATGACACAATTTGCAAGTGCACCAATCCTGCCTCCCAATGTGAAGACAAGCGTACTTCGATCGACATTTCGTTGATCAAGCAGGAGATCGCGGAGCTCAATGGCACGATCAGATGGATCGATGGTCGGACCATGTTGGCTGACAGCCTCACCAAAGAAAGTAAAGCAGATCTCTTACGGCATGTCATGAAAACTGGCCAATGGAGTATTTTGGAGGAGGGTTCCGCACTTCAGAGGAAACTCCTCGAGAGAACATCTCGTCATGAGGTGCTATTTATTTTCTAAGTTTGATCAACATAAAGTATGACCGGTGCGAATGGGCATAGGTCATTGATCAAACTTCCTGTCACCATGTGGTGGCTCAAGCTGGGGATCGCCGAATGGCACTTGCGCCACAGGTAGAAAATAGGAGTGATCTGCTGAGCCCGCTGCCACTGCATCACGCATGTATAATGTAAAGATGTATTTGTATAAAACCCACACACATATGATGTCTCCAGACCAAGTAGCCATTGATCGCATCTGCCGCATCACGGCCTTCCTGTGAAGGTGGTCCGCAACCATGGCAAGCAGAAGGATGTTTTCGGTATTTTCCGATATTCCCAACAGGAAAATTGGAAGAGCGTGAAAGGATCCTAGCTTTGAAGCCCTTCCCACTTTCTAGAAGGACATCCAGCCATACCCGCTCAATTCCAAGTCTTGTTGCTTCCGACCTCATGTTATTGTTTTGAATATCTATGTATGTATGTATATATATATATATATAAATCTTCCAATTTTCGAAGTGAAATATAGTCAATCATCCATCATTTTCCACTTCAGGTCTATAAATCCATTTGATTCCATATGTTCATGGTCAAAAAGCCTGGTAGCCTAGGGCCCTAAGTCATAGCTAGTCATAGCTGGTAAGATCTTGTTGATCCGATGTCCTTGATAGCCCAGACCACCAGTGACTGACCACGTCTGCAATCACCCGCTGCAAAGACCTGGCGCTCTGATTCAGCAAGACCTAGCTGATTTATGAAATGAAATAGGGTTGATTTATACAAGGTGGTGCCCCATAGTTAGCTAAGTTGGTTTATAGCTCCCATTTCACTATGGTTTATGGTAGATATAACTATAGTTAATGGGGTTTATAAACCAACTTATAACTGGGGGCACCATCCTGTAGCTGTTTAAATGTGTTTAAATGGGATTGCAGCAGGATTGCAACAAAAAATGCCTTGATTTATTGGGATTGATTGGTGTATACAGACAATTCTAGTTGACGAGATGTAAGGATTGTTTTATAAATTCTATAAGTCTGGTTTCTGAAGATGAGCCGATTCGCCACCTCAAAAGTCTGGTTTCATCGGCCACCGCGCCTTGGGATTGGAGGTCTGAAAGTCGCCCTCGCTCTTCTGGTACAGCGCCTAGAAAAAATGCTATGGATCAAACCTTGGAAATTCACTGGGGATCTGGTAATCTGAAACTGGACCGGGATATGGATGATATGGGTATGTGTCAAAACCATTCAAAAGTTGCCCACGTGATTCAGGATTCAGGGAATGACTGTTTTCAGGGTCTCCAGAAGGGTAAAAAAATGGGGGGGGTTCATATTGGGTGGTACGGTCCAATCTATGTCTGTTCTTTACTCCAAGAAGATCATATCTATTTATATATTTATGTACATATATTCATAGGCGTGTGTATATATATATATACACATAGGGATATGATTGTATATTATTATATAGTGTAATGTAATGTCATGTCATGTAATGCAATCAAATGTTGTGTCGTGCAATGCAATGCAACACAATGCAATGCAATGCAATGCAATGTTTTGTTCTGTTATCAATGTATGTGTGTATCTTTATATACAAATACATATATATATATATATACATGTATGCATGCATGGATGCATGCATGGATGCATGCATGCATGGATGTATGCGGGTATGTATGTATTTATGTTGTTTTTTATGTATGTACATTTAAATGTGTATATATATACACATACATGTACATATACACATATACATACATAAATATACACACATATATACATAAATACATGTATACATATATATATATACATAAACACATATATACATATACACATATATGTATATATCTATATACATGTATATATATATATATATATATTATATACATGTATATATATACATGTATGTATCTACATATATATATAATCCTGATCGCCTACAAAGAATACGCACTTTTTCAGCCCTTCGGGTGTCGATGAAAAAAAAGAAACTTAGAATATTTGGGGTAGAAATATTTGGGGTAGAATTTTGGAGTGCATAACCAGAGCCAAAGCAAATACCATAGGAACAACGATTTTTCAATATCGAAAACAGGTGTGAAACCCAGCAGTTTGGACATGTTTCAAGTTCTATCAATTGGAGAATGTGGAGAAGGCAAGAAAAATGGAGAGAAGAGAAAATATAAGCGGACACCTTCAAAAACAATACGTCAAAAACCTGGAAAAAAAACAAAAACATTTTCCAAAATCGAAAGTTCATATTCTTAATATTCTAAATAACTTTTTTCGATTTCCGAAGATGCTTCTATTCTAAGTAACGTTTTTTCTCCGATTCCGGAAGATGTTTTTTTGAGGCCGAAATTATCGATTCTATATTCTATGTACCGCATCAGGATTTTATATATATGTGCATACGCGTACATATACATATGTCTAGATACACATTATGTAAGTTGCATGTCCTTGTATCACGCTTCAAATTGTCCAAGCCGTGGTCGCAACCGCTGGCCTTGTAGTTCCCTCTCTCATCCATGTCCACGCCGAAAGCGTTTGCCAATGGATGCTCTGGACCTGTCAGGATTCGACCTGGTGGGTATGGGTTAGAATTCATGATCCATCATCCATTTTAATTAACAGGATTTTCCATGATTAACCATCCATTTTGGGGATCCCCCATTTATGGAAACCCCATACGTGTATATGAACCATCAGAAACGCACAGCTTGACCGTGACTTACCGCCCGCAAGTCTCTTCCAGGCGTCGCCTAAGAAGCCAAGTGCCAGGAGGATCAAGTCGGCCTCGAGGATCTTTTCGCTCCCGGGCTGTTCCAACATACCTGGCAGCAGCTGATGGAAAAAAAAACACACGTTTTTAAAGGAGAGGCAAAATATGGGAAGTTATAAATAGTAGAACCATCATTAACAATCATTGAAACCATCATCTAATATAATCTAATATCATAGAACAAGGGTTGTTGGCTGTTTGATAGTGGAGAAATGATGGCTGTAACAATGGCTGTAATAATGACTGGTTTGTGGAGCGGCAAAAACAATCACTGGGAATAACTAGGTTGCTTTGCCAGTGAGAAGTTGTAGGAAACCAGGTTTTTGCATTGTTTATGTCATGATTCTTCCCTCAAAAATCAATTCGGGGAGATGACCCGTTGACCAATGGCCCTTACCTACGGCAACTAAAGATCTCAGTGAAATCGAGGTGAAAAAGCAGCTGAAAATTGGGATAGTCGTCCCTGGAATCATGGAGATTTGATAGGAGAGATTTGGCTCTGCCAACGGGGGAAAATATGCCTTGGATTTTGGGGGGATCATTGGCTATTCCCCAATAGACTAAACTCATTAAAATCCCAGTGGCAGGTTGATATCCTCCTTCACTCTGCCCATGGCTGCGGGAAATCTCCGCCCATCTGAATATCTCCATGTTGTTGGGAATATCCACATGCTTTGCTCATTTTAACTGTCCACTGCCAGGTCCACTGCTAGGTCGGTATCCCCGACCTCCCGTTGGGTGAGATTCCTTCTGTGCAAGTGACGCATCTGGCCGTCGATCTTCTCCCATCGCACGTTCACCATCTTGATGCCCTTCACATTGCCATGGCCATCATCCAGGACCTCCTGTGGCCGATGTGACAACAAAACGAGTCATGGCTCGAAACAGTGGTGTAAAACTCCTTGCCGGAAACGTCAGTGCCAAACACTTCAATACATGTGATGTCAATAATAGTAATTAATAGTAATATGTATATTATATAATACAATATAATAATATATAATACATAATTCCATCAAATAACAATGGTCAACTGAGATTTTTATCCTATGCCAAATGGAAACAAATTGAAAAACAACCGCCAAAACAGTTTCAGTTAGTTGACCCAAAAACTGTCAACCCTCTGCGTTTTTGCTGGAATTGTCTCCATGTTTCATAGGGAAAATCAGTGACTTTCAGGGAAAGATCGGAGCACTCCGAGACTCCTTGGTCAGAGCACCATATTCTCCTTGGATCGGAGTCAAAGGTGCTGGATCTGCTGAATTGCAGTCTACCCTGAACGGTCTCATCAAACGTGGCTAGCTGGGAAATCCCCCATCAATGGAGGTCTATAGCAAAATCATCTATAGAGATAATGGAATTTCCAGCACGCCATGTTTGATTACAGGAGGGTAAACAAAATCCTGATTCAACAGAAATATCATCACCGTAACATCACCATAGTTCTGACATCCATGGTGTGCATTTTTGTCACAACCTTCCACCCCGCAACAGGCATCTGGATCTTTGTCACAACCTATGCAAAGTATGTTAAACGGTAAACGTATCAAGTCATTGAAAAAAAATATCCCGGCAAGAGACCCCAAACAGTGTGTAGTTAGGATTCTAAAGGGAAAGGTGGAAAGACCAAAGCATCAGTGACTGCAAGCTAGCAGGACAAGAGCAACCGAATTAGTGAAAGCATTGAGTTCAGTCAAGGTGGTCTCTGGAAGAAGAGGTATCAGGTAAGATTCTGCAAGTTCCCTTGTGAAGATTTCTATAGAAGATCGTGCGCAAGATCCCGTTGAGAGGTTCTCTGTAGAAGCTGCTGTGCAAGATCCCTGTGCCAGGCTATCTGCACAAGGTGTCTATAGGAGATCTCCACAGAAGATCTTTGTAAGGGATCTCGAAGTGAGATCTCTGCTCAAGCTATCTATAAAGAATCTACGAGCAAGACCTCTGTGCTCTCTGCACCAGGTCTCTGTGCAAGATCTCTTTAAGAGCTCTCCTGGCAAGATCTCTGTAGAAGCTCTCTATCAGAGCTCCGTTGGCAAGATCTCTGTAAGAGACCTCTTGGCAAGATCTCTGTACCGGTCTCAATAAAAGGTCTCTTGGCAAGACCTCTGGACAAGATCTCTAATTACAAGAGATCTCTTGCCAAGATCTCTTTATGAGATTTCTGTACAAGCTCTCTATAAAAGCTCTGGGCAAGATTTATGTAAGAGACCTCTTGGCAAAATCTCTGCACAACAAATCTCTACGCAATGTCTCTGTACAAGATCTCCATAAGAGGTGTCCTGGCAAGATCTCTGTGCAAGATCTCTATCAGAGGTCTCTACGCAAGACTCTTGAAGGGATTTCTGCACAAGCTCTCTGTAAAAGCTCTCTTAGCAAGATCTTTGTAAGAGACCTCTTGTTAAGATCTCTGTACAAGATCTCTATAATAGCTCTCTGTACAAGATCTCTGGGCAAGTTCTATATAAGAGACCTCCTTGTCAAGATCTCTGCGCAAGATCTCCTTGACCATGACAGGCCCAAAGTGACAAGAGGGTTGCGCGAGCCATCTCAGAATGAGCACTGCGCCACAGCAAGAGCCATCTGACGGGCCCAAAGGGGTAGGAAATTGTTTGGGGATTTTTTTTTTAGTTTGGGGAATTTTTTTTGGATTTCCGGTTCTCACCATTTTCCATGCTATTTGCAGCATTTTGGAGCTGGAAACTGCCATTTCCACGGTATGTGCAACGGTTTTGAGTTCGAACCTCTCATTTTCCACGGTATTTGCAACAGTTTGCAGCATGTTCTGTCCATTTTCCATGCTCTTTGCAGCATTTTTGAGCTGGAATCTGCATTTCCACCGTATGTGCAACATTTTACAGCTACATTCCTCACAGTACTTGCAGGATTTTGGAGCTGAAGGCTGACATTCCAACAGTTGTTTGTTGTTACTGTTACTGTTGTTGGTGTTGGTGTTGTTGTTGTTGTTGGTGGTGTTGTTGTTGGTGGTGGTGGTGGTGGTCGTGTTGTTGCTGTTGTTGTTGCTGTTGTTAGTGTTAATGTTAGTGTTGTTAGTGTTGTTAGTGTTGTTAGTGTTGTTAGTGTTGTTAGTGTTGTTAATGTTGTTAGTGTTGCGTTAGTGTTGTGTTAGTGTTGTGTTAGTGTTGTGTTAGTGTTGTGTTAGTGTTGTTGTTGTTGTTGGTGGTGGTGGTGTTGTTGTTGGTGGTGGTGGTGTTGGTGTTGTTGTTGTTGGTGGTGGTGGTGGTGGTGGTGGTGGTGTTGCTGGCGGTTGTGTTTGTGTTGCTAGTGTTGTTATTGTCGTTGTCGTTGTCGTTGTCGTTGTCGTTGTCGTTGTCGTCGTCGTGGTCGTCGTGGTCGTCGTGGTCGTGGTCGTGGTCGTCGTCGTCGTCGTCGTCGTCGTCGTCGTCGTCGTTGTTGTTGTTGTTGGTGTTGGTGTTGGTGTTGGTGTTGTTGGTGTTGTTGTTGTTGTTGTTGTTGTTGTTGTTGTTGTTGTTTAGTGGTGTTGTTGTTGTTGCTGTTGTTAGTGTTGTTGTTGTTACCGTTAGTGTTGTTAGTGTTGCTAGTGTTAGTGTTGTTAGTGTTGTTAGTGTTGTTAGTGTTGTTAGTGTTGTGTTAGTGTTGTTGTTGTTGCTGTTGTTGTTGTTGGTGGTGGTGGTGTTGTTGTTGTTGCTGTTGTTGTTGTTGGTGGTGGTGGTGGTGGTGTTGTTGCTGGCGGTTGTGTTTGTGTTGATAGTGTTGTTATTGTTGTTGTTGTTGTCGTTGTCGTTGTCGTTGTCGTTGTTGTTGTTGTTGGTGTTGTTGGTGTTGTGTTGGTGTTGGTGTTGTGTTTGTGTTGTGTTGTTGGTGTTCTTGTTGTTGTTGTTGTTGTTGGTGTGGTGTTGGTGTTGTTGTTGATGTTGCTCCACACCTCATGGAAAAGCAAAAAAGCAAAGAAAAGCAAAAAAGCAAAAAAGCAAAGAAAAGCAAGAAAAGCAAAAAAGCAAAGAAAAGCAGAAAAGCGAGAAAAGCAAAAAAGCAAAGAAAAGCAAGGAAAGCAAAAAAGCAAAGAAAAGCAAGAAAAGCAAAAAAGCAAAGAAAAGCAGAAAAGCAAAAAAGCAAAGAAAGAAAAGCAAGGGAAGCAAAAAAGCAAAAAAGCAAAGAAAAGCAAGAAAAGCAAAAAAAGGAATAGAAGCAAAGAAGCAGAGAAGCACTGCAGGAGGCAATAGAGTAAGCAGGAAGAAATCCAAAAAAAAATCCCTAAACTAAAAAAAAAAACCTAAATAAATGGCCCTCCGGCCCAAAGTGCCGAAAGGGCTGCGCGAGCAATATCAAAATTCGCGCCGTGCCACAGCCAGAGCGATCTGACAGGCCCAAAATGACGAGAGGGTTCCACGGGCGATCTCACAAGAGCCATTTCATATGGAAATTCACAGGGAAAATCCCGGACGCGTCGCCCAGGGCCATCCTTTTGTGCGAGCCTGCGCAGTCGACATGCACATGGACATTTCACAAGAGCCATTTTGTGTGGAAATTTACAAGGGAAATGCCAAACGCTAATCCCGCGACACCCGTTTTGTGCGAGCCTGCGCAGTCGAAATGCACATGGACATTTCACAAAAACAATTTTGTGAAATTTTGTAGGAAAAATGCCAAACGCGGCGGATACCACCTCGATTGAACACCGGGCCTTAACACCTACCGTAAGAACCCCTCAGTGTTGCCACACTGTTTGGGGAATGATTTATATAAATCAGACACACCCAAAAATATTCCAAAATAAGCATCCAAAACTTTCCAAAACAATGTCAGACTGATCAAACCAGCTTTGAAGTCTTTGAAAATGGTCAGAAAATCCGATCCAAAATGACCTTCCGTGACGAGCTGCGGATATCTTTGTTCTTGTTCAATGGGGCCGCCTCCTCGTGGCCGTAGTCCACCTGGATCACAATCAAAACTGGTAAAGTTCATGGATGAAAAGTGGGACAAGGAGTTTCACTGATTTGACTAGTAAAAATGGGTGTGTTGCCAACCAAAACTGAGGATTCAAAAGCAACAAAATATTTGATCATTTGGTCAAAGAAGCGGCCCATGCAACCACAAATGTTGGTCATTTTGGGTAGTTAACCATCCCAATATTGCAGTCCCCTGATTTGATTGCTCCAAAAAGTTGTTTACCACCCTTCAGTCTTGAGCAGATTCCTTTTCATGCGGGTTTTATCCCCTTTTTACATCGTTCTTGGTCTTAACATCCGCTCTTGTTGTTGCTTGTGCCCCGGTACATCACAAAAAAATACTCAGCTAACATATATGTCTGGAATTGTCTGGATATGTTTGTATGTGGTAAACACCGGAAAGTATCCAAGAAAATTCAGAGACAGGCAGCTCATGACATCACAGAAATCATTGACACCCCACATCCGTCACCGCAGGGCCAAGCACCGGCCTTGAAAACCAGGGGCCAATGAGGCCAGGGATTATTGGGCGATCGGGTCTGGGGCGGCTGGGGCATGAGCTCCAGGTTGATGACCTCAGGGGAACGTTGCGGGAAAATCATCGATGAATGGACTATAAATGGGGAATACATGGATTATAAATGGAGAATACATGGATTACCAGTAGTACCGCGCAAGGCAGTGGCGGAAGTTTCAAAAATAGGAAACCTATAGGAGATGAGAGGTTGGTTGTTGTGAATCACCGGTGGCAGAGCGAATCCACTGATGGACTGACAGGTGGTTGGAGGTGTGTTTTTTGGAGTGGTTGCAATGGTTGCAGTGGTCACCTTACCACAACTGCTGGATGTAGTGTGGTGTAGTGCAGTTGTAGTTGTAGTTGTAGTGTGGTATAGTGGAGTTGTGTTGTAATGTGTAACAAGTGTAGTGTAGTTGCAGTTGCAGTTGTGGTTGTAGTGGTGGTGTGGTGTAATTAGTGCAGTGTATTGTAGTGTACTGTATTGTAGTGTACTGTATTGTAGTGTACTGTAGTGTTGTGTACTGTAGCGTGGTATATAGTGCAGTGTAGTCTAGTGTAGTCTAGTGTAGCGTAAGGTAGTGTAGTTGTATCTGTAGTGTGGTGTAGTGTAATTGGTGTAGCGTCGTGTAGTGCAATTTAGTGGTAGTTCCAATTGGAGTTGCAGTTGTAGTTGTAGCGTAATGTAGTGTAATTAGTGTAGTGTAGTGTTGTGCAATGTAATGCAGTTGTAGTCGCATTTGTATTTGTAGTTGTAGTGTGCTGCAGTGTAATTAGTGTAGGGGTGTGAAATAGTTTTAGGAATTTTTTTTTGAACAGGTTTGGGAATTTTTTTTGGATTTCTTGGCTGGCACCATTTGCCTAGTGTTTGCAACGGTTTGGAACTTGAATTTGTCATTTTGCATGGTATTTGCCACATTTGGGCATGTTCACCTTCCATTTTGCATGGGATTTACTACATGTGGGCATGTTCACCTTCCATTTTATATGGTATTTGCCACATTTTGGCATGTTCACCTTCCATTTTGCATGGGATGTTCTATATGTGAGCATGTTCACCCAAATATTTAGAAATGCGGAAGCTCGGGGTTAGATAAAAAGCGGGTGGGGGGGATTGAGGCAGGGCGCTAGCTATCTATCCACCTAGCTAGCTATCTAGCTATCTAGCTAGCTATCTATCTAGCAAACTATCTATCTATCTAGCAAGCTATCTATCTATCTAGCTATCTATCTACCTATCTAGCTAGCTATCTTGCTAGCTATCTATCTACCTATCTAGCTACCTAGCCATCTATCTATCTAGCTATCTATCTACCTATCTAGCTTTCTATCTATCTAGCTATCTATCTATCTAGCCATCCAGCTGTCTATCCAGCTATCTAGCTATCGAGCTATCTAGCTAACTATCTATCTAGCTATCTAGCTATCTAGCTTTCTATCTATCTAGCTATCTATCTATCTAGCCATCCAGCTGTCTATCCAGCTATCTAGCTATCGAGCTATCTATCTAGCTATCTATCTATCTAGCTAACTATCTACCTATCTATTTAGCTATCTATCTATCTATCTAGCTATCTATCTAGCTACCTCTTTATCTATCTAGCTAGCTATCTATCTATCTATCTATCTAGCTATCTATCTAGCCATCTATCTATCTAGCTATCTATCTAGCCATCTATCTATCGAGGTATCTAGCTATCTATCTCTCTAGCTATCTATCTATCTAGCTGGCTATCTATCTATCTAGCTATCTATCTACCAAGCTATCTATCAGCTATCTATCTATCTATCTATCTGTCTATCTGTGTATCTATCCATCTATCTATCTATCTATCACATGTAATCCTGTCAGCTTTCCAGAGAAGGTTAGTTCGCAAAAACCAACTAATGTAACTTGGGTTTAAGTTTAAATTAAAAAAAAAGCGGGAGGGGGGGGTTGGGGGGAGGGCGCAGCGCCTCCCCCAAAGCAGAATGCAAGCACCTCTTCTCACATGTTACGTTGCTAGTTTTCAAGAGAAGGTTGGTCATGTGATACTCAGGGATGTAAATACTGTGCAAAATGCATCTTACATGAAAATCAAGTATTTAAAGCAGGCAAAGCAAAAAACAGAAGAGAAGCAAAAAAGCAGAGAAGCAAAGAAACAGGAAACGCACAAAAGCAAAACAGCAGAAAGGCAAAGAAGCAGGAAAAGCAGAAAAGCAGAGAAGCAGGAAAAGCAGGAAAAGCAGAGAAGCAAAGAAACAGGAAAAACAGAAAAGCAAAAAAGCAGAGAAGCAGAGAAGCAGGAGAAGCAGAAAAGCAAAAAAGCAGAAAAGCAGAGAAGCAGAGAAGCAGGAGAAGCAGAAAAGCAAAAAAGCAGAAAAGCAGGAAAAGCAGGAAAAGCAGGAAAAGCAGGAAAAGCAGGAAAAGCAGGAAAAGCAGGAAAAGCAGGAAAAGCAGGAAAAGCAGAGAAGCAGGAATCCAAAAATAATTCCTAAACCTGATCAAAAAAAAAATCCTAAAATAATTAGCCCTCCTTAGTGTAGTGTGGTGTGGTGTGGTGTGGTGTAGTGTAGTGCAGTGCAGTGTAGTGCAGTGTAGTGTAGTGTAGTGTTGTGCAAATTACTGTAGTTGTAGTTGCATTTGTATTTGTAGTTGTAGCGTACTGCAGAGTAACTAGTGTAGCGTAGTGTAATTAGATGTAATTAGTGTAGTGTAGTGTAGCATAGTGTAGTTAGTGTAGTGTAATGTAGCGTAGATAGTTTATTTGTATTTGTAGCTGTAGTAGTAGTGTAGTGGTAGTGGTAGTGGTAGTGGTTGTTGTAGTTGTAGTTGTAGCTGCCTATCTATCTATCTGTCTGTCTGTCTGTCTGTCTGTCTGTCTGTCTGTCTGTCTATCTGTCTATCTGTCTATCTATCTGCAAGCTTGAAAACGCAGCTATTTTGCGACACTTCCGCAATTTTTGAACTTGATAACATCCAAAACGAAGCAATTCTGCGAGACTTCCTCAATTTTTGCACTTGACAACATCCAAAACGAAACAAGTCTGCGAGACTACCTCAATTTTTGAACTTGACAACATCAAAAACAAAGCAATTCTGCGAGACTTCCTTCAAAAATGGAAGGTTGAGTGCAGAGCTAACGGCCTCCTACCACTGCGTTTTGGGATTTTTCCACTCCACCTGTCTAAAGTACTGCGCCTGCCACGAAAGATTGATGCCAGGTCATACGAAGTGCTGCACCTGTCACGCAAAATCACCTTAGCAAACCTACAGATCTGATGCTCCAAAATGCAACCCCTCCCAGGAAATCAGCGCCCTGACCTCCTAACATCTCTGATGAACATGTCTCTTGTACTGCGCCTGCCACGCGAAATGCGTCTTTGCAGATCCTCCTCGAATGCCCCACGCCTGCCATCGTTTTTGGACATGCTACAAAAACCCTCACGTTTTTGCTCACTTTTTGACTTCGAAATGTGCTTCGCGCCACACCGGCGTGCACTTTCTCGACATCTCAACTTCCAAAAGTGTTGAGGTGCTTTGTGCATTTTCACTTGGACTTGTGCTTCGCGCCACAACATCCTGCACTTTTTCGACATCGCAACTTCAAAAAGTGCTCCGAACGTGAAGTGCTTTTAACTTTTTTCAGCTGCAAATGTATGCAAATGTGCTTCGCGCCACAACGGCGTGCAATTTTTAATCTCTCATCTGGCCAGCTGGCTCCGCACCCGCCGCTTTAGCGAGCCTACTTTTCGAGCCTCCCGAGCCACAAATCATTGGAAAAACGCAGTGTTTCGCGACTTTCCTACCTTTTCGAGCACCTGGATCTTCTTTCTTCGGAGACTTTCTCTTATCTCTGCTTTTCATCTGTCCATATTGTCGGAAGTTTGACTTCTAAACGTCCTTCGATAAATGGAGAATACATGGATTATAAATGGAGAATACATGGATTACAAATGGAGAATATTACTACAATGGACTATGGATGACTATGGATTGATAAATTATGAACAATACATGGACTCTAAATGGTTTGTAAATGAACAATCAATAGATTGTAAATAGATTGTAAATGGATTGAAAATGAAAATATGTGGACATGGAAAATCCATGGGAAAATCCATGGAAAATCCATGAATTTCTCCAATTTCCGTCCCCCTTTTCCCCTGTGAAATCACACCAAGGACCCAACGGATTTGGCTCCCTGCCGCACGGCCGTGCCGATGCAGTCATTGCCGGTGTCGCCACCTCCGCCCAGGACAGAGGTGGTTTCAGTGGCCGCCAAGACTGGGTTCTTTGCCATCATGAATTACTGGTTGGTGGTTTCAACATCTCCAAAAAATATGAGTTCGTCAGTTGTGATTATTATTCCCAATGTATGGAAAAATAATCCAAATGTTCCAAACCACCAACCAGATTATAATGGGTAGTATAGTCCCATACAATCATCAACCAACAGGAATTGGTAAAAATAAGTGTTGAACACTTATTTTAATATACTGAAATTCTGAAAGGTCACCAACAAATCGAAACTTAAAAAAAAAAGATCTTCAGAGAAATTGGGAACATCTATAGGGAACATAGGCTTGAGAGTGGGAATCTGAATTCCTAATAATTCCTAAAGATTGAGACAACAACCATCAACAATGGGGATACCATCCCAAGAAGGAGAAGATCTCGTCACCAAGGGATAATTTTTTGTGGCTCAAATAATCAGACCATTTTGAGTCCGAAGTGGTGGACCAACTTCATCTTATCTTCCTGGGAAACAACAAATGTTTGGTATCTCTTGGTACAAGGTGGTGTCCCAGTTCGCCAGCTAAGTTATTCATAACTCCGATAACTGTTTGGTTTCTGGTAGATATACAATAATCTATATATACTTAATAAGGCTTATAAACCGACAAACATAACTGGCGGGCACCTCCTTGTGCTTGCCATCCATTTTTTAGGTTTTCCATAAGCTCCCTGAGGTCAGATAAATGTTGCAGCGAAAATCAGCCATGGATAGGGTTCAAAATGATGTCTACAGTAATGATGTCTATCCCCTAAGTTGGATGATGTTAGGTTTTTGAGAAGGCGATTGGGCATAATTGCCCCAGTTTAGGCACCCCTGTTTTGACCCCAAAAAACGCCGAAACTCGAAACTGGATGGTGGATACTCAATGTGACCTAAAGCTGCCACAAGGTCTGGCGGTTCTGGCGTCTGAAATCGTTCAAAAGGCCACACGCAAATTTGTTTGATATTCATCTGGTTGGTGGTCTCAACCCCTCTGAAAAAAATTAGTCAGTTGGGATTATTATTCCCAATATATGGAAAAATAAAAAATGATCCAAATCACCAACCAGTCATTGTTGAAATGTTCGTTGATATTGGTTCATTCCCCGCATGTCTGTTGGTTCCCCCTTTCTACTGGTCCAACCCCGGATTCTTGTTCGTTGCATCTCCCAACCCCCAAAAAAACATAGGATTCCTTTCTGAAAATGACGATTTGTGGTGTTTTTTTGGGGGCTCTCCAATTAAAAATGTGTAATATATATATATGACTCTAGCTGCAGTTTCATAAATCTTCACCACTCTGGGGGTGCAGTTCCAGCTTTTTTGCGGAGGAGGCCTCACCATTTTTTAGTTCTATCCCAAGTCCTGGACGTTAACATCCAAATCCCATGGGAAGTCATAAGAATCCATGTGTATAATCCCACCATGGTCATCTCTCCCACGTTATTTTCATGGAAGTTACTGGGTATCCATATGGGGGTAAAAAATCCCAACAAAAAAGGGGTTATATCCCAACTCATAGGGGTTATAGCCATGCAAATAAACCTAAGTGCCCGGCCTCCAATGACGATGACCTTCTTGTCCTTGGCGTCCAAGACCTTTGGGTCGGTGCCATTCTTCTTGGCTCCCCACCAGCGTCGCCATTTGTTGCTGACGTCACCGCCATCCAACAGCGCCTGGCTCCGGGGAGCCAAGCGGTGACTGGCCAACGTCTCCCATGTTCTGCCATGCTATCCCATGATGTCCCAGGATTTCTAGGTCATATGATGTCATATGGCTTACAACATCTGATAACTCAGTAACCCCATCTTCAAATATCCTCCCAATACACTTGGGAACTAGTTCCACAGGAGCCCCTTTCCCCGCGCCTTGGTGTTGAAGGTCAGGTAGTCCATCGCAAGGTGGATACCATTCAAGTCGCGGCCAGTGACCTTTCTGATGAGGGGATTCTCATGCTGATGTTTGGGGTAAATGTTGGGAAACGCCCAAAATGGCGTTCAAATGCGTTCAAAGCCCAAACTATTTGAAACTTTGTATTTATGGGGTGAAGTGAGTGAGGATGGCAGTACTGGAATTGGTGGCCACCAAAACTCCAAGCGGTGTTGAGATGCAGAGATTATGTCCTTGATATGAGCAAAACATGAGTGAATGTCGTGACATCCAATCATGGGAATCGATATCTGGGGTTTCTGAATGTCAAATCACTGGAGTGAAACCCCAACTCGGAACTTGTCATTCAGATGCTATATCCCATAGGATCCATGTATGGTATATATGCTAACATTTGGGGTATATGGATGGTAAATGTTACCATATATAGCATACATGGATCCTATGGGTATATGTATATGCATAATCCGATCCTCCAAAAACTACCAAAAAAAGTGTGCATCGCCGTGCATCAACCATGTTAATTTTGGCCGTGTTAACAACCTATTCTTAAATATTATATAGGCGAATAAGATTATTAATATGGTTCTCAAATAACTAATACAATATGATATAATATAAGATAAGATAAGATATTATATATAATATAATAGAATATAATATAGTTTAATATAATTTAAAATAATTATTAATATGAATATGAATATAAAATAAATGCAGTTATAAACATAAAATATAAATCTAAAATATGAATATAGGTAAAAATATAAAGATCAAAATAAACATAATCATAAACATAAGTATAAATATAAATACAAATACAAATATTATATATATATGGTTCCCTTTGCACCATACCCCAACCCGGGCGTGCTCCAAACCCAGCCGCCGTCTGCATGTCACGCGCCACCGTTGAACCCACGGCCAGTAGCACTGCATCATACTCCTGGCGATACATAATGATGATGACTGGTCATAAAGAATAGTAGCAATATTCGTAGAAAGGTCAGTTTTATATATTAAATAATAAATATTGTTTCTATATATATATGTGTATATATATATATGTGTATATATATATATGTGTGTCTATATATATATATATGTATGACTAATATATGTCTGTCTGTCAGTCAGTCTGTATGTATGTATGTAATGTATTAATGTATGTATGTATGTACGTACGTACGTACGTATGTGTGTCTCTGTGTCTCTGTGTCTCTGTGTCTCTGTGTCTCTGTGTCTCTGTGTCTCTGTGTGTCTCTGTGTCTGTGTGTCTGTGTGTCTGTGTGTCTGTGTGTCTGTGTGTCTGTATGTCTGTATGTCTGTATGTCTGTATGTCTGTATGTCTGTATGTCTGTATGTCTGTATGTCTGTATGTCTGTATGTCTGTCTGTCTGTCTGTCTGTATGTATGTATGTATGTATGTATGGTGCAACAATATGGTACATATATAAATATTAGTAACAGTCTACTTGCAAGCAGAAATAAGAACCCCACATAGTGAGGCTGGGGAATAATACTATTGTGGTAACAATAACAACAGTATGTTAAATATTTTAAAGAAACAACATGATTAAAGAAAAAACATACGTACATAAACTAATAAATCGTCACCAACATCAAATATCATCAGCGTCATCAACATCATCATCGTCTTTGCCGTCATCGTCATCCCCGATCCCCAGCAAAAGTTTGATTGTTTTCTGTGTGAGTTGTGAACTTGTTTTGGGCTCACAAAAAATGACCGAATGAATTATATTTATAATACCAGTCGGTACTGACTACATATCTCTTCTCATCCGGAACGGACCCCAAGAATTTTGCGACATGAGTCTGCTACAAGATGATTAGTGCTTCATGTTCCTAGTTTTCAGAGTCCAAACTAAGTATGGTTCCTATGGTTTCCTCCTAAATATCCCTGTGTTTCTCCAATGTTCAATATGTTTTTTCCCATGGTTCATCAAAATCACATGCAGCCCATGCTGCCGACTTCACCGAATCCTCAAGAAGCTGAGCTGCACGTGGGCCCATGTTGGTACCCTGATCAATGGCGGCCTCAAAAAATATCTCGCAGATCTCGCAGATGGCACTTGGGATGGTTTAACTGTTTAACATGGTTTAACATCCCAAATGTAATCGCAGAATGTTTATATGGGGATGGGTCAAAACCCTGGTACCTAGTGAACCCCAAAATAGCTGGGATTTATGGATGTTCATCCCACTAAAAATGGTATTAATAGGTATTGATCCATACCCATATTTTTTTGCGTGGGGGAAAGCAGTAGTACTAAGTATCAGACAATTTATGGGTGTTTTTTTGCAGACAATACATGCAAATAATATCGAAGATATGGGGACGGCTCACAACTGAAAACCCTTGATGCTGTATCTGCGCTTGATTTTCAGCAGGATGATTGGCCATACGGGCATGGGATATTGAGCAAAATGGGATGGCTCATGTGGGCCCAAGGTTCTTCAACAGTATATCAATACATATCATCTATCAGTATCCACGTTACATGTCATTGTATAATAGATATAATAGGAACCAACAACTTTTATGGAAAAGATTTCTGGAAAAGATGGAAAATGCCGATGTTGCAATGAAATTGCGAAAACGGCCAAACAATGGGAGAAAGAAAACAGCACAACTGGAATGAAACCCTCGGATTCCGATGCCTCCTGGCTGCTTTCTGCGACACGTCCCTGGGGGCCGCAAATGAAATTCACGCCCTCCTGCTTCATGATGTTCACACCTCACACCGGGACACTGCGTGGGGATCATGTCCCATAACAAAATATCGCCCCAGAATCATCAACCCTGCCCCTGTGGCTCAAAAAATGAGGACGAAGATCCACAAAGAGTCACAAAGGCCCCAAAATCCCTGGAGGAGGGGTCTTAATTCCCTTCCACCTATCCTCAGATGATGCCAGTCTTTCAAGATTGTCCAAACTTCATCTGGTGTCAGCTCCAAAAAATTGACCGGCTATTTGTGGCTCCATTGGCCCTCAAATATCAATGCGGGTGACTGAAATTTACAGTTGGCATAGGGTTGGCCAAAGAAATCGGTGACCAGCTAGATGTGCGCGTGACCTCGAAAAAGGGCTAGTTAATATGGTTTTATCTGTGAAACCTATGAGGATTTGATAAATGCTTTAACCAGCTATATGTTTGGGGGTTTGAATTTCCACGTCCACGTTTCCATGAAAGAAAAGCACCCAACCATCTCCACTCAATTTCCTAAAAAATTTCTTGGCCCGCGGGACGTCGTTGCACCACGTCGACCTTGTCGGTCTTCATGTTTGGCACCCCGTACATCATGAGACCTCCATGGCTAGGTCGGCCCACGACCCTGGGGGCTTCGCCAGTCGTTTTCACCACCATTTCAAGTGATGGTAACCTCCAAAAACTGGGGAAAAATCTAGGGCCTACTAGGGACCTTTGATAGTCTTTGATTGTCAAATCCCAATGTTCTGGAAACTTCTCAGCTCGGAACCTCCAATTCTGTCTGATCGCTCAAGCACGGTGACGCGGTGGCCCATCTTGTTCAACTGATCGGCGGCAGCCAAACCACCTGATCAAAGTTGGGGGTGGACTCCGTGCATCACAAAATGTGTGGATGTCATCACTGACCTACAAGATTTTTTAGATACGTGCACCGTGCACCTTCCGTGCACCTATAATTATATATATAACTATATAACATATGCGCATTCACATACTCACAGGTTTGTCTGGATACATACAGTCACTATGTTCACATACTTCGAGATTATCACCCAATTGGTCGAAGGGAGATTTTACAGGAAACCACGTTCTTTTTGATGAATAATGAGGGTGTCCCGTAAATGGTCCCGTTAACCCACCCCTTCTGAGAGCCCAGCAGGGTCCAGATCCAACAATCACCACCCTGTGCAGCGAATCCGTTGCCACTTTTGTCCAAGTCATGCGTCCATTTCAGGAAGGCACAATAGAGTGTTGAATGATGTTCAATGAATTTGGCAAAATTGCTGGAGGTTTTGCATGCCAGAAATCGGAACGTCTCCAGTCATTGGTTACCACCGCACCCCAACTTGGATGACTCAATACGCAAGTACGACCAATCCATCCGCGATTTGTTCCAACATTGACCACATCGTTTTCCTGTCATATTTCAAATATCGCAATTTGCGCCTCTTCTCTGTGCGGGTCTTGGGGGGGCAAGGCTTCATCCAACCCATATCGTAGGCTTTGTCAATAATCGTCAGCTCCACTGACTTGATACTGACCTGGTCGAGAGACCCGGTCGAAAGATCTTCGGCGCTGTGAAGAAAAATATCGAGAGGGAGCAGTTCCCAACTCCCAACGCTCAAAATAGTTCCAAACTATGTCAAGATCACCTCCAGACCGCATTGGATCATGGGAAAATTGACAGGAAACCCTTGACAAACTAATGATAAAGACCGTCGTTTCCTGTAAATGTTAAATGTGTCCGTTAAATCAATTTAAATCAATCGACTGATGGGTCATAAAACCTATACCCACAGTCAAATCCTGACTTCCTGCAGAACTAGGGCCCTCACTGGGTCATCAATGATGCCAAGCGTGCATGCTCCTGGCAAAGACGGCTGATCCAAAAAAAACATCCGAGGAAATCAACCTATCTGTTTATTGGTCTATACGTCTATCTATCGGTCGACCTATCCATCTGTCTATCTGTCTATTGATCGATCTATCCATCTATCTAGCTATCTAGCTATCTATCTATCGATCAATCCATTGAATGATCTATCCATATATATGTTATTATATGTTTATCTATCTACCTATGTATCGATCTAGCTATCTATCTATCCATCTATCTAATATCTAACCTAATCTAACTCAATCCCATTCCAATCTAATCTAATCTCGTCTAATTATCTACAATATGCATACATCTATATCTAGACATGTATACATATTACAAACATTTATCTATGTGCGAAAATCTAGTGTTAGATACACACACATGTACAAACATCTAGCTAATCTAATCTAATCGGATCTAATCCAATGCTGTCCTGTCCTGTTCTATCCTATCCATCTATCTATGTATCCATTGTGTATATATAATTCTACGTAGGGATGCCACAGATCCATGCCTTCGCAGGGCGCAGGGCACACACGCCCCGTGAACTCGGGGAAGTTGTTGGTCGACATCAGGCGCTTGAAGGCATCGAACCATGCGCCCTTTCGCACCAAATCGTTCCACTCCTTGGAGATGGGGATGGAGGATGGATATCAGATGATACAAGTCTTACGAATTACCCTCTGGTTATGACTAACATAGCCATGGTATAGATGGCCCATAGAAATAGATGGTTTACCTGGGTTTACCTATTAAAAATGGTGATTTTCCATGGCTATGTTAAATAACCAGATGGTATATTAAACTATTAAACTATAAAGATCATGTCACTCAAAAATTACCCGCAGAACCTAACGTTCGCCCATGATGACATAATAATATATCTCAATTTTCCGGTTTTCCACATGTTTCATCCGCAGTTCTAACCGCCTTGCAGGGATGGACGGTACTGTAGGTGTGGCCCCTCGCCACGCGTACGACACGAAATTTGCTTCATGGTTCGTTTCACAATAATTTGTGGCAACAACCCTTCGCAGACTTCTTGAGGGTCCGTGGAAAAGAAGGGCTGTTTCGTGCGAGAAAACACAGGCTCCGGGCAAACGTCCAGATCTGTGCGAAAAATAAAATAAATACCTCGAATATGTACTGCATGTCAAAGATGAGATAAATATATAGAACTCCGTGATTTGCCGTGTTTCTTCCTATCAATGGTAAAGGGATTCGCCACGTAACTTCCAACTTCCGGGCCCCAGGTGTGGTGTCATCCAAAGTCTCCAACATCCAAGATCCCAAAGTTGATCTAAAAATCAACTTGATCCCATAAAAATATATAAAAATATGCCAAAATACCTCAGAATCTCCCAAAAAGTTCTGACTGTTTTTCCATGTTTTTCCCCTCCAATCCGATCCAAGGTGCTGGGATCAGGTTCCCCAAAGGACAGCCTGACTTGTCCGTGACGCTCTGATGGCAAAAAGGTGTGCCGCAATCCATGCACCTTGAGGCCTGGGTCTGCACGGCCACCTGAGGCTGAAACCGCTTAAAACCACCGAAAAATTCACCCACAAAATGGATGGAACCCACAAACATCGGGATTTTACCAAAAAAAAGGGATTTGTCCTGGTGAAAAATGGGGGTCGTCCAATGATTTTTGCCAATAAAAATATGTGATATTGCCATATTTTGATATATTTTGCGCACGAACGTCACATTTTCGTCAGGTAGAACATCTGGATGAAAGTTGGGGAATCCCAGGTTGGATCCATCAAAGCGTGTGCAGCGGCAGCCTCGTCTTTCTTGGCCAAAATCTCTTGGAAATCAGCCACACGCTCAGCCACTCCTGGTCTATCCCATCTCAGTAGATTAGTGGATAGGTATCCGCGTTACATGGGTTACAGCAATTCCCCATAAACATAAGAAAGAACCAGGTAGTATAAGCCCTATAGGAACCAATCAACAGTGATATGTTTAATGGTTCATATAGGGATGCCATCCCAACAAGCCACGGTTGTAGCCCGGTACGACGTCCTCGCTTGGGCAAATCACCACGATCCACTTCCAGGAAACCTGAGGAAAAAGGCTCTCCCTCTGAAACATTGAAACGACCAGCAGGTCTGAGGTTCCAATGGTTGGGATATGGGCAATATGTATATATATATATATGGGTGTGCATAAGCAAGGACAAAACCAAATGAGATGAGATGACATAAAATGAGATAAGATACGGTGAGCTGAATCAAGATGAGATGAGATGATAACGGAATGTAATGGAATATAATGGAACATAATGTAACATAATGTAACACAATGTACAGTAATATAATGTAACAATATTAATATGTAATGTAATGTATTATAGAGTAATATAATGTAATTTAATGCAATGTAATATAATGTAATATAATGTAATATAATGTAATATGATGTAATATAATGTAATATGATGTAATATGATGTAATATGATGTAATATGATGTAATATGATGTAATATGATGTAATATGATGTAATATGATGTAATATGATGTATGTAGTATAATGTATGTAGTATAATGTTGCATAATGTCGTATGATGTAATATCATGTAATATAATTGAATATAATGTATTATCATGTAATATAATGGAATATAATCGGATATAATGGAATAATCAATAAAGATACATAGATACACATGGAGATGTGGATACATAGATAATAGCCAGCTAGCTAGGCATTTCAAAATGGGGCCCCCATTTGATATACTGCAATCTGCAAAGAATAGTAATTAGGAAAAAAAAACATTCAAAAATGGAATGTTTATATGTTTTACATACATGATAATAATTGATTATGCCTGATTCAGATTCTGCATGTATAACCTTGACTGATTGGTTTTTCCAACGCTGCCACAGAATTAAGCCCTGACCCCTAAGAATAAATAAGATCCCCTCAGAAACCTTAGCAGAGTCCTATAGCACCCTGCCCACCTCTGTTGGAGGTGGACACCAACTTGGCATCTTCAATCCTCAGCTCTGAGAATGGGGAAGCTTTGTAGAAATCCTGGCCTTTGCCTGAAATCTGAGAGAGAATCAGTGGCCAGCGTTGTGCATGTCCACATATACAACAAATGGCGAGTTCATGTTGCCCAACTTCAAGCTGTACTGAAGCTACGGCATCTCCCCACATCCGCCCAGGATCTTCGTTGGACGATTGCCTTTGGTGGTCTTTTGGAAGACCGCCATATCCTCGATGTCCAGCCCTGCGGAAGGCTCTCCCACAATTTCCTCCATGGAATTCTTCCGCACCTGGAAATGCGCAAGGATCAACGGGGCCATACCGGCATACCCCAAAAAATCCACCGGTTAGTTAGGGAAAATGATGGAAAATGACGATGATCCAATGGAATTGGGAGGTGCCTGTTTTCACACAAACACACACAAACCCATATGGAAATGAAACTGAAAGTGATGCCTACTGTAAATTGGAAACATCAATGAAACATCCATGAAACAAGAGAACAACTAGTTGAGATTGGAAAACCAAGGACTACTATTATTATTAATATTACATCACCACAAACTCTTCAAAGATATTCAATCAGGTTTCCAATTTTTCATCGCTCTGTGTTTTGGCTGGATCATTTGGCGATCTTTGACAAGGCCTTGGGGTGCTTGCGGATGCGCTGCTTGTTGGAATGGTCCAGCAGGGCTTCTTGGGATGGAAGGTACTCACGCATCGAGCCTATGGACGAGGAATGGCTATGGAAATGGGATGAAATGGGTGGTTAATGGATGGTTAATGGATGGTTAATGGTTCTTGCTTGTTTATGATTGTTTCCTTTTCAATCAGGAGAATTCAAAACCACCGGATTGTAGGGCTACCCTGACTTCAAGACATACCTTAATGAAGAATCGTGGTGTGTCCGATTTCACTAACAGCCATGGAAGTGTGCCAGGCTTGTCGACATGACATGCCACTCTGCAAGATTTGCCAAAGGCAGTTTTTGGCGTTTGATTGGTGGGAGGATTTACAAGAAAACGCAGGTCAGTCCTTTATAATCCATGTTTTCGCTTATGTACATATGAAATCTTGGAGTTTTCCATAGTTTTCCTGTCAAAGTGTCTATGTTGGGTTTCCCAGAAATCTACGGGACTACATGTTTCTAGTGATGTCTTTCAGCCCTTCGTAGCCCCCGAGCCTATGGGCGAGACCTCCCCTCGATCAATGGCAGCTTTCACAGCACCCTTGAAATCCTGCCAATGCAATTGGACATTGTGGAGGGTTGATAAGGAGTGCCAGTAGAATATATACATATCTATACATATATATATATACCATATATCATACATATTTGTATCTACAGAGATTTATGTATAGATACGAGCATTTGTATGCATTGTGTATAAATATATATATATACCCCCAAATCATCCCAAAGTAGACCATTTTAGTATTGAAACCCATGGTTTTTGGGGCACCCGCATCACTTAGGGCAACACCAAACGCATCACTTCAGGCAACATCCAGAAATCACACACTCCTCACACTTTGGACGCTCACTTTGGGCAACACGGATTTCATCACTTTGGGCAACACGGAAAACATCGTTCTTATCATCTCATTACTTGACTCAGCCATTTCGGGTTTGGTTGGGGGGGGTGGGGGGGGACAAAAGCGTCATTGATGCTGGGAACAAGGGTGGGATCCATGGACTTAAATCATCACTTGACTCAGCCATTTAGGGTTTGGTTGGGGGGGTGGGGGACAAAAGCGTCATTGATGCTGGGAACAAGGGTGGGATCCATGGACTTAAATCATCACTTGACTCAGCCATTTAGGGTTTGGTTGGGGGGGTGGGGGGGACAAAAGCGTCATTGATGCTGGGAACAAGGGTGGGATCCATGGACTTAAATCATCACTTGACTCAGCCATTTAGGGTTTGGTTGGGGGGGTGGGGGACAAAAGCGTCATTGATGCTGGGAACAAGGGTGGGATCCATGGACTTAAATCATCACTTGACTCAGCCATTTAGGGTTTGGTTGGGGGGGTGGGGACATCACTTCATCCATGACTTAACTCATCACTTGATTCAGCTACCCATGAGCCGATCTTCTCTTGCACCTGCACACCAACATGATCTCACGCTATCACATCTTCTCCTGACACTATCATCACCATGAACATGAGGAAGATGAAGATGACTAATACCCGGAAGAAGAAAATGCTTATAACAAGGATGATCATAAAGATGATGATGATGATCATCATGATGATGCTGATGATGATGGTGATGATGATGATGATGCTCACTTGGTGGTCAACATGATGATCAACCCTGAGTTGACAACATGATGATGGGGTACCCGCCCTCCGACCCCTCATGATGGTTACCATGAGGATGATAATGATGATGATGGAATATGTCTATTTTGGACGACGACGGTGATGATGATGATGATGATGGTGATGGTGATGGTGATGGTGATGGTGATGATGATGATGATGAGGATGATGATGAGGATGATGAGGATGAGATGAGGATGATGATGATGATGCTGATCTTCAGGTATCCCGAAGCGATGCATGAGGCGTAGCCCGAAGCGATGCACCCGACGTATCCCGAAGCGATGCCTATGCCTTTTTTGGGATCCCTCATATACAGATTTTTCCATATACACCTACGATATGATATGAATAGCAAACATGAGGATGTCACAATATTCATCTGATTCGGTAAACCCCACTAGCAAAAATGCTGATCTAATCTCCAACATATACAAAAAGAAACCCAGACAGCCAAACTGGCTCAAAAATATGTCTTATTCCAAACAGAAAGAACATATTCCAGACAAAAAAAACAGATCAGTATTCGAAGAGGAATCATGTGTTTCCCTTGTGGCTCCCAATGATCCTTGGGGAAGACCCTGACAAATTCACTGGCACTGGCAGGCCATTTCTGCAGGATGCTAGCTGCCAGCTTGCCTCAGAACGCTCAGATTGAACCACAAATGGAATGGATTTTTGATGATTTGAAAAGTACCTCAGACCAACCAAACTTAGGGGAACATGTTTGCCCATCATATATTATAGCTATTTCGATGTGTGTATGTACATACACAGATAAATCAGATATGTGCGTTCTGTATCAGCACATGCATACACATCTGCATGTCGTGTGTATTCTATACAGAGCGGAACATGCAATGCATATGGCACATTTACTGCAATACGTTTTGACATGCAAAAAGAAAGAACACATAGAAATACACACAGTACATTGAATTCATTAAGCGTGTACATTGCATACAATACATTTAGTAATTTAGTACACATACAACATATAAGACATATAGCGCAGTACATATACATCTGTACATATATATATCACATACAATACATGTAATCAATGTTCAATGCAATATTCACTACAGAGAGCGAGTAAAATACAGGAAATACGGTTGATACAAATAATACTTACGTACCGTACATACGTAGCGCGCTTCACAGATTGCCAATAATAATATCCATCGAAAATAGGTCACAGAAAAACTCACAAGATGCAAATAGCACATGTAACAAATAGAAAACACAAAATACATCTCACATACAAATATTCAGAAGTGTGTGTGTGTGTATATAATTGCATACATATATATATATAATATATATTATATATATTATATATATATATATTATATATATAATATACACGTATACCTGTCCCATGGCCCCCGTTAAACGCAGACATCAGAGGCCAAAGTGCTGTGAGTCCAACTCTTGTGGGCTTCCAAGAGAGAAATCAGGTCCTGCAATGCCCGACCGGTTGAAACAGAAACCGCTTGGCTACGGCGACGTTTCTCATATCCGCAGAAGCAATGGAAAAAAATATAGCCGATTTAACGAATGTCTTCAAATATTAATATTAGTCATTTTTTTGCTACTCATGTATCTTTCTTTTCGCTATATGATCATAAAATTACGCTAAAAAGTGGTTTCCGCACACCATACCACGCACATTTGTTCGACATCCCGACATCCCGACGTCCCAAATTAATTTCTTGGAACGACACAAGACTCTTCTGACAAGCACTGCAAACCCACCACACTGCAACCTTTTCCATGTCGTGCTACGGTTTGCAACTAGGTGCTCTTTCGAAAAAAAAATGGCATCAGCCAATACGTCGTAGAGTTGCGGAGCTACATCCATAAATTGAAATCATGTACCATCAACTTCTTCCGTATGCATCCTTGTCTCTATGTGTGTAGACATTTAAGCTCGCGATATCCTGATAGGAACGGATAATTATTATCCCAAAAAACGACTGCGCAAACACATGGCATTAGTGTTTGCGCTGCTTGTGAGCGCTTGCAATTGAATTCACAGGTGTCGGCGCCGGACACGAAAACATGCAGCCAAGGTGCGAAAGACAGAACTGCGGGGCCATGTGAAATGTCTTTGGCAGTTTAATGCCAACTTCCATCATCTTCCATCCTTTTTCGCCTACATAAATGTTATTCAATCATTGTCATGCATAGCATTAATTACTCTTGTTAGATAATATGTTTACTATCTTTGCGTATCTTTATCATTCTCAGACCCAGTATCACTACTATATTTACAATTCTTACCATGGTCATGGTCACATCATTCTTATCATCATTCGTGTCATTATTCAGCATTGGGCACTCTTATACAGTAACCCCCAAGAAAAAATCTAGAAAGGATTTAGAATCCTCTAGATTTCATCGATTTTGGGGCCAACAAATTGTTTTTCCACCATTTTCCACCATTTTCACATCTTTGGCTGTAATTACCCCAGGGTATACAGCCCCATCGCTGTCCCCTTTAATTAAACGTGTCCCGGTCACGATGTCCTTCTCTTCCTCTGCATAGACCTCCAATGGTTGGTCCATCTGGACACGCGCAACCTCAAGGTCCTGGCCATCCAGCCAGCCTGGTTGGAAACCTCAAGCGAAACACTAAATTACATGGAAATTACTATCCAAAGTCAATCTGACTGGTAGTCCACAAAGATTCTGAATCTTTTGCTGGTTATATGAGTTCTATAGTTATTTTATCTATTTTTATGTGATGTTTCCATAAAAATAGCAGAAAAAATAAAGCATTGACCTACCCATCCAAGGTTGGGGATGCTCTTATGGTCAGAAGTCGCTTTTTCGGCCACTTCGGATCGGAGAAAGTGGTTGGGGACTGCCCAAAAGCCCAAAAAGCGTCCGGAAAAGCGGGCCACATCCCGAGACGAAATTGTAGTTCTTCAAACTGTTAATTAGGTTTGAAAAAAAAAAACGTGATTTAGAATTGCTGTTTTAATTTGTTTTTAATGCAATATCACATGATATCACATTAACATGATTAACATGTTATCGCAGTTCTTGTGTATACAGCAATATGGGTATGGGTCAAAACCCTGGCACCTAGTGAACCCCAAGTCATAGCTGGGATTCATGGATGTTCATCCCACCAAAAATATGGTATTAATATGTATTTTCATAGGTATTGATCCATAGCCATATATGAAGAATTACTACTGTCCAAACACCGCGTCTGTCCCTTAGCAAAAACCGACGCACGGTTAAAACCACCGGCGAAACATCAGATCATCCCAAAGCCGATCGGATCTGACCCCAGTTTTAGACGTTGGGCGAAACGACGGTCTCTGGGTGTCTTATTGCTATTACTACTGTATGAATATCGGTATATCACTCTTACTATGATGATCGGTATATTTATGATATTTCATGATCAGTATAATACTGTATGGCAGTGTGTCAAAACCAATAGTACCCCTGTAGTTCACCCCAAGTCATAGCTGGGTTAAAATGGATGTGAATAACCCCCTAAAAATGGTATTAATAGGTATTGACCCATACCCATATCGGTATATCACTCTTACTATGATGATCGGTATATTTATGATATTTCATGATCAGTACTTTAATGTTGCATCCATCACTCTCAGTGTATATTATCATCATTACCGTTCATCATTATCATCATTATCTTATTATCATTGCTATTATCATCATTACTACTATCACTCTTAATGATGTACAGTAATATATATATATATATATTATCATCAGTATATAGATGTATATAGTATCCATAGGTACTATTCATCCATCACCAGTCTCGCCCGGGGGCCATTTTTGGTCCTGCGGGAGGGCGCGCTTCTCGAAGGTCTTGGAAGGATCCCAGATCCATGCGATGCCGCCGCTCATTCCTGGCAAAAGCTGCACCAAAGCTGGCCTTTCCCATGGCCGGATGTCTCCAAAATAGCTGATGTATGTATGCATGCATGTATGTGTGATTATGTGTGTATGGATGTATGCATGCATGTATGTATTGTAATTGCATTGACTTGTATTGTAGTGTATTGTAGTGTAGTGTAGTGTATGTATGTATGTATTGTAATTGCATTGTATTGTATTGTAGTGTATTGTATTTTATTGTATTGTAGTGTATTGTAGTCGTAACTGTAATTGCAATTGTAATTGTATTGTATTGTATTGGTATGTATGTATGTAGGTAGGTAGGTATGTATGTATATATATATATATTTATACATATATATATAAATAAATATATATATATATCTATACTTATATTTACATTTATATTTATATTTATACATAGTATACATATATATATACATAGATAGATATATATATAGAGATTTTACATTTATATATATATATATATATCAAAATTTAATTTGTGTTTTTATTTATATTTATATCTATATTCATATCTATATTTTTATATTTAGATTATATATATAATTGTGCAGTATACATATATATACACATAATGATTAAGTTAAGCTTATATATGTTCATTTGATTGTGATTATATAAATGATTTATCGCTATTTATCATGACGTATCCATCTATTTCAGGGGAAATCTGTCCCCAAGACCGGCTGCGCCTGCTCCGAAGTTGTCTCCAACACTTCCGAGGACAAGCACGCGGCCACCTGCAGCGTGGTGTATACAGATCATGATAACCCAGAAAAGTGACGGGAAAACATTTGGCAGTGTGTCAAAACCAATAGTACCCCTGTAGTTCACATCAAAATAGCTGGGATTTATGGATGTTCATCCCACTAAAATATGGTATTAATTAATAGGTATTGATCCATACCCACATATTCCCATTACTTTATGGAACTATTGGAACATTTGGCATTGTACCTATAGGTATTGACCCATAGCCATTTCAATATAGATCAATATAGTATGATAGGATGGGAGGCTCAGCTGGAAGACTTCATCTCAGGAAAATCATCTGAATCAATGTTGATTTTCCGTTGCTAGCTTTGACTAGATAAAGGTGAATCACGAGGTAACAAATACAAGAAAAAAAACTAAACAACACTCAAAGGGCATCTTTTTTGGGTGGTAGCTACACCCAGCTATGTACCAGCTATGTTGGTGTTCACTAGGTTACCTGGGTCTTGACTTTTGACACTTGGCAAGATATCTTCTCCTGGTTGGTTGATGGTGTTCTGCAGGAAACCCTTGGATTTTGATCATCCCCAATATGTTGGGTAGATTTGGATTTGGGTAGTACAATCCCCAAACGAATCATCGACCACTGGTAGATGTTCCCCGCAACCTGTCATGTACTCGCAGCAGTGGTCGCCAGCCCCTTCAACCACGGCCCAAACGCCACTGTTGCGCACCTGCAGTGACACCAGCACCAGCTATGCATCCCAAGGCCAGAAATAAAATGTACTGTGGGTAGGAATTAAGTAATGATACTAACCCAATTCATGCCAATAACATCTATTGCAGACTCTCTGTGAGTTAGAAGCCAGTCAATATGCATAAAAATATATTATGTGTTATGTGTATGTACATGCATAATATGCAACAACTCAAATTAATAAGTGGACTTATAAAATCATAGCTATACATATATATATATATATAATTATATATATGCCCAACAATCCTATAACTTCAAGCCTCATGATCCAATCAAAACAGATCTTGTGGCACGTAATTCGCCCAACAGTTTTCCCCCCCAGTTACCAGTTATCAGTTGGTTGATAACCGAAGTAGTTCGATAAATTCGCCATTCCACTTATTGGACTTATAAACCAACAGAGCCAACGAACAGGGGGACCACCTTGTCATTGGTGATTTCATGGCTATCCCCCATAGTAGTGATGGTTTACTACACCATGTTGTACAGATGGTTTCTTATCATGAAAATCATCATGATAATATGAACCATGATTATTAATATTATTAAACCCTTATTAAACTGATATTCACCATGTAAATCATTTATATATATATATACAGATACATATGGGTATGGATCAATACCTATTATTATCAATTCTAATGGGATGAACATCCATAAATCCCAGCTATTTTGATGTGAACTACAGGGGTACTATTGGTTTTGACACACTGCCATATTAATCATATTTATTTATATATATATATATTTATATATCCCTATGAATTCCTGTGATAAAGAACACAACCCAATGGTCCGGTGAAAAAAAAAACGCGGCACTGCGAAGCGTTCCGCAGCGATGCCGTTGACAAAGGCCACCCCGGCGGTCGCACCGTAGAGCGCCTAGCGAGGCGATGGTCTTCTCGTTGGGTGAATTGGTTATAGCTGGTTTATAGCGTTTATAGCAGGTGAAAGTTCTGGGAAATGATATTTCAAATTATGAAAAAATGATGAAAAAATGGTTGGAAAGTGAGGAACATCATTGTTTCAATCCATGATTTCAGTCTAAGAACATGGAGATGTCAAACATACCACGTCTGTTTCCCCTCCAAAAATAAGTGCTCGAAGTCTCTGGACCAAGGTACGGTGTTGCCAATGATGATGTTCTTGGAAGGATCAAAGCCTCCAGCCACTGCCTGACGTGGGTCACAGGTAGGAGTCGACGTTCCGTTCCTATCTTTTTGGGGATTACGATGTAGGTCTATCCTGATATCCTGCGAAAAAAAGATATCCTTTGATATCCATCAAGAAAGCAAGCATGTGTTTATAGTTACAAAATTCCCAAGAATGACCAGAAATTTTGGCGGATGCTTGCTATTTCTTGGCCAATACCCAAGCAAAACGAGTCAAGTGGCAACATGTCAAGTGGACAAAAACGACAACCCACATGACCCCCGGATGGTGAAGCCCTTCAGATGTCCATCGACCGGGCTCGGCCGAAGCTCGCCTTCCGTGGGGGATAGATGACCAGCGCACCTCCACTCAAGCCCTTGCCAAAGTAATCCTGCCATTTTTGCCGCCAAACAGAAAAAGATTGCGATTTGTTCGCCCTTCAAAACGGGATGATGGAAACTGCTGGAAAATGTGGGGTTGCAACTGCTGAGATCATCCAAAAATTGAGTCCAGGCAGTTTCTAATCAAAATGTCCAGAGCAACGAGCCCTTTTTTGGGTGCTTTCCCCTACCCAAAATTCTTAGCATTTCAATGTTCCCTTAATCTATGGCATCTATGGTTTCAACACGCGTCTGGCCAGGCTAATCCTGATCAACGCCCATGAGTTTGAGTCAGTTTCCCCCTGGTTCTTGCCTTTTCTTGGGGGTAAAAGCATGGTAAATCCCCAATGTTTGAGACCCCAACCCCTCCTGAGAATCACCTTCAAGCTCCAGCAAGACACCCTTCACTGCGAAGGCACCGAAGGATTGGCCCGAAGTTCCCATGAGTTTCCTGAGCCATCTGAGCCAACCAGAGATGGATTAGATCGCCAGCAATAGAAGTTGGCTAAATATAAACCCACGACATAAAAGAGTTAAAAGTTGATTGACCAGGGATTTCTGGATGGATGAGTTGCATAACTGGGGGTTCAATGGGGTGCGCATTTTGATCATTTTGGCTATCTGGATTGGGATCGTGGCGACCCCCAGAAAAAACAAACTCGCAGAATGGAACCAACCCTCCACATGAAACAGTATCGTCTGAGCAACTAACCCCGGAACTGGCAAATCCTGTGGCCAAATTTGCCAGAGGGTATATCAGGGTGCAACCCACCAACCTCTCCCCCGTTCGGGGAGTCCGGAAGTCCAAGAGAGTCCAGCAGCCCCTGATATGGTATAATTCAAGCGAGCTTCAAATGGCATGTGCCGGGAGGCAAGCTGGATCCCCATCGCTTGAAAATCCTGAGCCGCCAGGGTCAAAATGTTCCATCTTTGAGTCCCAGCGTCCATGAAGGCTCCGCAAGTTTAAAATGGGGTTACCCCAAATCATCAAAGTCATTGGACCATTTTAGTATTGAAACCTATCGTTTTGGAGATCCCCGATTTTAAGAAACCCCCATATGCACACTACATGTTCTTCAAGATGGATGTTTCTGGACATCCAATCCATGAAAAAGGACCTGTGGGAAGCCCTCTTTTCAACGCACAACCAGAGCCTTCAAACACCACAGTCCACTGTAAGCCGTATCTCAAAATTGAGTGTAAGTGTAAATCAATGCTAGCCATACTTTAAATATACTTGATTGACAATGAATGACCATTCACAAATACATGGACCCTGTTCGCTGATTAAATCACTCATGTTTCAACTCATGTTTCATGTTCACAGCGAGGGTCTCATGCGACAACAATGTTCCGCATGTGCGATCGGCATTGATAATGTGAGGGCTCTCCACGTAGCTTCGTTCGCCGTAGCGGAAGGTCATCTTGCACTCCTTCCCCCACCATTTTCGGAGATGGCAATTGGTGGCAAGCATCTGACACGCTGATCAGTGTGACCTACCCAACGGTAAAACCCCCAATGTTTATGTATAATATATATATATATATATTATGTATGTACGTATGTATATATATATATACGTATATATACATATCTATAAGAAACATGAAAACAGAGAAATTGGGATCGATAAGGTAGTTGTGGTTTATTTTGGGGGTTGTCACAGTACTGGTCGGTATCATGATCTATATATATATATATAGGGAGAGAAAGAGAGAGAGGGGGACATATTCCATGTAAGAAGTTTCAGGCCTTGAATGTGGGGCAGGTGTGGCAGCAGAACGGCTTAGTTCCGGAACATTTCCGCCAACATGTGGGCCCCCAATGTGGGCAGCTCTTTTTTTGGGGGGGGAAAAAAAACAACAGTGCAACTTTAATACGGAAAAGGATGATACACCGTATTTTTTCCTGAGTTTGTCTCCATATCCCGGGTTTGGCCATAGTTTATCCCCATTATTTCATGGCCATTCGCAGTTAAAAATCCTCTCATTTGGAACAGACCAAGTCGGTCGGTCGGAGTCCTCCACCAGAGTTCGGTCAATCATCCTTTGAAGCACCATGAAGTGCTCCTGACCGTAGAGCTTTCGGTTCTCCACTTTGCCTGATCAGGTGAACACAGGAGAAAGGAAGAGACAAAACATCAACGTGTTGCAGCATATAAAAACCAATGTGCTCAATAATAAAACGTGGGAGCTGAAAACGGATGAGTCCGGTTTTTCGGAGAATCCAAAAACCCAATTTTCGACTGGAATGGTGTGGGTTTTGACCAGTAAAGAGTTGATTTTGCAAACTTTCACTTCATCCAAGTCTGAGTTTCAGCTCAGGTTTGGTTTGTTACTCTCCCCGTATTTTCTCCCACTATGCTCCCATTCCTACAATACTACCAGTCCCAAGAACCAAAAATCAACGATGGTTTCCAGAAACCACCAAATGTTACAGGGCCGGGAACCTTCGCCGAAGGACCCATCGTCAAATCCAGCAAACTCTGTGCAGTGTTTTGTGATGATTTTCCTTCAAAAATCACAACCCACGGATCCATTCATTCTGATCGGCGGTTCCAAGGCCGTCCAAAGCAGGGATAACTATGAGATTTTCCACCTCCATCAGGTGGGATTTTAGGCCCCAAAACACACTATGGTCACTATGGTGATATTTGGGGGTTCAAAGGGGGGTACCCCCAGTCCTCATCCATTTTTGGCTGGGATTTTCCATGAAATAAACCATCCAATGCTCGCTATTGGGGTACCCCCATGACTATGGAAACACCCATCATTCTTGTATAATATTGATCATGACATTAACTATCATTCACAATCATTAACCATCATTAACCATAGATATTTATCACCCACTGATTCGTGGGTCACCAAGCGACCCATCTTCCCGGCGTCTGGCAGTTGATGCGCTGGAGCCAGGATGGGCTCCAACTGGAGGGGACCAGCACGCAGGGCTGGGTCTTGCCGCAGGACCTCGACGGCGACGGGAAATCATCCCGCTGGACAAAAATCCTGCAATGGTGATTTAATGGGATTTATATGGGTTTATATGGATTTGATTCAATGGATCCCTGTTCCATTCTATAGTAAACACTGGCCTACCAGCCTCATCTCTATAGAATCGTACCCCCAGGTGATCTATTTTATAGAGATTTTTCCAAGGAGGATTTCAATGGTGTTTAATGGGATTTCAATGGTGATTAATGGTGGACTCACTATGGTCTAAAATTGACCCAGATTCATCCATATTCACCAACCATTCACCAACCGTGGTTTTTGCGTGCACGAAGCCGAGGGGCTTCGGCATGTCCAATCAGCTCATCCATGTTGCGGAAGCCCATCTTGGCCATCAGCACACGCACCTGTCTATGGGTCAAAATTGACCCACGCAAACCGCAGATTCTGTTGGTTCTACTACCCATTCAATTTCGAGGTACCTAATTTGGACCCATAAGGTAAATGTTTTAGCCAGAGCAATGAGGAATATTTGTTTATGATGAATTCTATGAAATAGCACGCAATGGATAGTTGGCTTAGCGAAAGTCCTCGTCCACAAAATTTGGAACCTGGCACCCTCTACTGTTCCAATGCCTCCTCAGCCACCAGCATGAGGTAATTCACCACATGCTCCGGGAGGCCCTCGAATTTCTTGCGCAGCACCGGATCTTGCGTGGCAATGCCCACGGGGCAGGTGTTGAGGTGACACTTCCTCATCATGATGCATCCTTGGCTTGGCCAGATCCACTGCTGGAAAATTCTTGGTGGAATAAACAGTGCCCATGAAATTTCGGCTGAGAAGATCTCAAAATCACCCAAAATAACAAATCAAAGTGTATCCCATAGGATCCATGGTGCTGGTATATATGCTAACATTGGGGGTATACTGATGGGATCCATGTTACCATATATAGCATACATGGCATACATGGATCCTATGGGTATGGCTATACCCTCCATCCAGCATCCCATGGCAATCAGTGGCGCCGTGGCGAAGCCAAACCTTTCAGCCCCTAGCAGTGCCGCAATGATCACATCGCGTCCAGTGCGCAACTGGCCGTCCGTCTCCAAGGTGACGCGTCCGCGCAGGCCGTTCAGCACCAGGGTCTGATGCGTCTCTGCCAGGCCGATCTCCCACGGGGCGCCCGCGTGTTTGATCCCTGTCCACTTGGAGGCACCGGTGCCACCATCGCAGCCGCTGATCAGAATATGATCGGCCTTGCACTTGGCCACACCGGTGGCCACCACACCTACACCAATCTCACTGACCAGCTTCACGCTGACACCTGCGTCCGGGTTGGCGTTCTTCAAGTCGAAAATCAGCTGCGCCAAATCTTCGATGGAGTAGATATCATGGTGAGGTGGAGGAGAGATGAGACCCACCCCAGGAGTTGAGTTTCGGGTCTTGGCAATGCCGCCTTGCACCTTCTTCCCTGGCAGCTCACCACCCTCACCAGGCTTGGCACCCTGTGCCATCTTGATCTGCAGTTCCAGGCCGTTGGAGAGGTACTCCATGGTCACGCCAAAACGACCTGCTGCCGAGAGCTTCCAGGAAAAAATCTGACCAAATGGAGGGATGAAGCAGAAAAAACATGAAAATCACCTGCAAAGTTGGCATGACATTCCAACATCATTACCAGTTTAATGATTAACCTGTTGCCAATTGCTTCGTCCTGCCATGGTTAGTTGGGTTTCATCCAGTATCCATCAACCAGGGTCAAGCGGCATCATCCAGTATCAACCAGGGTCAAGCGGCACCTGAAGCAACCTGCTTGATGGCTGACTTCAAAGAATCGCCATTGGGAAGTGGCTCGTACCTGGCAGGTTTGCGTGACCTGGGTGTTCAAGTTGAGGCATCAAGGACACACATATGTACTGTATGTACATTCTTGTACATTTAGATATACATACACACATACACATCTACATGTATATGAAAGTCTATAATGGCATCATCGTCATCATTCCAGGTATACATAAAGAATATGTATGTATACATATATATATAATGTATAATATATATATATATATATGCATAATTATGCGTATACTATTATCATTATCATTATTATTGGTATTATAATTATGTGGTAGTATTATGTAGTATTGTCATTATCATTATTATATAGCATTGCCATTATTAATATTAATTAGTATTCTTATCATTATTATTCAGTATTATTATATACTATTATTTTCATCATTATTGCTATTGTCATTCTTACTATCATTAACAAAAAATACCATGAATCTATTATCATACATTATCGTGTATTATATATATTTATTTATTTACATTATCATATCATCATATTCTCATGTTTATATTGGAACATATTGGAACTATACCAGAATATAGTATTATATTGGAATATGATGATATAAACATGTAAATAATTAGTATTACTATTATATAATCATATAAATATCATATAAATATCATATATAATCTATTTCATTACTGGAACATATTGGAATGACCTGGAAGGCACTCTTCGAAAGCCAACACCACCGTACCTGGCGGGGTCTTCGCCGCCCTCGCCGGTGTTGGAGAAGCCACCCAGGCGGTTCAGGGCGATGGCCAGGGTGCTGTGCGCCTCACGGAGATTCTCCACGGAATCCCGGGGAAATGGGGAGGAAAAAGGGGAAATGGTTATTTAACATAGCCTTGGAAAATTGCCCATTTATAGATGATTTTCCATATTTTCCCAGCTAGAAACCTCCATTTATGAGGGATTTTCCATGGGAAATCATCCAGAAATTTGGGCTTTGGATGTGGCATTTTTTGAGACTTAGATCCAATTTATGGCCATGAATGGCCAGGGGTTAAATGATTTTTTCAACCATGAAACTTGGAGGTACCCTATCGCACGGCAGGTTCCGAAAAGATCCATGGTCTGCAATGGTGAGATGATACGAAAGGCTTCCAGGGTCATGTGTCTGTTGAAAGCATGCAGGAAGCATGCAGGCATTGATCAGATCCGAACTGAGTTGGAAAATGGTTCTTCCACAGTCTCGCAAGCTTATCAAGCTTGGAGCAGAACAGCTCCTCTCAATGCACTTGAAGAAATTTGACCATCTGAATTGAAATGAAGTTACTAGCCTCTGGTACCCATCGTTCAGCGGGAATTTCAGGACCCTAAAATGGAAGTGCTGCACTTTTTCAATCCATTACGTGGTACCTCCAATGGCCGTCCCTGAAACCATGCAGCCAAAACTGGCGAAACCGGACCTCCATGGAAATCGATCCATAGGACATAGCACCTCTCAGCCGCATCTTTTTTCGCTGGGAAAAAAAAAACGTATAAATCGAGGGTAAAAAAAGCTAGGAAAATCATCTATAAATGCTGGAGTTTCCAGCACGCCATGATTGCTGGAGGGATACTGGAGGGTAAATTGACTCTTGCAAACTTGGCCCACATCAAATGACCCATTTGAGGGTCGCCTTCATCATCCTTCATCCCTGCACAAAACGGTTAAAAATTTGCAGACAAACCCGATGGTCCCATAGGTACTGACCCATCTAGAGATGATTTCAGAAAAATGTCCATCTGTATAAAAATGATTAAACATGTGTCAATCCCCACTGGTTGGTGATGTCAACTCTGTAAAAATATACAGCTCAATTGCGGATCATCAATCATCATCTCAAATATGCTCGGAAAATATGTGTCAAACCCATTGCCAACCAGCGTCCTCCCTTTCTGCCGAACCTGTGCGGAAGCGCTTCACAATCTCGCTGGCAGGTTCCACCGCGTCCAGGGGCAACGCTGCGCGGCCGTAGCTCCTGATTCATCAATGGGCTGAAGGGAAGATCTTTCGGAAACCATGATTTTTACAGTTTTTACATGTTTTTACCATGAAATTTAGTTTTTTCCTGTAGATTTTCCCTTAAACCAATCCAATGAATCAATGGGTCAAGATCCTTGGAATGTCTTGTAAGATGGATTGGAAAAATAAACAAAGATCTAAATTATGTAATTTACAAATATCATTCACTCACCTCACCCATCCAGAGTGAAACTCTGGTGTTTTACAAAGATTGGCGAACAGCCTTAATTCATTGGGATACGGATTCGACCTGATTCCTCATGTATGATTGATCAGATGCTTGTCCCACCGAGCCATGCATTTCATCATCTGAGGAAATTGTGCGCCTCCAGCAACCAAATGCCATGGAAAAAAAACATGAAAAATAATGAACAATATCATGAAAGAAACCTGTTTGCAAACTATGATGATTGAAATATATTGAAACAATCATGGTAATTTTATTGGGTTCAATATATTGTTTTGGAAACCCATTTATTTGGTTCATCCAGTGAACAAATAAACGATTGAACCATTGGTTTTTCCCCTTCAACGATCAAAACCGCACAGCTCCATCGACCTGGGAGGCTTGAAGTCAAGTTGTCCACGAATCGAGGATGCCTTCACCTCACATCCGAAGGTTCGTCTACATCAGGGGGATGGACTCAGCCATAAAATGGGAAACATGTGGAAATAAATTCACCATCGAACATAGGGACTTTCTAGGATTTTCTATGATTTTACCTTGGGTTCAAACAAGAAATGATCGACACTTTCCCAGATTTTGGGGACTTTCCAGCAGGTCATCTTTGGGCCATTGGAAGGTATGTCGCTTTTTGGGGTCATGCTGTCCCCAACAATGACATGTCCATCGCTGCTGATGAAATCCTCCTTTTTCCTGGTTGAATCCTCATTTTTTCTGGTGAAATCCCCCTGCGTTTCTAGTGAATCCTATTGTGACATCCTCATTTCTCTGTTGAAATTCCCCCTTTTTTCTGGCCTAATGAAGTGCTCATTTGGTGGAGTCCCAACTTGTTCTTTGGTGAAACCCGTATTTTAGCTGTTGAAATTCACCATCTTGCTGAGGCGCCAAGTTGTTGTGCAAGGCTGCAAAGGATGCATAAGCCGCCCTTGAGTTGGTTCGGGCAGCCTGGAGAGCAACTCTTCTGCCCATGTCAAACATCTGACTGTTGGTCCATGTTGTTATACAAGTGTTACCTGTTAATGATTCATGATTCATGTTCCAAGCGTTGAAACTAAATCTCTACCAGTAGTACCGCACAAGGCGGTGGCGGAAGTTTCAAAAATAGGAAACCTATAGGAGAGCTTGGTTGTTGTGAATCAGGGATGGCAGAGCGAATCCACTGATGGACCGAAAGGTGCTTGAGGTCTCCTCTCTTTCTCTCTCTTTCTCTGACTATCTACCTACCTATCTATCTTCTATGTATCCATCTATCTATCGATCTATCTCTCTCTCTCTTTCATCTAATTACCTATCTATCTATCTATCTATCTATCTCTCTCTCTCTCTCTCCCTTTCCTCTGTCTATCTGTCTAGCTGTCTACCTGTCTATCTGTCTATCCATCTATCTATCTGTCTATCGGTCTACCTGTCTATCTGTGGTGCAGTGTCATTCAATGTAATGAGTGTAGTGTAGTGTAGTGTAGTGTAATGTAGTGTAGTGTAGTGTAATGTAGTGTAGTGTAATGTAGTCTAGTGGAGTGTAGTGGAGTGTAGTTTTGTAGTTGCAGTTGTAGTTGTAGTTGTAGTTGTAGTGTGGTGGAGTGTAGTGTAGTGTAATGTAGTGAAGTGTAGTGGAAGGTAGTGTAGTGTAGTGTAACGTAGTGTAGTGTAGTTTTGTGAAGTGTAGTGTAGTGTAATGTAATTTGGTGTAGTGGAGTGTAGTGGAGTGTAATGGAGTGTAGTTGTGTAGTTGTAGTTGTAGTTGAAGTTCTAGTTGTAGTTGTAGTGTGGTGGAGTGTAGTGTAGCGTAGTGTAATGTAGTGTAGTGTAGTGGAGTGTAGTGTAGTGTACTGTAGTGTAGTGTAGTGGAGTGTAGTGTAATGTAATGTTGTGTGGTGTAGTGTAGTGTAATTTAATGTAGTGGAGCGTAGTGGAGTGTAGTTGTGTAGTTGTAATTGTAGTGTTGTGGTGTGTAGTGTAGTGTAATGTAGTGTAGCGGAGTGTAGTGTAGTGTAATGTAGTGAAGTGTAGTGAAGCGAAGCGAAACGACATCTGAGCCTCCAAAAGTGGTCCGAACCCCTAGTGTTTTTAACATGTTGACTTCAAAATGTGCTTCGCGCCACAACGGCGTGCAATTTTTCGAGATCTGAACTTCCAAAAGTGGTCCGAACCCCTAGTGCTTTTGACATTTTGACTTCCAAATGTGCTTCGCGCCACAATGGCGTGCACTTTCTCCACATCTCAACTTCCAAAAGTCGTCCGACACTGAAGTGTTTTGTACATTTTGACTTCCAAATTTGCTTCGCGCCACAACGGCGTGCACTTTTTCGACATCTCAACTGCCAAAAGTGGTCCGGAGCTGGTGTGTTTTGTACATTTTGACTTGAAAATGTGCTTCGCGCCACAACGGCGTGCACTTTTCCGACATCTCAAGTGCCAAAAGTGGTCCGCACCCCTAGTGTTTTGTACATTTTGACTTCGAAATGTGCTTCGCGCCACAACGGCGTGCACTTTTTCGACATCTCAACTTCCAAAAGTGCTCCGAGCACCAGGTGTTTTGTACATTTTGACTTGGAAATGTGCTTCGCGCCACAACGGCGTGCAATTTTTCATCTTTCTGGCCAGCTGGCTCCGCACCCGCCGCTTTAGCGAGCCTTCTTTTCGACCCTCCAGAGCCACAAATCATTGGAAAAACACAGTGTTTCGCGACTTTCCTACCTTTTCACGCATCTGCATCTTCTTTCTTCTTACTCTTTCTCTTCCACTCTTCTTTCTTCTAATCTTTCTCTTCTCTCTGCCTCTTCCCTGCTCTGCTTTTCATCTGTCCATATTGTCGGAAGTTTGACTTCTAAACTTCCTTCGATGATATATATATATATACATACATATAGGTGTATATATATATACATAGTATATTATATATATATACATAGTATATTACATATATATATATAAGAGTTAATGAGTCGGGGTCCATTCGGGATATTCTTATGGGATCTTATGGGCGCGTCGAACAATATAAAACTACATGAAATGCCCTTTTTGTGGCTGAAAGCCTGCTCTACTGATGACGCTGATGGCAGTGGAAATACCTGAATTGGGAACTCCCTTTAATTGGTACGTACAGTAAAGCTGGCATGTTGCGTGCTTGACTTTCGGGACTGTATCGAAATCACTTTAACCCAGGGATAGTCGCTTTTCTTGAAAGTGGACGGCCAAAGTTGGTTTAGGTTTCCCAACGGCTCAGGGTTGAAGCACAAATTCAGCTTCATCGACCAACTTTCCCAACCTCCTGAAGCTTGGCGATGACCATGGGGTCGTTCAAGTGCTTCTCTGCATCCGAGCCTACCAGGGCAAGGGCGATCATGTCGCCAAAATTCATCGCAGAGGGACAGCCGATCGACAAATGTTCAAAACATGTTGTATTGTATAATACAAACCCCCTTTTTTGGATCTTTTTGGGGAGACAATCTGGACCCTCCGCAGCCTTGGCGGTAGTGGTACTTGCCCTCATTCGGCAAGCTCGCGAAGAGGCTCTTGACCTTGGCACAGATCCCCATCTTCTTACATCCCAGTTTTGGGTTGGATAAGATATGTTTCATCTCAAATCCCCACATTTCCTGGAATTAACCCCCCTATTTTTCCTGAAACTGCATCTCTTGATCTCCTCATCTCACCATTTTTCCTGGCCAAATCCCTATGTTTCCTGGCATGTTCGCCCCGGCCTCCCGTTACGCCCCCCGTTACAACCGCGGCGCCGTGTAGCCGCCGTCCAGGGAGAAGCCGCGGTCGTGCACCGAGAGCGTGCGCAGGGCGATCTGCTCAAAGCCCAGGCCGCCCAGCTGCGAAGCGATGCCAGTGAAGCACATCTCAGCCACTTCCTGGAGATCACGGCTGGCAACCTCTGAAGGGACTCATATGATACATATGGATATATTCATATGTATATATACATACATATATATATATACATACATATATATATATATATTTATGTACATGTATGTATTAGTATGTGTATATATATATATATGTATATTTACGTAAATACATATATATATATACACACGCTGTGCTATACAAGACTATTGATACCATGTGTATTATTTATATATATATACATATATATTATGTATAATTATAAATACGTATATATTATAAATATTTCCCCACATCTTTGCGTGGGGTTCTTGGTTTTTGGTTGTGCACTCTCGCCTGCCTTCTCCCGCCCGCCTCCTCCCGCCGCCTCCACACAACTCGCACACACACACACAGCTTACTCACACAACACACAACTTCCTCACACACAACTTACTCACACACAACTTGCTCACACACAACTTGTCCACACACACAACTTACTCACACACACACAACTTGCTCACACACAACTTACTCTCACACAACCTGTCCACACACACAACTTACTCACACACACACAACTTGCTCACACACAACTTGTCCACACACAACTTACTCACACACAACTTACTCACACACAACTTAATCACACACAACTTCCTCACACACAACTTACTCACACACAACTTGCTCACACACAACTTGTCCACACACAACTTACTCACACACACAACTTACTCACACACAACTTACTCACACACAACTTACTCTCACACAACCTGTCCACACACAACTTACTCACACACAACCTGTCCACACACAGCTTCCTCACACACAACTTACTCACACACACACACAACTGGCGACATCGACCTTCACTTTGCGTGGCAGGCATGGCAGTTGGAGACATCGACCGTCACTTTGCGTGGCAAGCGTGGCACTTGGCGACATCGACGTGCATTCTGCGTGGTAGGCGTGGCACTTATGCGTGGCAGGCGTGGCACTTGCCGACATGAACCGTCACTTTGCGTGGCAGGCGTGGCACTTGGCAACATCGACGTGCATTCTGCGTGGCAGGCGTGGCACTACTTCTGCGTGGCAGGCGTGGCACTTGGCGACATCGACCGTCACTTTGCGTGGCAAGCGTGGCACTTGGCGACATCGACGTGCATTCTGCGTGGTAGGCGTGGCACTTATGCGTGGCAGGCGTGGCACTTGGCGACATCGACCGTCACTTTGCGTGGCAGGCGTGGCACTTGGCGACATCGACGTGCATTCTGCGTGGCAGGCGTGGCACTTATGGCATTGAGCTGGCTCGGGTGGCAGGCGTGGCACTTGAATCACTTTGCGTGGCAGGCGTGGCCATTGGAGACATGGGCGTGCGCTTTGCGTGGCCACTTTTGCCACTGGGCTGCCTCTGGTGGCGCGCTTGGTTCCCGTTTGGCGCCGTGGTCGCCGCGGCTGTTTGCGTGGCAGGTGTGGCACTTGGCAGCATCGACCTTCACTTTGCGTGGCAGGCGTGGCACTTGGCGACATCAACCGTCACTTTGCGTGGCAGGCGTGGCACTTGGAGACATGGCTGCGCACTTTGCGTGGCAGGCGTGGCACTTTTGGCGTTGGGCTGGCTCTGGTGGTGCGCTTGGTTCCCAGTTGGCGCCGTGTTCGCCGAGGCTGTTTGCATGGCAGGCGTGGCACTTGGAGGCATGGACTTTCATTTTGCGTCGCAGGCGTGGCACTTGAAGACATGTGCGCGTCAGCCGTGTGTGCCACTTATGCCACTGGGCTGCCTCTAGCCTGCTTGGTTCCCGTTTGGCGCCGTGTTCGCCGCGGCTGTTTGCGTGGCAGGCGTGGTGGCACTTTGCGGCATCGACCTTCACTTTGCGTGGCAGGCGTGGCACTTGGCGACATCAACCGTCACTTTGCGTGGCAGGCGTGGCACTTGGAGACATGGCCGTGCACTTTGCGTGGCAGGCGTGGCACTTTTGGCGTTGGGCTGGCTCTGGTGGCGCGCTTGGTTCCCAGTTGGCGCCGTGGTCGCCGCGCTTGCCCACGCAATACTTGTACACGCAACGCTTTTACATCCACTCCTGTCCCATACCGCTCTTTCACCCACAGGACTTTCACACACGACTCTTCCCCACACACCACTTCTACACACCACGCCTTTACACGCACTTCTTTCACCAACATCACTTTTACACGGAACTCTTTCACGCACCTCCCTTCGACATGCATTTCTTGCACACACCGATCCTCCACCATCTCTTTTCTCTTTCCTGCCTTTCCCATCCCGTCTTCACCTTTCTTTGGCTGCTTATTGGAAGAAGTTGACATGTGGGGTTATCCAGTCCTTTATATTTTTTTCTCTTGCACAATACTTTGGTCCGGACGAGTGGGGAAGTGTTGCCTTTTTTAAGATGGATTTCAACTACTTTCTGCCAGCTGATGGTGAGATGGAGGGAGCCCAACAACTGATGAGGATTTGCAAAAGACATGGATGGTGATATTTCTTCGACAATGTAACAAACAAATCGAAATTCACGATGAGATGAGACGAGATGAGATGAGATGAGATGAGATGACATGTGGTGAGATGAGATGACATGAGATGAGATGAGAGGGGAGGAGAGGAGGGGACGAGAGGAGAGGAGATGGGGATCGCCCACCAGCCATCCATTGCGACTAGTGTGGATAGATCAACCAAATAATCTTGATTGGGTTAAGCAACAGCTTACCATTTGGGACGAAGTAGGGGATGGGGATATTTTGGACCTACCCAGTGACATGTGACGATGGGGGAAGGACAGCCAGTAACAACGTCTAAACGGGGGATTGAATGATTGTTCGGCTACCAGCAACCATCGGAAGATCATGGGGATAGAATCATAAGTCATGATAGAAGCAACCATCAATTGGGCTAGCAGTTCCCATGGCTTTCAGCAAATTCACTGAAAATCTAAGGCGGAAGGAACCCTGTGACACGAGAGTCCTTGCCAAGACCAATTGCATCCGCAATTTGCGCGCCCTTGTAACTGCGCAACGTTGAGATGCCCATCTTTGCCATGATCTTCCTAGGAAAAGCGGGCGTAGTGACCTTCCAATGATTTCTACCTCAAGTTTCATTACCTCAACTTCAGAATTTTCACCAGAAACATATGGGCATCCACTGCACATCGCGTTTCTTCCAGCGGATATGTTCTCGATCAAAATGTTGCTATGGCCCATGACTTACAAATTTAAGAGCGCTGTGAAAAATATTCCATGTAAAATAGTAAAATACAGTAAAACTAAGGGACTTTTTGATAACAACTATTGAACTTTCAATAAATCTTCAAAATGGTCCGGCTTATTATCATTTTGGGCCAGTTCTAATCCTATTGACCCCTTCAGTGAGGTTGCTATAGTTTACCCATTAGTGGGTTTACCACATTGGTCTTCTCGCAATTTTGAGTCACATTGTTCTTCTATTTCCTCTCTTTGTCAACATATCAACATCACCTATGGGTTAACCACTCTTTGACCACCAAAAAAGGTGATGTTTTTCAACCCACCCAAAGAACGAGAGGAAAACACGCCACAGAAGACCCCTGGCCAAGGCGCAGCAGTCCTTTGCCCACGGCCTTCTGATATTTGCCGAAGCATTGATCTGCCGACCAGTCGGCTCCGAACCTGTCGATTAGGGTGGCCGGCTTTGATCTTCGGGAAACACCCAGTGAAAAGGCTAGGAGAATGATGGAAAACTATGAAAAATTATGGAAAAGTATGGAAAACTGTGGAAAGTGATGGAAATTGATGGTTAAAATCGACTTAAAACCCCAGGGGCATCCAAATTATGGGCACTCCTGGTGCGGTGTCAACTGGTTTTTGATGTTTTTGCCAAGCTACTTTCCTTCGCTCGCAAGGACTCTCAGGGCTTCGTAGGCCATGTAAGGGAACACTGCATCGCAGCCGAAAGTCAGCAGCAATGCCTTGGTCAATATGTGCCAGGCTGAATTCCGTCAAAGCCATGGCCAGTTTCAGCACTTTGAAAATGGGAAAATGATCGAATAGACAGTTCATTTATTAATTATCGCTATTATGGTTTATTATGAGTCATCCCATGTCATTTTAGAATCCGTCATGGAGAATCCCCCTGAATGGATGACCATTGATGCCATCGCCGGGAAAACAAGCCATGGCCATCGACCAGAGCCGCCCTGGATGATGGATCAAAACTTGGGGCCCCATTGGGCCATTGGACCGACAAGCCATTGGCCACTGGTCTTTCAAAAACGCCATTAAAATGGTTGGTTTTTGGAAATCCGATACTAGTTTCAGGATCCGGCGATTCTCAAAAATTCTATGGCTTCTGTCAAACATGATAATTCTCTGCTCACGTCTGTGTTGCCACGGAAAAGCACATATCTTCCTTTGAAATGTCCACGTTTTTGGTCAAGGAATTTTGGTAAAGCTAAGTCGTGTCACAGACCTTTTGGGAATTCAAGCATCTGACTGTTTGAAACTTGCCAAAGCCACATGGTGTGCTACCTCATAAGGCTCGCCGCTTTCCATGATCAGAGCGACCTGCACATCAATGGGATGTCTGAGGATAAGGGGCGCACCCAAGCTCTGTGTCTTGGTCAACAAACAGCTCTTGTTTTGAGCATCCATCCCCGCTGTTCGTGGCTTTACCCCAACAAATTGTATGTGTCGCTCTTCTAAAGGCTACTGTATTACAGGCTGAGCTGTGCCTTCCAGCAGTTTTTGGCTTACGAAACTATTGCAGCACAACTATCCCCACTATTGCCGAAACGAGTGTTAGTCATATCCCACTATTGCTGGCGATAGCATCATGGTTACGACTGCATATGACTTCATGCTGGGGAATGTATATTGCATTATATTGCTTCAGCCACATCCCGATGGTTGCTGGATGACCGAGTACTCATTAATCAAACCATCCAAATATTCACCCAGTTCTTTCCTTTTGAGTCCTGGTCCACTGGTTGTATTGCAACCAGCGCGCCGATGGCACGGCAGGCTTGGTCAAATCTCCACTTGTGTCGGTCAAACGACCTTTTTCTGTGGCTGGAATTCTGACTTTTGAAGAAATGGCACTGGAACATCCAACCATTAGCGAACGAATCTCCAGCAATTACAACAATCGTCTGAGGTCACGTGAATCCTGACTGTGCATCCACTTTTGTCAGGTTTTTGGGGTAATCCTGGAAATCGGACATACAGTCAAAATCTGTGGTTAAAATCTGTGATTAAAATCTGGTTGAACTCCTTTTTTGGGATCTTTTTGGACTCCCGAAAATGTGACGACCAACCCGTAACATACCGTAACCCTTTAAGCACTTGCTATGGCGTCAATTCTCAGTCATTATTTAAAAAAAATGGTTGACTATATCTTGTATAAAATACTACTCCCTGAGCACTTGGTTGTACAGGCTTCTTGGTTGACCCCACCATTTGCTGATTATCATATTTCGACCAACGAATGGTGAAATCCCAATCTGCTGCTTAACCCCGGCCCTAAAGCCCTACAAGGTGAGGCCCCAAAACGATAGCTAAGTGGACTTTATAACTTGGTTAAGGGTTGGTTAGGGAAATAACTTGGTGTAGTTAATGGATGTACAAACCAACAAGCATCACTTGGGGAGCCTCACATTGGCCCTCCTTTGTTCCATCGTTTGTTGATAGTTAGCCATCATAGACCTGCACAGTCAAATTAACCAAAATTAACTATACGTAGTTAGTCATCCCGTGATTATTCTGGTTAATTGTAATGGAAATATTGACTATATATTAATTAACCGATGTTCATGATAATTATATAATACAGTGGGAATATCCACTATAGACAAGTATATCCCATGATATGCATTAACTATATAGTTATATCATGTTATATCTCCTTATAATTAGTCATCCACTATAGACTGCTAATGATTCATGGATGATCCCTGCAGACCTCGGTGCTGTCCCACCTTGGTGCGCAGCTTCTGCTTCACCAGCGCCTGATGCACCGCTCCGCTGCACAGCAGCGAGGGCAAGGGCACCTGATCCTCGCTGGTGGACCTGGGTTTCCCAACGGTGGAGGGATGGGTAGAACTTCTGACCTTTAAAAAATGTGGGTTTTCACCGTTTTCACCCACAAAGATGGTGGATTCTGACCTGAAACATGTGGGTTTTAACTTAGTTTTAAGCCACCAACATGGTGGATGTAAGCGTGTGTTAACCATTGGTAACCAAGATACATGGCATCTGTTTACATTTCTAGCTAACAAGCTTGGTGTGTTTTACACAGGTACAATGTTGACCAACAAGAGTTGCATGTTTTCAACATGTTATGCAACCAGTAAAAATTGGGCTGTTTAAAACAAGCCAACCATGGCCGGGAATGTTAATCAACTAACATATATCTACATACATCATCATACATCTACATACAATGATTTCAATTGAAACGAACTCGAGTAGCGACGACAGCAAGGAGGACGGCAACCACAATCATACCCACAGCCACAACCACAACCACAACCACAACAACAACAACAACAACAACGAGAACAAGAACAAGAACAAGAAGAACATGAGCAGACTAAGAACAAGAGACTGAAAAAAATGCAAACTGGGGAGATTATATAAGCAGCAAGAATGGCTACTTGACCAAAAACCATCTTTCACCAACAAAACCATCGGAAATCGCACCGAGATAAGCAGGGGGTGGGGTCATTCCAAAAACAAAACCTTTGAGATTTAGGTGGGGGTTCATTGCAATCTATGTGGGTCCTAGGCTGTTTTGATCGCACCAAAGCTGGTCTTTCTGCGAGCGAGGGCGATTTTTCAACTAACTCTTTCATTGCCAACTGCTGCAAAAAACCACCTGGAACTGCTCTGGCCTGTCAGAGAGGACGATAATCTGGTAGCCATTCCTTAGAGTCACAGTCAGCAGCTCGATCTGCATGATGAAGGCCATGCAACAAGTGGATGCTTTCCATTCAGGGTCCTGGGTCAGTTCGAATTCCTAAAAAATGTTGGTTGCTAGAGAAAAATCCTCCAAAAACTTAGGAATGTCACAAACCTACATCATCCTACATCAACCCCAAAAAGATTGCTCCACTTTTTTTCCTCAAAAATCACCCGCCCGGCAGTGGCAGCCAAGGCGCTTGGCGGCCCAGACAGCCTCACTGGCCACGCGCGTCAAGTGACGCTCCAAGCCGGCGGCGCCTGGGACGTGACACATTTCTTGGATGGTCGTTGAGGGAGAAAACCATCCAAAGGAGCAGTAGATGTTCGTGTATATTGGATTATATATATATATTATATTGGTAGATGTTTTGAAATATAGAAAAGTAGGTACATACGGAAATTTAGAATTTAGATGAAAAGAAACATATGGAAATATTATATATATATACTGTCGAAACTTTAAGCTCCAATAGAAATTTGAGCCAGAGATGTTTCTGGCATTTTCTGGTCATCAATCCGCACCCAAAAAATGATGGTCGACGGTCATACCCAGCTCTCAACCATAAGATTTTGGGATTACCCCCCAAATGGTTTGACCTATACCCAGCTGACAATTGTTGCTTTCCCGATGATTTTCCCATGATTTCCCCAGTATTTCCACATGATTTTCCCATTCTTCTTCCATTCTTTTCCCTTACCATCTTACCATCACCCACCCATGAATGACAAGCAAAATCAGTTTTGAGTGTTGCTTGACAAAAAATGTGGGGATTTCATGCCCCAAAGTACGGTCATCCCATACTCCCCCAATTGGCAATCGACGACCATACCAATCCTCAGATTCTGATAGATTCTATAGCCATTCCTACACACATTGCCGAAAAAGCTCGGCACCATCATTCCGTGGATGTGAAGAAACGCGACGGTGCAGAGACGGTTTTTGCACAGACGCTTTTACACACAGACACTTTTACACAGACGTTTTCACACAGAGACGTTTTTACACGCACAAAAACTTTCACACACAGACGCTTTTACAGACGGAGACTTTTACACACAGACCCTTTCACACATATTGTTTTACACACAGACGCTGAACACATGGCTTTTACACCAGACACTTTTCCACATAGAAGCTTTCACTGACAGACTCTTACACACACAGACGCTCGTACAGACAAAACCCACTACACCCACCAAGATCCATAGCTCTGTTACATATGTTACATTGTTGTTTTCCATCTAAGGGATAATTACTGTTTAGCATCTATATAAAAAAAAAAAACATCATCTACATCAATCTCGGATTTTCTTGGAGGGTAGTAATCCCCAAAATCCCAGCTAAACTACCACTTTCCCACCATATTCCATCTATTTTCCACCCAGCTTTGGCCCAATAATCCCGAATACCCTCTGGTGAACTAACATAGCAATGGAAAATCACCATTTTTAATGGGAAAATCCACTATAAATGGCCATTTTCCATTGCTATGTTAGTTCACCAGAGGGTAATCCCTATGCCTTCACTCATGGGGAAGGTGGCGTCAACGGTGCGGAGCTCCCAGCCCTTCAACTCCTGCGTCAGGGACAGGGCTGCCATCTCCACCTCCGCGAGTCCGGCAGGAAACGGGCACTACTGGGTCTGCTGGGTGGAAGAAGTTTTCCCAACAAAAAACAGGACGAAAGTGGGAAAAAGTTGGCAAAACGTCGGGAAAACGTGGCGAAAACACTTGGAAACTGGGAAAAGGTTGGGAAAACGTTGGGTTATAACACCGAAATCCCTCTAGGAAACCAAATTCAAGATTCTATTTCTTTTGTGGGTTTTTATATATATACGTATAATTATCCTATTAAACCCCCTATACCCATTAGTAATTTTACCTATGGAATAAAGTGGCAACTTTCCATCGCCATCTTAAATTACCAGAGGGTACTTGGTGGCTCATCCCATTTATAAGCAGGGTTATAACCTACTAGGGATGAAGCACCAAGATCCAACATGCCAGGTTATTGACAAATGGAACGAGTAGCTTATTATACCAGTGATACCAGGTCATTAAACTAGTAGGAACCTACTAAGGGCATTTATACATATTTATACCAGTTACCCTCTGGTAATTTGACATAACTATGGAAAATCACCATTTATAGTGGATTTTCCCATGAAAAATTGTGATTTTCCATAGCTATGTTAAATTACCAGAGGGTATATCCAAGTCGATTTCTGTTTGACTCATCCGCATCCAACATGCCAGGTGGCCGGCAAGAGGCACGGATGGTCCAACCAGAGGCGCTGGCAGTGCGCTGGACTCGGATTCGCCAAGATGTTGGTCTCAGGACCCACCCAGCAGCCTGCAAAGACACCCAAGACCATGGGGAAACAATGGAACTCATAACTCATCTATCAATGGGATTAATGGAAGATAATCTATAGGGGAAAACTTATAGAAAATCATCTATAATGGATTAATAGGATAACTTTATTGGGGAAAACTATAAATGAATGGTGATTTCATGATATCTATGGGCATATAATGGCATATGTATATATATATATATAATCCGTTATTGCTAACCAGCTCTTTTTTGATCTTCGCCCTGGGGAAAAAAACGACATGGAGAGTCCCTTCCCCCTTTCTTTTAACAACCCGCAAACAAGCCATGGTTTAGTAGGGGATAGAAACCCATAGGAACCATAGAAAGGTGTTGTTTTATAACTTTTATATTAGGATGGTAATATCCATGATGTTGGGGAAAAAATGGAACCTGTTGGGAGACTAATTGGGGGAAAAGGGGCGCATTCTAGCCAATGATGGTATCTAAGTAATTTTTACACATATAGTATGATAGAAATATATGGGTAAGTTGAAAACCATCTTTCCAAAAACCCTTTCGGAGATCAAATATTAACAATCTAAGTATCGGTTTCAACGGTTTAACCTACCAAACTTGTTTCAGAAGAACCAGACATGACAAGTCACAAGTCTATCTGTAAATGGGGGTACCCCTGGATCCCGTGGTTAATCACAATGTTTCCCTATTAAAGCTGTCATCGTCCTCATCATCATCATCATCATCATCATCACCACCAGCATTAATCATCAGCAAGCCTTCTTTCTGCAATGGAAAGCTAAAGATATTGGAAACCAACGAGCCATCTGTGTCTTGTGGCCTGTTGGGGAAACGCCGCTGGCCTAGTGACATCACCACCGCTTCTCGGATCGGATCGATGGGGGGGTTGGTCACCTGCCAGAGGTTCCAAAATGGCTGAGAAATTGGCCAGTGGAGACTTGTTTCCTGGTCCAAGTTCAACATGTCAGCTATTTACCCTTAAAATATCGAATATTCCCGATTATGAGTCAAGGTTTGGTGGTTTGTGGCTTCAGAATTGTGGCTCCGTTCGGAATCTTGGGCGTTCAAGTCTCAGATTGGAGCCTCGGGTTTGAAAATTAGTTATACAGTACGTAACTAAACGACTTACAAATACTTACAGCCCAATTCTACCACGACTATGACATCACAACAATGACTGGGCCCATACAACATCATATACAACCGAAGTTTGACGACTTCCAAAGGCTTCCAGCGCTCCACCCCGGGCCCTTTGTTGGCCCCCCTTGTAGGGCAGGGCCCCGTTGCCTGAGCAAAGAGCTGGTAGAAGAAGTCAAAGACCGGTCGGTTCTGCTCAGAGAGGCATGCCAAGGGTGTGTCATTTCCCATGCTGCCCAATGCCTCTTCTCCATCCTCCGACGCTGGCGGCTTTGGCATAGGCCAAGTTTGTAAAACCAGAATGAAATGGATGCAACCAAAGATGTTTACTGTAAAATGCAAAACAAGAAAATTATCAGATGAAGATGGCTATCTTTGCCCATCCACCAAGAGGCAGGAAAGAACCAACCAGTTTTCTTTACTACTCAGGCAACTGAACCATGGCAAAGGACAACAAATACTACGATGATCTAAAAACACCAACACTCGACCCCAGGTCTCTATGCGCCAACAAGATGTGCGAATCTTCTGAAAAACAAACTCGGCACATTTCGCCCAAGGATCCTTGCCCATGGGCATCAGCAGCAGTTCCAGGGACTCCTGAAGGTTACACACCAAAATGGTATGGAAAACCCATAGTTTCGCGAAGGAGAACAGGTCTGTTTCCCATACTTCCATACCTAAATTCACTGTAGGATAAACACCGCTTTTCGCATGTTTTTTGAAACAACGAAATGGCATGAGTTGAGTTTCATGTTTGAATCACCACCGAATCAACCCCAAGAACCAGATGTTTCTACGCAGAAAGATGTGTTCAAGCTGCGCTCCTGGGTGTACCCGAAGCCACGCAGCAGAGGCGCTCGCAGGTTTTCGGGGATCGTTGGTGGTTCCACTTTCTTGCTCTCGAGCCTAGGACTGTCACATGTGTCACCAGGAAATCGATGGAAATTAGGGATGCATGCACTCACGGGCAACCCAAATGAATTGGCTTTGGAAGAGGATTGTTTGAAGTCAAAATGAGAATGTTTCTCGCTTTGGTCTTGCTTTTCCGGCACCAAAAATATGGAAAAACACAACTTGAAACTGGCTATCATCCATCCCACATCATCCCACTATATGGGGGGGACTGGGTAGGAAAGATGTGCTGCAAGGCTCCAGGCAGAAAGTATGCAAAATCATGCAAAATCAATTTCGAAAAGTCAAAGAACGAAAAGTCGAAAAACAAAAAGTCGAAAACTGAAAAGGTGTCTTTGTGAATTTCGAAAAGTTGAAAAGTCGAAAAGTAATAACGGCTTATTTTTAATTTCGAAAAATCGAAAAGTCGACGACTTTTTGACATTTCACTTTTTGAATTTTTGGCGGGTGCCTTTCCAGCCGAACATGCGCAGCTCTTTTTTCCAGCTTAGGGATCCCAATTCGATCCAATTTGAATATCAGATGCGTCCAAAAATGAATGGTTCTGGCGCCATTCGGGTTACCTGTTTGGAGAGGTTGGTCCGTCACAAACTGAAGCATCCATTTTTGGGGATGTTAAAATATTACACTAATTCTGACCCACTGACAAAGGTTTGGATTTTACTGTTTCAATTTTTTTACATCTCATTTGTTTGGAACTCACTTTGCCACATCTGTGGTCCAAAAAATCAACCAGTTGAGATGTCTAAGATTCATTTTTGATCATCTTGCTGATCAATTTGATCTTCCCATCAGGCATAAATCATGCAATTGGTCCCAGGGTTGGTTCCCTCGGTTCCCTCGGTCCCTGCCGAGGCAAGGTGCAAGGTCTTCATGGAGATGGACTCGCTCTTCATCCAATCGCCCCAAGGATTGGGTGAGGCAAAGGCGTGTTTCAGTTCAGCGTCCTGTGGCAAGGCGTTCACCGGGGGGCAGATTTCTGGTGGATCACCAAGGGTTGTTGCAAGTTATGGTCCATATTATGGTCAATCAATGCATGGTTAGTGTTCTTTACCAAATGAAGGGTCAATTTGTAGAAATTGGGTGGAACATTGTTGCAAAGTTGTGCCCCAGGTCGTTAGCAACATAGCAAGCAAACTGTTGGGTTTAGAATAGACATCTAACTTGGGAATTGACATTGATTAGTCCAAAAAGTTGGTTTATAACTAGAGCAACAGTTGGGTTTGTGATAGATATATCTACATGTCACGTATATAATGTATATTCTATATATGCATATGGATATGTATATGTATATGTGTATATGTATATGTATATGTATAGTATATTTATATGTAAGCATGCCCCCCCACCCCACCCCACAATCGCGTTCAAAAACGTGCGTTTTACGGGCACGGTTTTCGGTCCGCAGGCATATACATATACATATACATATACATATATACATATATATATATACAAATATACATATATACATATATACATATATACATATATACATATATACATATATACATATATACATATATACATATATACATACATACATATACATTTACATTTACATTTACATATATATATATATACATATACATATACATATATACATATATACATATATACATATATACATATATACATAGATACATATATACATATATACATATATACATATATACATATATACATATATACATATATACACATATATACATATATACATATATATACATATATATACATATATACATAGATACATAGATACATAGATACATATATACATATATACATATATACATACATACATATATACATATACATTTACATTTACATTTACATTTACATATATATATATATATACATATACATATATACATATATACATATATACATATACACATACATATACACATATCCATATACATTTACATTTACATTTACATATATATATATACATATACATATACATGTAGATATATATATACATATATATACATACATACATACATACATACATACATACATACATACATACATACATACATACATACATACATACATACATACATACACACATACATACATACATACATACATACATACATACACATACATACATACATATACATACATACATATACATACATACATATACATACATACATATACATACATACATATACATACATACATACATACATACATACATACATACATACATACATACACATACATACATACATACATACAATATATATATATATTTATTTATTGATGGGTTCATAAATCAACAAACATAAGTGGGGTGAACACCTTGCACCAACCGCGCCATCAAACAGTTCGACCAGCTAGAGATGGATATCAATACCATTCATGTTGGAAGGCCCAGAAAAAGGTATTTGTGTGATTTGGGGATTATTTCGATGTTTGGATCTTGTGGGGGCAACAACCATCAGGCACCTCATCTTGGGTATCTAAACACTGAGGTGTGATCCCCTTTCAGCCGTGGTTTGGACTGAGGCCTCTGTGATGTTCAGATCCAACACCGCACATGCGGAGTGGTTCGGTTGTTCACTGGCTGTTCCCATGAGGGGTGGTTCCCATACAAGAATCGCAGTGAGGGCAGGAACGTATATGTATAGCGTCTGTGTATATATATATATATATTATATATATATGTATACACAATACATATGTATGTAATGCTTCCTATCAGCGCCAGCCTTGGCATTCTACCTGCACACAAAGCAACTGTCCTTGGAAACGGTGCCCTTGGCAAAATCTGCCCACAGCATCTTTCCTCGGTTCCAGACAGAGAACCATGAACTTGGCAGCAAAAAACATTGCCAATCTGCGAAGATACCATGTCTATTTTATATATGTATATGTATATAGATATATGTATACATCCCATATACGGCAAAAGACTAAAGCATCAAACTGCACAATAATCCAAGATTGACCCAGAAAAGTAGATCATTGATTTCCAAGAGTAAAAAAAAACAAACCTCCAAGACTCCAAGATCGTTCAAGTAACCATGCACCAAGGGAAAAAATGTTGTGCATTGTTGTCTGGAAAATTCAACATTGAATCTGTCGATTTGGATCCCTCATGTACCGTAAAATAAGATATAAAACTATAGAAAATGGCCCATTTAAATCAGCTAAATAGATGAATTACCTAAGCCTATGACTCAACTAAGATGTTCCATAGCATTCCATAGGCCAAAGGGTATCTGCCATGGCACCCGGCGACAGCCGGCCCTTCTCCACGATGGACTCCACGGGCAGCTTTAAAACACCACACTCGGAACTGATGATGATTCGCTTCTGATTGGTCACCTCAGCTCAGCGGAGATGATGAGATCGTCGCGGCAGTTTGTTTGGACATGGAAACCCGAGTCGTTACCATCCAATTCAGGGATATTAGAAAGGTTCTGTTAGCTGATCAAAAGGGCGCTATTAAAAAATAATAATAATTCAGAAAAAATGTATATGTTGATAGGGACTACCTGGCTATAGAACAAACTGACCCTGCGCAAAAGTCCAGGGATGGTAGAAAAAACCGACTTGAACATCGCCTAACCATTCGTTGAATCACATCATATCACATCCAATGGCCATCTATTCAGGTGATGCTTAAATCAATCTGGGACATTTATCCAAATGATGATGGGCGAAGATCCAATTCTGCTTATGCGTCAAAATTGATCAAAATTCGCTTGATACGTTTGAGATCTGATATGTTGGTGAGCTTCGGTGGAACCACTCCTGTCCCTGGCTTTTGGCCTAGGAGTTGACTGACCTAAAGGAGTTGACTGGGATTGGTCCTAATTGTTCAATAGCTGCGGGGATTAGTTACTGGTTTCATATGTGTTCATCCGACACACTTCGTGTCATGTGAGATATATGAAAAACATCCAATCCCACCCCAGCAACTCATTCGATTTTTGGAGTGCTGCCGAGGTCTAATCAGATTGATCCACACAGTTGGTGGATGCGCCCTTGCCTTCCATGCTATGTGAACCAGATCACAGTTCAGGCCGCATTTGCCTCCTTCACCAACATCACCACTTAGGGCGGGTGGGTGTGGAAAACATCATGTTGAGTCGCGTGTCAGGCCTTGCGCCAAAATGGCCGGCCATGACGCGCATCTTTGTCCATCAGAAAAGCTTTGCTTTTCTTTCACAACACACTTCGTGTCATGTGAGATATATGAAAATCATCCAATCCCACCCCAGCAACTCATTCGATTTTTGGAGTGATGCCGAGGTCTAATCAGACCGACCCACACAGTTGGTGGATGCGCCCTTGCATTCCATGCTATGTGAACCAGATCGCATTTCAGGCCGCATTTGCTTCCTCTTTGCTCTGCGCGGCATTTGCACATTTCCCACATGTAACCTTCACCACCTCGCCAGCGACAAACTCGTAGTTTGAGCTGTACTAGTGCCATCCGCACACGGTTTTCCACAGGTGCGAGGGGGAGTAGACGTGTTCAGGTGGACCACTTGGTTTCGGTGGGATTTCACCAAGGGAGGCAAATATTTTACGCAGCCTTCAAATTTGATGTTGACTTCCCTTATCGCTCCTTGGAGTTTGGCCTTAGCGCCTTCAGAGTCTGATCTGAAGCTCTGAGGTTCCATTTCCAATTTCTTGGCCATGCTCAACTTGACCTCAGGTTTGGTGCGGAATGTGAGCGTGAGCGCTTGGAGTGAATTTGCGAATTTTCGGCATCCACTTGATCGGAGTTCTTGATGAAGTTGCTGTTGCCGAACTTCATGTCAGCGCTCACGGCCAGGGATTCTAGAGCTTCCTAGGCGTATTCCAGTATAATGTTGCTTTTCTATTTGCCCAGGTAACCGACTTGCGCGACAGCCCAGCCTTTGCGGATATACTGCAATGCGCCTGACCGTCTCGGTGAGTGCCCAGTTAATATATCTTTTCCGAATAGGTTCCTCCAGTCTTTCACCCAATTCGGCCTTCGTCACCTCTTCGTTGTTCCTGGATGCCGCCAGCAGCCCTCTCGGCGCGCCTTTCAGCGCTGCGTGGTTGACCAACACTTCCATGACGGCGTCCGCGCATATGCACTGCATCGTTCTGGAGTTCCACCCACGTCACGGTAACCATCCTGGCGCAGTCTAGTTTCACGTCACTCGATGTCAGGGGAGCGACTTCAATTTCCCGCACATCCATTAATGGACCCCGACTGCGAACAAATGCATGGGTAGCCGAACTTTTACCTTCTGATTGCGGTGATCGGGCAAGATGGAGAAATTGGACCAGTCGTCTTCTGGGACTTCTGGTGCTTTCTTCCTTGGCCACATGCCCCTCTTCGCTGCGTTGACTGACAATTTTAACATATTTTAACCACGCGTCGAGGAAGTGGGACCAGTCAAAACCTTGTTCCAGATGGTGTGACTCGCTTCGATGAGGTATGTATAGGCTGATTTGTATACCGCTTCCTTCAGCGTGGCCGCAATGTGGCAATGAGCTTCATGGAAAAGGGTGTTATAACTTATAACAGGTATAGTATTCCTTCGCCGCGTCCAAAATGTCCTTGTTGGTTTTCCGCTTGGATTCCTTTGCAGCTCTGGAGGAGTTGGCATAAAATGCTGTCTCTAAGTTCTTACCGGCTAAATCCCTACTGCTTCTCTCATGTTGGCCTTCGGCATGGTGTTCACCGACTTCCTCCTGGTGCCTGGAATGTCAGTGCACCTCTTTTCCCTTGTTTGGAGAGGGCCTCGTACGCGGTCTCCGCTGCGGGTGGAGGTAGATGAAGCTTTGGCATGCCCAGGGTTCCGAAGGGATTGTTCCAGTTGGAAAGGCACACAGTCTCTTCACTGGAGAGGATAGCAGTTCTCGCCACCAAGGTCCAGGTGCCGGTTGATCTTGGGCCGTTTGCTGACCCTTCAGGTGTGGGCTTGTTGGCCGACTCAAGTATTGCTGAATCGCCCCGCCCAAGTGATGCCTTCTCATATTCTGCCTTCTGCGGATCAGACCAATCAGGCCACTTTTCCAGGTTTTCTGTTTTGCTTTGCCGCTCCCCTTCTTGTTGCCGTCGTCGACAATCACGCGCGCGTTGTTGTTTCAGTATTATAGTTTTCTCCATCTTCTTTGGCGTCCGTCTCCACTTGAGGTGTGATCGCTCTTACGCCCCCCATGAGGTGGATGCCAACTGTTCCGCGGGTGTCCTCGGCGATCCACAGCTTCCGGATGCAATCCATGTCAGAGCTGGTTCAGAAGGTGTCGTCGAGGGCGATCATAATGAACACGTAATCCCATGGCCTCTTTGGATCCCAGCTTGCAGGCGGGTCTTTTCCGGCCCTCGTGTCCATGAGAACCTTCGCCCTGATTCTGTTTGAATGTGCAGAGCGTGCCAACTCGTCTGCAGCATACACCAGATGCCATGCTGTTGGATACGGTCTTGTCGGCTTTTCTATAACCATCTCGTAGTTGTGGAGCACGGCAAGTGACACTGCATCCAACATTGCCAATGCTGTTCTCAATATCCGGAAGGATGTCCGCCATTGGACAAATGTTGAAGGCCCTGTGGCAACTCCTTCGTGATGTACCCGGTGGAAGTGAGCACGAAGGATCGGAATTTTGCGGCTTTCATCGCTCTCTGTCCATACGGGGCCCAAATGGCGAAGTCCACAAATAGCGCCGCATCCTGAACTTGCATGCGCCTTTGTAAAGCACTTACCTGTTCCACCGTAGGATCTTCCTCGTCTTGAGGCCAACCTCCGATGACTGAGAGGTATTGTTGTGGTACCAGCCTGCGCGGACATCTTCCGACTGCACCACAAACTCCCCATCGTCTGCTTGTGTCATTTTAAGCTTGCGCTCTAAGGGACTCGAATTCGATGTTTGTCCAGGCTGGCTGTTTGGTGTGTCCCTTTGGTATATGAAGGGGGACTGATCTCTCCAAGTGTCCCAGTCTCCTCCCCCACTTACATGTAAGATTCTTTTCGCTAAGTTGCACACCATTCCCACGAGGCATCTGGGAGCTCGTAGAAAGTCCTCACTTCGGCCAGCGTCCTCATCTGCATAGCTGCCGATTGTCGCGGATCAAAAACATCATGTTGATTCGAGTGTCAGGCCTTGAGCCAAAATGGCCGGCCATGACACTCATCTTTGTTCAGAAAAGCTTTGCTTTTCTTTCACCAATTATATCCCCATAATTCCGGCCAAAAATAGGGGTAACAATGCAGCTAGTCCCGGTACAAACCATCCAACCTTGGGCCTTGGGGATCAAAATTTGGATGTGTCTCAAAATTTGGAACCACATAAATTTCCATATGGTTCCAAATTATTCATGTTCCCTATAAAAATGCCATCAAAAAGTGGCAAAGGTGCTCTTCATCTTGAGACCCCACAGCTGCTACACCCAAGTGACATAGTAGCGGCATGGGCGCAGTCCATTGCGATCCAACGAGGCTCCTGGTCGCGTTGCCAGGCCGGGATGCCGAAGGATGCCGAGGGACTGGAGGTGCCTACCATTACCCTCTGGTTATGTCAAAATAGCTATTGAAAATCACCATTTATAGTGAATTTTCCCATGAAAAATGGTGATTTTCCACAGTTATGTTAAATTACCAGAGGGTAAGGGCTATGTAAGGGGATATACCCCAAAAATATGGCTTGCTAAACTCAACTGGGAGACATTTTTCAGAAGTCTACGCAAAATGAGAGCGATTCTGATTCACAAGGCACTAAACATCGGCTTGTCATATCCCTATCCTAGTGTTTGTTCAAGGTTTTCTACTGAATCTTGGATATGCATCCCCAGAATCATTGGTGAGCTACATCCCAAAATTTGACCCTTAGAACAGCTCAATGCTCTCGGCAAAATCGTTGGTATGAGAACCCGCCTCTAAGTACAGCACACAGTCATCTGGTTCGAGTTTGGAGTACAAGAAAAACTGCTTGTGTAAAGCGACAAAATTGTCATAAATCTGTGGTTTGGGTAGTTACCAACATGGGTCTGCTGGAAAATTGAGGGTATATTTTGGTATAATATGGTATAATATGGTATAATATGGTATAATATGGTATAATGGTCTAATTACCATGATATACCCCCAATCACGCCGTTGGGTAAAATGCTACCCGGACTCACCCTATCCCAAAAATGGCAAAAATGGGCTCCTACACCATCGCCATCCGTGAAGCAAACCAGGGCAGGGCCATCCCAAGGTTCCAAAAGTGCGGCTTGGAATTTGTAGTAATCCCGAATCTTCGCATCCATTTGATCCGAGTTTTCCTTGGGATGAGTTGAAGTTGGCTTTTTTTTTTCATGGCACCCGGGGTTTCAAACCACGCAATGAAATGCACGTGTAACCGGATGTTAGACTATGAAATTGTGGCAACACCATGCAACACCTATAGCTGTGAATCCCATGCAATTCTTTGGCCGGTTGGACTAGCGCCAAGACTGCTGGTGCAAGCAGCCTTCTGGGGTATTTACCTACAAGGTGGTACCCAAAAAAAAAGTGTCTTGTTTCAACCCAGTACTGACCTGTTTGTGATGATTTAAGTGGTTATTTGAGGTTGTTATAGTGACTGAAGCATCTGAACCAATACTTGGTTTCGAAGCATGCCATACCGATGACATGGTAGTCCCAAAATGGGTCCCAAAATGATCCCCAAAAACACCTGGGTTCTCCACCCCTAACTTTCACCGAACCAAGATACCCAGGCCGGAGGCATCATCATCGCTACGGCTTCAGGCAAAGTGCGGCCTCACGGCTTTACATCGAGATGATCGAAATTGCGAGGACTTCTCAGCTTTTCCCGAAGGCACTGAAATTGGCACCCCTGGAATAGAAAGAAAAGTTGGAAACTTGCAAAAATATAGAGAAAACATCATCTATAACATGCTCGTTTGCGATAACACCCACATCTGGCATCAAAAAAAAACAAGGTGCTGTGGGCCACAGCGGAAATCATCGGGGCTGCCGTGCCTGAAATTGCGAGAACCTCCAGAAAGTTGTCAAAAATGCCGCTGTCTGTCTGGTCCTTGCGGGGATCAAGCCACGGCACCACCAGGGATTTTGGGCTCACAACACACCTCGGGGACACGGTACCTTTCTAGAAGACAAGAGTCTGAAACTAGATTCCTCAAGCAAAACACACCAAGGTAAGTTGCACCCGCAGGTGATTTGTACATGGCAGCTGCAAAGGACGACAATCATGCTTTAGACCGAAAAATAATGGACACTCATTTTGTGTGTATTTGACCGGAGGATAAGCACGCAAGCTGGATTGGTAACCTACAGTACTTGCTAGTTTAAAAAAAACAAAAAAAACGTTTAGGACTAGGATCCCTGATGTAAATGACTATGCTCCTGTTCCAAATTGTGGCTGTTCCGTACAAGCTGCGTTCTGAATCATCCCAAGCAATATACCCATTTCCATCCATTTCTCATGGTGCTTTTCCCATTGTTGAGTTTGTTTCAACCTGCGGGATCAAAATGGTAACCAGGGAAAATGCCCAAAATTTTGGCCGTTTGCTACTGAGGTGCCATCTCCATCAGCGGAAAGCATTGCTCCAGTTCAGCTCCCAAAAGTTCGGAGCTCATCAAACCCTCGCGCGCGCGGGCGAAATTCACGTTGCCTGGCGAGCTTGGGGGGTCCTGGACGGTGGGGATTACCTCGAATCTCCTTGGAATCAGCTTCCAGGATGGACGATCAACTTTGGATGGGCTTATGTACGGCCAACCTTTGATACCATCCGCAAAGTTGTTTCGCATTGTAGGATATGCTATTCCCCCACATACCCTTGGATACAACCGGATCTATCATGTTTGCGATTCCAAATAGAAATTATACAACCCAGGAACCAAGTTTGACCACTTAGATTCTCGCATCAGCCACAACATCCCAATTCACGGCGTGCAAAATGCTTGCAGTGTCAATACGCAGAACTAATATACAGACCTCACGTGGCGCAGGTAGGTGCACCTATATATTTCCTTCAGTACATACGAGTACATACATAGTGCAATAATACGTGTATTATCCACGCAATCTCCATGACTACACCCAAAAAGACACCTTCACCTAACAATACAGCCCTTTCAACTCAAATTACTGGCATTCTTATACATATATATATACAATACGATAATATATATATATACTGTATATTATATTATATAATATATTATATTATATATTATATTATATATATATTATATTATATATACAGTATAATTATATCTTTTCCAGCTAGCAATGTGCCCCTTTTGTTCGGCCTTTCAAGGTGTTGATCTCTCCGTTGTGACAAATGTGGCGGAAGGGATGGGCTCGTCGCCAGGCCGGGAAGGTGTTGGTGGAGAAGCGACTGTGGACCAGCCTGCCGTGACATGGAGGGCCAACAAAGGCCAACTTAACCTCCAAAAAAGGCCTATTTTGTATACAGTATACATATATATATATATAAATAATTATATATATATACATGTATATCATATTGTATATGTATATATAGTATATTTGTATACACATGTGTTGTGTATATATATATACAGGAAAGCTGTTGAAAGGTCAGATCCTTGGAAATCAGAGGAAATGAGTTATAAGCTTAGTATAACAGTATAACTGAGTCATGACATGAATCTATCTTTTGAAATGGTTTGGAGATGTTGATAAAGACAAGAACGTGGGGACAACTGCCAAAGAAAGGATCCGTTGAAAGGTGAGGATGCTGAATGCAACGTGGAAGTCTCACACCTTTTGCAGACGAGCTACGCAACATGCGATTCAAAGTCATCCTCTTGCAAGTCCAAAAAGTATCTGACTAAACCTTCCAGGCTTGCACGTCTGGACCATGGGTCAAAAGCATCCAATTTCAGTCAGCTCTGGTTGATCCAATTTTCAGCTTCGTGGTTTTGTCTGCAAACATGGTACCCACGAATTTCATGGTTCTAGCTGGAAAAAAAACAAACAAAACAACTTAAGAAACATGTTGGCATATTTGGCATATGCCACATTTTGGACTCTGCATTTCTGCCAGGCCTGGGCAAGTAAGCATTCCCTTGTAGTTCAAGACTCGAGGTGACAAGGAGCAGACCTCAACCAGGATTCCAGGGACATCACCAGGGGCGCTTGCTGAGCCGAAGCTGGTGTCAAAAATCACCAAGTTTGTGGGTCTATGATTACAGGACCATTTAAGATCTCTAGTAGCTTATGCTATCCCATCTTTGAGCCAGATGATTTGCTTTGAAAATTAGATACTCCAAATGTTGATGTTTCATCATGTTCTCCAATTAAACTGGTCAGAACTTGAGGTATCCCCAAATCTAATATTGATGGTTATATTCCCAAATCATTCAACAAATCTCATCATCACCCCTGTTTTAACAAATTCCCTGGGTGTAAAAAGACCCCATCTTTGAGTCTTTGAGCCATTCCCTCCAGTAAATTGACATATGGAAATTCCCATGATTTCACATCAAAAAAATGATCTATTATCTCAATTAATTCCCTGCAGGATATAAAACAATTAACCCCAAACAACATGGAAAGGGATCTTAGTATTTACCACTATTCTATACTATATGTTAGTATGATTTTACAAACTTCTATATATATATATAACTACAGACTACAAATATAATGTGTGTACATATATATATATATACATATAGATCCCTCCGGGGCGGACGTTCGCCCAAAGGTTTTCATTGGGGGGTTTAGTTACGCTGTGATTTGTTCAGGATATATTTCGGATTGTTTTAGGGTTTGCTTAGGGTTGGTTTAGATTTTTGCTGGGTTTTATTTAAGCTTGTATTTGGGGTTGTTTTAGGGTTTGCTCACGGTTGTTTTGTTTTAGGGTCTATTTAGGGTTATTTATGGTTGATTTAGGGTTGGTTTAGGGTTCATTTATATAGGGTTCATTTAGGTTTATTTAGAGTTACGTTATTTTGGTGTTCTTTCAAAGTCTTGCGGTTTGCTGAGATTTCAGTGAACGGCTTGAAACTTTGCAAATTAAGGAGGATATAAGTAAGATACGCTTCAAGAGGTCATTTTGGCACCGTCTTGGGTAAGCGCAAAAAAGCCATGAGATGCAGGTACCAGGTAATATAAATAGTTTGCATGCTCGCAATGTGCGAAAAACACGCACGGAAACAACCAGCAGATTGCAGCCCTGCATGGAATTCCATGGATTTTGGGCAAACGTCAGCCCCCCTAGCGATATACATATATATATATATTGTCTAGATATATATATATATATTATGTATATATTTATATATACATATTATTGACGATTTATTATATATATATATTGTATATACATATATATTATTGACGATTTATTATATATGATATCATATTATATCATATCATATTAAATTATATTATAATAAATTGAGTTCAAATATAGTATAGTATATTATACTATATGATATTATGTTATATATAATTATATATATACAATATGCATGCCTAACTCCAAGCACGTCCAAGGCACGTAAAAAGGCAGCCCCGGCTGCTGTGCTGCCAGGTTGGCCGCACGCTTGCGCAGCACGAAGAGTGCTGCCTCGAAGCGCTTGATGTCCTTCAGTTGGCCTCGGTGCTGGGAACGGCGATCGGTGGAGATGGGGATGGGGATGCGCATTGATATGATATATATATACATATCATATATATATATAATAGGTAATAGGTTGTCATTGTTATATATATATATCTATCTATGTATAATAGGTATCATTCTTATATTTGGTGATATACGGTTGCAGATGTTATAACTCTTATATATGGATAACAATGGGGATGTTATATATGGCTATCATTGTTGTCGTTCTTATCATTGTTGTCACTGCTATCATTGCTATCGAAGTTGCCATCGTTTTTTATGTGATGATTGTCATGATGATTGCTATAACTAATTGCTATGATTGATTGTCATGGTGATTGTTATGATGGTCGTCCTTCTTATGACTATTGTGGTTGTATTACGTGGTATTGTGATGGGGGCAAAAGCACCCATTGCAAAAGCCAAATGTCTGGCGGATTTTCACTCTCCCCAGTCATGCCATGTTACAATGTTGATACTACTGGGCCTACCGGGTAACACATCCATAGTGCTAGAGTGCCCAACCCTTTCACAGCCCCTGAGCTATGGCAACTTCAGCCTGACCAAGGGAACCACATAGCAACCCACAACTCCCTGTTGCAAGGTCATTTAAATTCGATGCCAAAACACCTTCTGCTGCAATAAAAACCTGCTCAATGGTCGGTTCATGATCTTTGGCCTCAGTGTGGGATGATCGTGGAAAGCTGCGAAGATCTATGGGGTGCTGCACCCAAAGTCCAGTAGTATTCATCGTCGTCTTATCATGTCAATGTTGCCTATCAAAATGTCCATTTACACGGTGCATCCCCAAGTTCTGGACAAAGCCATCTGAGCCATTAAAAATACCCCGTTTTCCCATCTCATGAAATACTAGTTGGTTGAAAACGGTTTCCCAATCCTATGGGGCCCATCATAATCCCCAGTCAACCAGGTAGGATTAAATCCCCTATAGCAATCAATTAACCAGGGTACCCTCTGGTAATTTAACATAGCTATTGAAAATGACCATTTATAGTGGATTTTCCCATTAAAAATGATGATTTTCCATAGTTATGTTAGTTTACCAGAGGGTATTTTTAATGGCTCATCTGAATCTCAAATCGGAACCCCCAAAACGCCTCCCGTCCAAGGCGCCGTTTTACCGAGGCATTCCGAGTCGACTGGTACTCTTCGCCAGCAAAGCAGTTTCAGTCCAGGGATGGACGCCATCACCCTCGGTGATCCAGCAGCTTGGAGCAAAAAGTTGGGTCAAAGATACCATTTTTAATGGGAAAATCCACTATAAATGGCCATTTTGAATGGGAAAATCCAAAGCACCAAAAAAACTATAATTGTTATCTGTTATCTGGATGTTCATACCAAATACACGTGCTTTTAACGGTTCTGACCCATTCCCAAAGTTGCAGAACTGTCAGAACCAGCATCAGCTCAGATCAATGCAGCAAAGGTGCTGTTCAAAAATTCGCTTTCCTTCTTTTGTACCTTCCTCTCCTGGCCCGAGGCGCTCAGTTTCCCGATTCTTGGTAAAGGGGCTGACTAATGGGGGCTCCTCAGGTGTCCTCCAACAACAAAACTGCGGGTAGCTTACAACTGATGAATCACCAAAAAGTGATGTTTGACCCTCAAGACACAAGAAAGAGACTAAGGATGGCTGAGCTAAGTAAGCCCCTTTTCAATCCTTTTCAGGCATTGTTGGACTACGAAAAGAATTCTGCCAAGCTCCTTGGTCCAAAAATACATTGCCCACTGCATACCTCGCAGCTGCAACTGAGACTGAATTCAAACGAGGAGCGGAAGCAGCAACAGCGACAAGAAGACTTTGAAGAAGAAGAAGATCATCATCATCATCATCGTCGTCGTCAGCAGCAGCAGCAGCAGGATCATCATCAAAGATGAAAGACAAGAAGAAAGAAGAAGAAGAAGAAACGGGTTATGTGCATTGTGTGTATATGATCATGGATACGTCGCGCAGCTTTTCGCGAATAAGATATACACAAAATGTGTCTCATAATGTACGCAAAATGAGTCTCATAATAGGGTCTACTCTCAAAACCACAAAAGTTTATTGCTATACTGATGATTAAGCATGAAATTGCTGAGTTCCCATTTTCCAGACAGACCCAAATATCATATTGTTGTATATCACTGTTCCATATTGTTGGATGTATGTATGTATCTATATATATATACATATGTATGTATGTATATATATATATGTCTGTCTGTCTGTCTGCCTGTCTGGCTGTCTGGCTGTCTGGCTGTCTGGCTGTCTGGCTGGCTGTCTGTCTGTCTGTACGTACGTATGTATGCATGTATGTATTACAGTATGTAAATATATAAATATTGAGAAAAGACATGTACGTGTATGTATGTATATATATATACATATACATCGTATCGTATCCCATCAAATCCACATTTATAAATCCACCCATATTTGTTGGGTAACTCCTTCCATTTCCATCACTGCCGCGCGGCTCGCGGGGAGGAGGCAGCTCCACTGACAACTCCGACGCGACCCGCCGCATGAAGCGGTCGGGGATGCCACACAAAATACCCGCACCATCGCCCGTGTCCTGGTCAAAAGGCCATGGAATTCACAATCATCCTGGGGATGTTTAGGTATTCATGGGGGTACTCAGGGAGATATCTATATATATATATACAGTATTATATATATATATGTATACATGGATACATAATGATACATATACATATTCTGTACATGGTCAACAATATGATTAACGCGGTAAACCTTCAAAACCGTAAACCATCAAAAAATACGCGTTGAGAATGGCGTTTCATTGGGTTTACCTCATCACCTTGTGGGGTTCTGGCAATTGAAAATCACCATATTCTGCTTATGAATTTCCATATGTTCACATATTATTCACAACCAAAACTGCGGATTTTTCAACTCACTTTGAATAAGCTTAGTAAACCCAATACTAAACCATCTCCAAAATCATCATTTTATGGGTGGTACAAACCATCAAAATATGGGTGGTGCATTGTTGCTTTACTAACATTCATTCAAATCCTCTTAATAAACCCAATAATGAACCATCCCCAAAATCACCATGGATGGATTGTATCAACCATCCCCAAATAATAGCTTTATTATTGGGTTTCCCACAATAAGTAGGTTGTAACCCCAGTTATAGGTGAATTAACCCTACTTATCCCATTTATAACCAGGGATAAGTAGAACCTACTAAGTGGGATGAACCACCAAGTAAAATCCTCCAACGTTCGGATTGTCGGTCTGACAACACCTCGTTGATCCTCCGTCCTTCTCGCAGCCTCGGGCTCCTCGATGGTCCAAGTTCTCTAAAACCTGCCACGGCGCTGCCACGACAATGTCTTGGGGACATGAACCTTTAATCCAACACGGCAATTTACAAGTCCCTAATAGTCCCCTATAAATGAGCTATAAAAATTGGAACATCAACAAAAAAAACGGTGGATGTTCCACTTTCCGTTTTGAAAATACCCTAGGGCACACATACAAAAAGATGTGGAAAAGCCATGGGGAAACCTGATCGGAAAATGGTCTACAGTCATGGTGCGTTTTCCACATCGAACTCTTTGCTTACAGGAGGGTAGCCCCTGATGACTTAACATGACTTAACCATCCTCCGGCGTGATATCCTGGAACTTTGGGTGTGTTGGGTTTCTGACTGATCCAAGTATCAACAAGACTCGACCAGCATCATTCAGATGTGGTTGCTCTTTCATACCCTGCACAAAAGTGAATGTTCAACTGAAAATTCACATGGACGATTCCTGGACGATCTTTAATTACCCTCTGGTAAACGTTTACATAACTATATGGTAAATCACCATGCTATTCATGGGAAAATCCACTATTTCTATGGTCATTTTCAATAGATGATCTTCAGAGACCCTCCAAAAACAGCGATGGATCCCGCGGGCCTGGAGGGCACCATCCACAATGTCTCGGGCAGGCTTTCCTGGTCAACTTGGGGGGATTCAATGGATGTATAACCTATAAGAGTGATAGGACACTAATGGGGATATATAATGGGAATTAATGGGATATATTATATCTATATACAATGAGATATGTGTAAGCGGCAATCATGTGGTACTTGGGTCTGTCTGAAAATGTAGTATACCATAGTATACCCCAAAATAGCCATGCCAGGAAGGCCTATATTTAAACAAACCCATAAAATCCCCTCCCCCTAACATATAGCCTACTACCTTAAATTTCCCTTCAAAACCCCGAGACAGATGAGACAGTACATGGGGTTATTTCATTGGAATCGGTTTTTGATGTTCCCTCTGGTTATTTAACATATAGCTATGGAAAATCACCATGTTTATAGGTAAATCATCATGGTTTATCATCTATAAGTGGACCATGGTTTCCATAGCAAACTGTTCAATAACCAGAAGGGACTTTCCCGTTAAGTGGACTAATCATGATTAATCCCCATCAAATCCCCAATAAACCAGAGAGAGTCGTATGGTTTTCCCATCTTCTAAAGACCACGCCTGTCAAGTCTGCCACCATTCCCACGCCGCAGCTATCCTGCGAAATGAAAAATGTGAGTCACGACTGGGGCCTGGGGATGTTTGATGACCATCATGCCAGTTTATTTTGTGCATGGAAAGCAAAATGTATTGAAGAATTCTGAGCATACATTAACCTGAGAGGGAGGGAACGAAAGCCACCGCGAGCAAAAAATACGGCGTTTTTGTTTGAGCCGTGCGGGGCCGGAGTGCGCGAAGCAGCGGTGGTAGACGTGACCTGCATATTGCAACTGCAACAATTGCAGCACGAAAACTCCAACTCGCTTCTGCAACCAAATTTCATGCTCTAATTTATGTCAATGTCGTTTTACTTGTTCCACCCCTTTACGTGCTGTGTAGCTAACATCTCCCACTATCCCTCTTTAGGTTATGTCCTGGTCTTTACAAGCTCTAATGCCCCAGAACCTGTTGAGCTTCCATACATGGGTGAGGCTTCTGCAGACCAGAAAAGAATTCCCCCAAGCTTCGCACAAACCCAAATACAGTACATCCGCAGTTTCACGTCTGAGGTCTTGTGCTTACACAAGACCCAAAGATAGTATCCATCAAAACTTCAAGCATGACATGCCGCAGAACCTGTTGAGCTTCGACAACCTCCAGTGAACATAAAACCCATCAACAGTCCAAGCATGAGGCCTTTTGTTTATTCTCTTTCTTCCTGAACCAACACCGCAATCTTCACCCCAACCCCACCAGACCCAATGGTAAAATCAATCAGAAGTTAAAACCTGACGTGCCGCAGAACCCGTTGAGCAATCATGCTTTCCAGCAAATTGCCAAGATCCCGAACAGAAGCGAGAAATGGTCTCGAATACCGGTGTCGAGCTCGCTGTACTGCATACTTGGACCTTGTTCTTGGCTGTAAAGGCGTTTCAGCACACGCCAGGATCCCGAACGGAAGCAAGCCATGGTCTCGACGGCTGGATTTGTATACAAGGTGCGGACCAGGGGGAGGATCCCGAACGCAAGCAAGCGATGGTCTCGAAGACCGGTTTCGGGATCGCTGTCATACTTGTACTATATTTACTTCAACCTTGTTTTTGCTTTGAAAGGTTTGCTCGCTAACCAAGTTACTGCTGCTCAAGGCGCTGCCCACAAGATCAACAACCCTTCGACCCGGGCGGGAATCGAAGCCTTAGCAGCACCAAATTGCCACCTGATACATGACCCTGGAAAAGGCCCCGCGTCCACCCCATTTCCCTCAAAAATCAATTGTATTTCCACCTTTTGATTCCCAATTGTCAGAGACTGACCCCAGACTCCCTAAACTAACTACGTTTACAACCAACAACTAAGCCGTGCCTGTCGGCTGGCTTTCGTAATATAAGTGCATTTTGACACCACTCATCAGTCCAGGAGTTCCAACAGCGTCGGATGGCCCCTTTAACCCCAGGTTTCAAAAAAGATATTCTGGGAGGTTCTTTGGTCTGATAATGTCTGCCAAAAAACAAAAATAGCAGGGGAAATCACGCATTCTCTCTGGCCCAATATGGCCCAGAAAAAGATCGGAGATGATCGGAGATGATCGGAGCTTCGGATCTCTACCGTCTCTACCTGTCCTTTTCATTACGAGGATCATAGAGGCCTTGCGCTTCTGGGATGGCGTCAAAGCCCTTGTATGACCTCAGCCACCAGGACCTCCTGACCTCCAAACCTAAAAAGGCCTCGCCCAAAACGCTGGAGTGCCGCCACGGGACATCTTGGTCGGTCAACCGCAGCTCTGTAGAAGTTGGACCAAGGACAAAATGGTGAGCAAATGCTGCGACACGAAAAGTGAACTGAACTGGGCTCAGCATCACGGTTTGCGCATGGATCAGTTGCTCACAAGTGCCTGGATGGACCGGTTGCAGTGATTTCAATAGGACATGCTCCACTTCCAGGATCCGCGGGCGCTGTTTTGCAGAATGGCATCAAAAGAAGCTCATGGCTTGTGGACCCAAGATCCGGATCATTAACATGTCATGTTTTGTCCAAAACGGCAAAACGGGTCAACTCCTCCAAATCGGTCGGTTCGTTACAGGGAAAACGAATGAAAATGAATCAAACCCATCCCCATGTTTGGACATCCTGATGCGAACCCCGTGAGACAGCACGTCTCGGAGATTCTCGGAGTCTCGCGCCACTGGCAAGACGAAAAAACGAAAAATGGACGCCCAGCCAAAGCACTCATTAGCGATAGGCCTTTGCAGCGTGGTGCTGTTCATCAATGATATGGGTGACGGGGGTTTGTCTGAAAATGTACTGTGCAAACTACCCCCAATTCCAACGCATTCTCTTCATTTCTCCGATTTGGATGATTGCTTTGCCCCATCTTTCTGGGAAAAGACTTTGGGGTGGCTGACTGGCATTTCATGGTATGCCTGTTGGTTGTGAAGAATGAAATGAGACTGTGCGGCTAAAATCATCTTGCTTTTTCATCAACCAACAAATCGGAAAAGGACATCCTATGCTGGTCTTTTCTGCGGAAAACAAAGTACAGCGGAGATAGAGCTTGTTGATGTCATCAACAAATTTGACAGCGATTGGCCAGAACTATCTTTTCGATGGCAAAATGTGAAACTGCTCAAGACGTCGCCTGTTCCTCTCGTTGGCGCCGTTCATCCTTAGTAGAAAACTGACTGAAAGCTGCTGAAATCCAAGCGTCTGGAGTTTGATTTGGATGTGCTGATTCCATTGTACTGGTGTGTTAATTTAATAGGAAGTCCTATAGCGGATTATGATAATCCCCTATATCTTATTACATATGAGGTATAAATCCCCTTCAAAAATCAACCAATAGGGTTTATTGAACACTGCTGAAATATCCGCCATTTGATGATTTTGAACTGAGAAATCGGAAGTAGGATGCAGACTCTCTCCAGCAGGGTGCGGCCCTCCTGTCATTGGACCAGAAAAATGGTGGTCAACCGGTCAACCGAAATTACCCTCGGCCATTCCGGGTCCAACAGGCCGTCCCGATCCATCAAGGCTGACCCGGCTCGCCTCGAGGCCCACGAAGTAGAAGTCAAAGGTTTCATCCTCGGTCGAAAGATGTCGAAAGATGTCGAAAGCTTGTGACCGGCTTATGACCACCATGGCAATGTTTCTGGGAAGCCCAACACTATCAATGGTATCGAAATGGGACGGTCGAATCATACCTGCGCAAGCGATGCAACATCAAGGGGTTTTTGCTTTCGGAGTGTCAAGGTGGGAGATTTGGATTCAAGATGATTCGGGTATTCAATTGTGATCCCCCAAGTTACCCTGCAGTCAAACATGGCCGGAAAATCCCCCATTAAAAAAGGATGATTTTCCTAGTAAACCTTCCATGACTCTTCCACGTTTTTTGGGATGTTGCTCCAAAATCAGCCCAGCTCCATGGGAGCCACCTCTCTTTAGGCTGAAGAGCAAAGCATCATTGCTGGGACTCGTTGGTTTCACCTGCAGCATAGGAAATGGAGAGCCGGATGCGGAAATTGCCTGGCTGAAATCCATGGGTTTTTCTGGATCTGGTTGGTGGAACCAAAGCCCACTGAAATACAGGACTAATATGGACTAATTTTGGATCAGAATCCCAAAGACGAGGCTGTGTGATGCTTTGTGTGAACATCTTGGAACCACCGGCCGCGATTTCGTTGTTCTTTCAGGAGTCCCCATCCAAAGTGTCCTGCCCCCGGCCGCACCATGCTTTTCTTCAGGTCCATCACGGTAGTGCCTCCATAAATCGGGCCCGAAAACGGATGGTTGATGTCATTCATGGAAAATCCGATGAAAACCCGGATGATTTTTCGGAGTATCCCGACCAGTATCCCCAAAATTGGGAAACCTTCATAAACCTTCATATCTCGCAAACTGCTTGGTTGAGTGAATCATCATCTTCTTTCTGGTTGGAATCAGATTTCAGTTAGAGAAAAAAAATACGAAGCTCTTGGTGATTCGGGTCACCCCAAATAGCATATACTTTGGACATCTCCAGACTTCGGGTCGCTTTCCCTCTCCAGTCGCCTTTTGGAACTTTGAAAAGATGGCTCCACTTCTCTTCTTTGTGCCTAAAAACCTCACGTCGTCGTAAGGTGCATCATGCGTGTTCACAAAGTCGTTCTTGGGATCATCCTGCCATAAAGGGAATCAACTAGATTTGAAACCACAAATTCCAATTCTTGAATCAACCCACCAAATTCCATACAAATTCCACATCTGAAAAGGGTTTGTCTGAAAATGCTCTGCCCGTAAATCCACTGGTTTATCATCATTTCCCCTCTCAATATGTTGATTCTGTGATATCCTGCATGTTCAGACAAACCCAAATAATCATGCCTAGATATATATAATTATATATATATTATTTATGTATATTATTTATGTATATTATTTATATATCATTATATCCTTATAATTTCTTATATCCCTATGACATTCTTCATCCAATCCGATCAAATCCCATCAAATCAACCCCCATTACATCCCCAGTATACCTCCGTGGTCTCAGAGCTGGACCACGCACACAGATACCGCTTCCGCCTCAGCCTCGGCCTAGCATGGCGCAGAATGTGATCATGACATAAGATACTATGTGTATATTTCATATTATATCTGTAGTATTATGTAGTACTAAATATACTCTACCAGTATGTATATTTCTATGCTCTCTCTCTCTCTCTATGAGAGATTATATATATAATGTATATATAATATGTATATTTATGTGTGTATATATAATATGTGCATATATATAATATGTGTATATATATAATTATATATATAATATGTGTATATATATATATATATAATGTTGACCTATGATTTATAAATGCCCCTTGAATAAAGCTATTTTTTTCCCAAAATAAATAATAAATGCCCCCTAAATAAAGCTAAATTTGTTTGGCCCTAAACCCAGATTTGCCCAGATGGGGCTGAAAAAAAATTATCCATAAACCCAGATTTCTCCAGATTTGCCCAGATGGGGCTGAAAAAAAAAAACATGCTTTATTTGAGGTGGCTTTCATGTACTAATTCATATTGCCAGCTCATTAGATCTTACCTTGATAACTTCAAATTTTCAAAAATAATGGTTGCTCTTTTCTATTCAAAACCTTTATTCAAAATTATCCAAAATCAATCCCAAATCAACTCGTCAAGGGTACCCCCCATGAGGTGCCTTGGCACTAATTAGAGTTTGACCCTGAATAAAGCTAATTGTTTTTGGCCCTAAACCCAGATTTGCCCAGATCCATGACATGAATACTAAATCAATACTAAATCCATGACATGAACTACGAGATCAATACTACATGATCCATGACATGAGTACTAGATCATGAATACTAAATCAATACTAAATTCATGATATGAATACTAGATCAATACTGAATCCATGACATGAATACTAAATCAATACTAAATCCATGACATGAATACGAGATCAATACTAAATCCATGACATGAATACTAAATCAATACTAAATTCATGATATGAATACTAGATCAATACTGAATCCATGACATGAATACTAAATCAATACTAAATCCATGACATGAATACGAGATCAATACTAAATCCATGACATGAATACTAAATCAATACTAAATTCATGACATGAATACTAAATCAATACTGAATCCATGACATGAATACTAAATCAATACTAAATCCATGAAATGAGTACTAGATCAATACTAAGTCCATGACATGAGTACTAGATCAATACTTAAACAATTGCTGGATTCCTTTTTTTTTAAAAATTGCATTTTATGTATTCGTTTTCAATTGTGGAATACTAAAACCTTTACATACAAACAAGTTTTATGGTGGCCTTAAGTCTATTTAGGGTCAGAGAGGGGGGGGGGCATTTATAAATCAAGGGCAGGCATTAATATGTGTATATATATATAATGTGTGTATATATATAATATGTATATATATATATAATATGTGTGTGTGTGTCCAATATATGTGTATACGTATATAACATTCAGAAAACTCAAATAATCCAGAAGGGTTGCACTGACTGTTCTATTTCACAAGAGGATCCGATCTTTTTGGAACGGGATTCCCACTTTGGAGACGAACCCCATTCGCAAGGCTTCTCGATTATTATCAAAACAGATTCCCTCCAAACCCCGGGTTCGCCCACACTCAAACAACACATCCAAACAATATGATATACTTATCACCAGAGGATGAGTGAAAACACTGGCTATACGCAGTGATTTTGACTTTAAGTTTTCAGGATTTAGGGTTTTAATTTAGGGTTTTAATTTAGGGTTTTAGGCTTTAGGGTTTTAGGCGGCTTTAAGCTTTGCTGTTTTGGAAAGTAAAAAACTTAAACCCTACGCAGGGATTTGAAGATATGCGAGATTCGCCGCGGGCAAACCTAGGGTTTGCAGCGAACCAAAAAAAAAACTATCAACCATCAACCCCCCTATCATTCAGGGGGTCAAAATCTCAGCCTTTAAGAGGTCAACCACCATCCCTTGGTTTTTTGGTCAAACCCATCCATGACCCTGGCCTCGGCAGGGCTGTCCTCCGCCTTGACTTCTTCCGCTGGAGGTGGAGCAACTGGGCGGTGTCAATGATCGATGGCTTGTGATCAACTGATAGATATTGATATCATTGGCTTGCCAGAAATTCGTTCAACGGTAATTGCTTCAATAATGATAGCAAGTGTGGTCTTATTACCGTTAAAGTACTTACTACTGAAATCAATGATAGATCCTGTTGAAATCCTTGTACTCGTGGCTTATAATCAACCACTGCGCGCTCTAGATGTTCCCTTGAACCAATCCATTGTTTATAGCGATAGACCAATAGACGATGTGGATGTCAATGGTGATATATTTGAACGTGCATCACGAAGTATCAAATGGCAAACAAAAGGGCGGATAAAATCACTAATTGCAACGGACCATAAGGACATGACCAAGTACAATTAAGGATAATTAAGGTATCAATTATCATGAAGCTACAACGAGCAGCAATGAGCAGCAACTAGCAATCCAAACAGATACCCGAAATTCCACAACTTAGATCAGGGCCCATCATGGCCCATCCACTTGGTTTCCCGACATTTTGCCAAGTATTGCTCCTCTGTCAGAGTCTGCCTCCCCATCATTCGCTCGTTGGTGTTGTACCTCGCTTGGCGCGGCGATACTACGATACTCAACTTGTTGACGCACCATGCCCCAAATGACTTTGATGTTTGAGAGATAAGAACAGAACTGACTGGTGTGGCAAGAAAGATCTCTCTATCCGGGAAAGCGCAAATTGAATCCACAGTGGTCACCGCTTCATTTTGGGACTCATCATTTGCAGGCACTTCAGAAATCTTCAGAACACGCTGAGTCAAAGGACTGATGCCATTTGGTCGAACAATGCTCTCGATAGGCCTGGCAATCTCAGTGCTATACAGTCAGTGGAGGTTTCCTAGAATGGGGGTACCCCTAAATCATCCATTTTAGACGTGGATTTTCCATGATTTTCCATGAAATCAACCATCCAGCTATGGGGGTATCCCCATTTCAGGAAAATGTCCCACAGAAAAACTGCGATGCACCGAGTGAAGCAGCCCCTTTCGACCCATTTCCGCCTCTCTGTCAGCGCTTTCGTAATCCGGACAGGCCATGCATTTGATCCTCGGCGGCACATGGCGGCACCACCGAGGCCGGGCGACGCTTTTGTCCCGTGCCACGACATGCAGCGGTCGGAGCTGCACCACGCGGACCGCTTTTCTTCAGCTCGCGGGACTCTCGGTCAAATCTCAACAAATCCACGGAGTGATGCTTTCGAAGTTGGCACCGGGATGTTTCCTTAGGGAGATCAGCAATGAGCACAACTGCACTTGTCCAGTCCCAAAATGACGACATCAGAAGATGTTGCAGCCATGTCTCTCAACGAGTTCCACCTCAGGAGCACGTGATTCATCGTGATTCCACAGTCTTTTGGGGGGATTATTTGAGGAGAAATGAAATGGTCAGCCCCCATTTCTGTGGAGAATGATCCGAGGAATAGTTCAATCAGTATTTTTTTTGGGTGGGAAATCATGGTCTTTGTCCAAGAATTGTCCTTTTTAGTTTCAAGGCCCTACCGGGGTTCCCGGCTTGGATCGCTGCTCCTGCCAGTTGTCAGTTGGTCGTCCTACCTATATCGCCTCCCAGGTTTCGTAATAACAATACACTAGTAACAACCATTGATAATATGACAATATGAAATCATGATCATCACCAGCATCATCATAGTATCCATGGTGCTGGTATATATGCTAACATAAAGGGGGTATATTCATGGGATCCATGTTACCATATATAGCAGCACCATGGATCCTATGGGAATTCAGCACCCATCCTCACTCTTGTTGGTCATCTGCACACTTCGCAGCAGCGGATCAAGGAGAAGTCGACACAGATCCTGCCATCGTAGGCGGCACCACGAAATCTCGAAAACGGCCTCTGGTAATCTGTGCCATGACCATCGAAAAGGTGCATTTTAAGAGGTAAATCATCGAACTCAATGGCACTATGAATGGGGCATCTTCCATAGCTATGTTAAATTACCAGAGGGTGTATTAGGTGTTTATAGACCCCAAATGGTCTGATGTCTGATACAGAAAAATGGCATGGGTTTATCCCCACGTTTCTTACATCCCCATCTTAGCTCTTTAAGCATGTTCTTTGATTTTCCTTATTGCAATCACTTTCTTTCATTTCATTGTTGTGTTTTATGTTGTTTCTTGTAGAAACTTTCGCTTCTGTCCTGTTTCGTTGTTTAAAACATCTTCTGAGAGCTTGGACTGGACCCATCTTCCAATGCGAAGCTTAGCTCCTCCATGACTTCTGCCCGCAGCTGTGTCGCCAGGGGGTCCTGAACAGGGATGGTCCCCTCTATTTGCCCCGTAACCATAGATATGTGTTTATTTAAAAACATGTTTGTGTATATACATATACATATACATATACATATACATATACATATACATATACATATACATATACATATATATATATATATGCATGTTATGTACTGTATGTACTGTATGTACTGTATGTACTGTATGTACTGTATGTACCGTATGTACCGTATGTAATGTATGTACTGTATGTACTGTATGTATGTACTGTATGTACTGTATGTACTGTATGTATGTATGTATGTATGTATGTATGTATGTATGTATGTATGTATGTGTGTATGTGTATGTGTATGTGTATGTATATGTATATGTATATGTATATGTATATGTATATGTATATGTATATGTATATGTATATGTGTGTGTATGTGTGTATGTGTGTATGGATGTATGCGTGTATGCATGCATGCATGCATGCATGCATGCATGCATGGATGGATGGATGGATGGATGGATGGATGGATGTAATGAATGTAATGAATGTAATGAATGTAATGAATGTAATGAATGTAATGAATGTAATGAATGTATGTACTGGTATGTATGTACGTACGTACGTACGTATGTATGGTAAGTAAGTAAGTTAGTAAGTTAGTAAGTTAGTAAGTTAAGTAAGTTAAGTAAGTAAGTAAGTAAGTAAGTAAGTAGGCAGGCAGGCATGTATGTATGTGTGTATTGTATGTTATGTATGTATTGTGCATGTCTATATATATACTGTATCTGTGTACATATATACATATATATATACATTGAAGGGTATGATTCTTATCTCCATGAGTTAAGCCTCTATCTGTTTCTGTATTAGATACCCTCATACTGTAGAGACATTATAATATGTGTATATATATATTATTATATATATATTATTATATATATATTATTATGTATATCTTGTATGTATACACCCCTCAAGAGATCTCTATGGTCAAACCCGGATTAAGGATTTGCAATGTCAACCCTGGTTGATTCGCAGATGATTAAGCAAGAAATGATTGATAGATGGTCAATAAATACAGGCTAATGAATGATTAGATTATATAATTAGATTGTTTATATACTCTCAATGTATATATATAACTATATATACCTTGCTTGGTTAATGGGGAGATACCCACAAAAAGTCACAATCTGCTACTTAACTGGTACACCCAACAGCCAACGGGGCTCTTGATCCGGGATGCCATTCACTCCGATAACTTGGGTCAAATGTTACTCCAATTTATGTTGCTGGGACCCCAGTTTCTGCCAGATATGATCAGCAAATATATTGGGGATTGTTGGGGTATCAGTTTTTAGTCTTCCCAGTAGAATGTGCCCATTATGGCAGCTCTGGGGGGTCCACATACCATATATACCATGGATCTCTGAGTTTCAGGTGCGGTGGCAAGGCACCCTCTGGTCAATTCCCATGGCAGGGCCAGGGTTGAGCTCGATCAGCCATGGCCGCAAATCCTGCAAGCTTCATAGATCGGAGACTGAAAAAACACCAACAGTGAGGAGAAAAAACGTGCGGCATGATTTAGTATGTATTAAATATATTAAAATACAATAATATGATATAATATGTCATATTAGATACGTACATATACGATCATATACGTACTTTTCAGGCCCTTCACCGAGTATGGACAATGCATGGAGTTAGGTAGATGACATTAGATGACGTGTTCCAAAGTGTGGAAACGGCCTGATCCACAATGATGTCAACCTCAAGACACAGGGTCAACAAAGGTCAACCAATGTCAACCATGGGCGCCCGTCATCTTGGGCAAACCGAGCTCCAAACGCCCAGAAGATTGTAGAGCAACGCGCCCGCTTTTCGACCCCATTGGAACCATGAAACCAAGTCCTGCCGAGAGCCGAAAAAACGCTCTTTTCGACTCTGCGCGAAGTTGCAAACAAGGTGAAATGAACTGAAACGATAACTTTTAATGCCATTTAGATGTCCTTTCATCTGCAAAATATGAGTCGATTCGGACTATCATCCGCTATGTAGGGTGTTGTTCAGGTTTTTTTCTATGAAAAACAATGAAACAACCAACCAGACCATCATATAACCTGGTTTCGAAATCTCATCCGGGGTATTCCGGGGTCCTGATATCGGTCACTGATCCGGTGGCATGCCAGGTCAATCATCGAGTCGTCGCGCAGCGTGAAGGGCAGTCTTCCTGTTCCAACCGCCGAAGGGCCCAGGATGGATGTCATCATCTTTGAGATCTTCGGCCAAACCTGTGGAAATGGATGGAAAATGGATGGAAATGGGCTCAAAACATGTCAAGCTAGCCGTCAAGCTAAAAATGTGGTGTGTTTGCGTAAGTGCGGCTGGAAAGTATACGGGCACAACCAGAGGTATTCTAGGTATTGACACAAAAGTCTCATGGGCCGTCTCAAGGATATTCTGTTCTGCTAGACAATAACCAGATATAACCAGTACAATGTACTGGTTCTAGCTGAATTACAATAATTCACCGACCTGAAACTTGATAAACTTGCGGTCATTTGGGGATAGTTTTCATGAATGTTAATGATAGTTATCCCATGTTATCCCCGAATTCTAACCAATTCTAACCACCATTGCCTTCTCATAGTGCTCCCATTGAGTTCCTCTGGCTGACGTCACCCCGTCGTACCTTGGCGATGCCAGGTTTGATGTCCCCGGGAGCAAACTACAATTTGTATATCGAAGGATAACCTCACATATCCATACAATTCCATAGATATCCCCGGCTATTCATGGTGATTCTATGTTATTCTGCCTCAGTGCATCATTATGCATCATTTTGCTCAGCTCCTGGCTTCACACATGAGATCACGTGCCGCAAGGGATCCGCATCTTTGGGATCATAGGCTCGGGGATGACCTTTCAGAAGCAACTCGCGGTTCATGAAGCAACGACCTTCAGGCAAAGTGATCACCTCAGGGCAGTGCCTTTGGCAGCTGAGATAGCTGAGCTACCCTCTGGTAATTTAACATAACTATGGAAAATCACCATGTTTCATGGGAAAATTCACTATAAATGGTGATTTTCAATAGCTATGTTAAATTACCAGAGGGTATACTGACACAACGAGCTTCCAAAGACAAACCAGGATGCATAGGCGCGAATCATCATCTTCCGACCATCCATCAACATGGGTCGTGGCACTTCTGCCTGCCAAATTCAGAGGGGGGTTCCTCAAAAGATTGCGATGGCCGAAAAAGTGGGTACAGATTGAGTCACAGAATTTGGTCATTTCGAGACATGTTTAGTATTCAACCATCCAAGGGCGTAAAGGATTTGAGACCATACCCAGGGCAAGTGGCTTCGCCATCCACGATTTGCCCCGCCTGGGCGACGTAGAAACCTCTCTGGCTCTTGGGCAGTTGGTCCCAGTGCGCCAGCAGATTTCGGACGCCTCAGCCAGCTTTGCGCTTGATCCGAAAAAAACCGAAAGTCTTGCATAGTCTTGCGATCCTTCCAGGTCAGATGGGCATCCATGGGCATCCAAAGAAAATCCTTAAAACATCTTAAAACCCTTGAAACATCCAAAGAAACCACCGAAATCGGAGGATTTCGGTCCAGGCACCTTTGAAGCACATCACACCCTCATTTCGGTCCATGGTCGAATGCTTCAAGAACCAAAGACCTTCGGCCTTTGCTTCTGACACAACGCCTTGCACGACTCCCACGAACTTCACCTCAGCCGGGCGAATCTGCCCTGGCAATTGAAAATCTCCTGATGATGTTCCTCTATTTCCTCTTCAAATTGACGATTTTCATCGATTTTCTCTAGCCATCTTGGAGTATACTCGCAATCACTCTCATTTGCTCCCAGTTTTCTTTCCGTTGAGTTGTTTCACCCCACAAAAGACCTCAAAAGCCTCCAACTTATTTTTTTTGTTGCACCCCAAGTGGCCCGGGGCTCCAATGACTTTCGCAGTGCCCATGGGCTGAGAAATGTCATCGGGGCCAAGGATTCCAGTCGAATGTACTTCAAGTGTCTGGCCAGAGCGCGTTTGCCTCCCAGAGAGCCTGCTGGCACCCTGCCATGACGTTCCAGCATGGCTCGTGGCTGTGTCTTGCCAGCAGCCTGGAAGGCGTTGAGTCAAACAACGACAACTGCCATGATTGCCACAAAAACCGACGACTGCCATGCAATATGCAAAAAGTGCAAAAGTCAGTTCTAGATCAAAACTAGGCCACAATTGCACAAGTATACCTATGGCAGCAGCTCAACTCCAGGTGCCTCTGCGGGAATGAGAAAGGACACCAAGGCCACTTTCTCGGTGGCTGCTGACATTCCTCTGGCTAAGAAGGACTGCTTGAGGCCACTCTGAAAATTGGTGGCGAAGGTTGGCCCCAGCTCCATGATCTCCCCAGCCGATGGCAAGCTTTTCCACGGGTAGGCCATCCTCAAGGCTTTATTCGTCTGCTTCTTGCGGACCGCCAAGTAGTGAGAGATCTGCAGTTGGGTGGCGAAGAGCACTAAGACCACAGTCACCAGGATTGCGAAGAGCTCTGCAATCCAAACGACACTTGGACTGCTGGAGACATGTAGAGGTGCATGTCCTGGGCCACAACCCAGGTCTCCCATGAAACCTTCAGCATTTTCTAACACAACTTGCAGCATCTCAGCCCCACGCGCATCAAGGGCGTTGGATCCACCCGACCTCCCGTACCTCGAGCTTCCACCAAGGAAGCCCTGTGGCCATTGTGGCCATTGTGGGGAAGGAGTCCCAGGAGGATCGGCAGAGATTGCCAGCTCCATTCAGCCTGGGAAAATCTATAGGAAAACAGGCTCAAATCAACAAGGAGTCATGGTCTTTCATCGTGTTTCTGCGCGGAGAGCAAAAACTAGTAAACTAAACATACTAAACTCAAAGCGGAATCCGTGTTCTTTCAATATGGTAAATAATAAGACGGTTGATACCCAAAATCTGCATAAGTTGTCTGGCGAAAATCACGATAAAATATTGGATGTTGGGATAACGCTGACATCTCCCAGTTGCGGCTCCCGTAGCCTCTAGAGAAAGACTCGCCGATGAGTCGTGCAAGTTGTTGAGGCTTGCAACCACCTCGACCCGGTGGACGGCTGATGATCTAAGCCACTATTGGGTTACATTCCACATCATTCCAGTAAACACGATGAGGTATACCGGTATACCATATAATGTATATATATATAAGTAAGATGATATAAGTAGTAAGGCTGTCCGACTATCCCAGGATATAGTTCTATATCATTTGTTTGGAACAATTACTGTTACCTAGTGAACTAATTGTTCAATCAGGGGATCGCAAGAAAATCATGAGTCAACGTTGGGTGGGATTTGGGGGCATCAACTGTTGAGGCTGTGGCCAAGATTTGACAGATGCAAAGGATCCCTCGCTGGAACATGTTTGACTGCTTGATCGGGGAGGGGAGAACCTGATGTACTTCTTTGGATTGACGAAGCAGAAATTTAAAAGGCAAAACGGAGAATCGCTTTGCTGCTTTCATTGCTAAGCTGGTATTCCTCCCCACCCTTCAAGCGCAAATATGGAACCTCGACTTAGTTTGAGCCAAGATATGGCCTTCAGGAAAAAAGTCTAGAATGGGCATCAACTTGCAGTAATGAGTATGGGTCAAAACACAAAATCGCTGGTACTTTCCAAGTACATCTCCCCAACAGATGGTCCATAGGTTTTGACCCATCCCTGCTGTTCAATCATCACACGCGCAAAGAGATGCAAGACCCACTGTGCCACGAGCCCTTGCGAAGCCATGCTGCAGCAGGAAGTCGTTGATTTGCTTCACAAAATCGGTCGACTCCCAAAGCTCAATGCTCAACAAGTGTCCGATCCGATGTCATCTTTTGGTATCGAATGCCATAATATTTTAAAATCTATTGTAACAATTCTGCCATGCTAGAGCGAGCCATCCCGATCCTCCATAAGGGATGCCTTGTGTTGAGCTCTTTATCTGCTGAACCAAAAGTGCTGTACGCCACAAATCTAACTAAGAAACCATAAGAAATCTGACAGGCACAGTTTTTTCAAGCAAGCACAGTCAGCCTTTTAACGCAACCCTGGTGCAACCCTGGAGCATCGCCAGCACATCCACTGTATCACACGCAGTTTTCCACTTCCATGACTACCTAGCATTTCCTTCAAGGCATCTGCAGTCAAGAATGTCAAGACAATACCAACTTCACCGTCAGTTCGAGCTATGACCAAACATGATTCCTTCGGAACCAGTGTGGACCGTTGAAAGTTTGCGTTCATGCACTATGTCACTATGTACATCAAGAACATTCAAGAACCAGCGCTGCGTTGCACAAACTTTGCAGCAACTGCTGAGGGCCCAAACCCTGCTTGGAACAACGCTACGGCGCTACGGCTCTTGCGCAAAAGAAAAAGGGTCCAAAAGAAAATCACCGAAAGGTGACGTGAAATGTGCAGTGCCCTCACTCTTTGTGTCTAGTTTTTTAAAACCTGCCACAGCGAACTCCACAACTCTACATTCAAGAGATCCAGACCCGTAGCGACACGAGAAGTTGTTTGTTCCGTTGATTCGGAGGTTTCCTAAAATCCTGAACCCCTATCAAAACATATCAAAACCATCCAAAACAGTCAAACATGTACTATCAAAACCATCCAAAATGGGTCCTCAAAAGGAACAAAATCATCCAAAAAATCATCCAAAATCCAGGAGAAAATGAGGAAAGCCTTATGGACCTCGCCTCGCTATCGCCAGCGCAACGGAGATTGCGCCCGTTGCTCCAGCACCTTCTGGCGATGCCGCATGAACGGCTCCTGGATACCACTTGGAACCGGGCCCTGGGCAAAACTGAGAATAGGGAAGAAAAATAGGGGAAGACAATAGGGAAGAAAATGGAGCAGAAAATAGGATGAACAGTACGCATCTTGGAGTAGAGATCTATCTGTATAGAAGTGTATACAAATAATTATGTTTATACCGAATTTATACGGTTATACGTAGATGCATATAGATAAAGAGAGAGGTATTGGGAAACACCAAATACATCCAAATACTCCAAATACATCCAAATACTAATTTATTCTCGGACCCGAAATCATCGGAAGTCTAGATGCGGCATATTTCGCCCGTTTGCTTCATGCGAAGGCCAAAAAGTTTGAGCCACTTCCAAGTGGACTTGGCCATATGAGGTATGCAAGACTGCTGATTTTAGTATTTTTAGTGTACTATTTCGCTGCACCGAGTAGCTAGGCCGTATCATCAACCTTGCTCTCAACTCGTGATCGAAATGAGCCCAAGATAGCCCAAGGATAAAGAAGGTCCACCACGAGAGCTATGTCACTTGATGTCACTTGTAAATGTTCGTCACCAGCAGCTCCTTGAAAGTAATGTCTTCTACTCTTGCGTTTAAAGCCTCCCAGGCAAGGAATTCTCCCTCACATGGCGCAAGTCTCAGCAACATCGGCCTGGTTGAGAGTTCCCGAGCCATGAAATCGACCCTGCAGCTGGTCGAATTGGTCGAATCACTCAGATTTTCTCACCGTTCTTCACCTCTTCCCTGGCAGATTTGAGATCTGGACAGCTGCTTGTCTGGCTGCAACATCAAGTCCATAGCCACCAGCAGCACCACCTGGTTAAGTGCAGATTCTCATCCTTCCGTCAATTCCCTCTGATTTTTAGTCATCAACCATCAGGGGTGAGAAGGGTACTTCGGGTACTTCGGGTACTTCTCAAGTCTGATCCACTTGCAGCATTCACCGTATTCACCTAGAATTTCTATCCATCAATGCACCGCCATGCCTGAGGAGACCTTTCCCCACGACAGGGTGCCGAAGCCCAGGCTTTCTCCCGCGTCGTTCCGATAAGGCGAAGCCAAAGGAGAAGCACCTGAAGGTGGCTTTTTGTGGCGGATGGACGGAATGGGGTGGAAACATGGGAGCAACTGACCAAACAAAAAATGAGAAATGACACAATGAGTTGGGATATTGTGAAATGATTGGGAAATGATTATGGGATATCCGATATCCCCATCAACCATACTGTTCTTTGCTATTGTGGGAGAGTTATGGGATAATGATGGGTGGACTGGAAATTTAACTAACAATACCACGGGGGCGTAACGGGTAACGGGTAACCAATACGGGGGTATAATTGGATCTTAATGACATAATAGGCGATGAATGGGCATGTCATGGGATAGATATATATATAGTGTTATATATACCAACACAAAGCCAGCCAGGATGGAACCTTCAAGTTACTGTCGGATATAATGGGAATTCCATGGGGATATAGTCCGATATATTACCCAACTTCATATGCTTCTGTCCAAAAATGATGTGTATCTCCGACTTATTGCCGAAGCAGTGGCTAATAGGGGTACCCCATTTTCAGACACACCCAAATAAGGATTTTATATACTTTCAACAATGGTGGTATCAGACAAACCAGCTAATGGGGATTTTGTATGAAATAACCAACCATATTCTCATGTGGATTATGTGTCAAGTCAACACAAGCGGCCTATAAAATCGTTTGAGCTATCATATGTTTGAAATGATCCACCTATCAGATCATTTTGTAAGTGGACTTCTTTTCAGTGTACGGATTGGTGGCAGTTTAGTACTTCGAAAGACAATGGGCGTTCATGGAAGTGAAAAGCATAGAGCAATATAGAGCATCAGACCTCCACAAGGAAACATTGAACATATTCCCAACATGTTTGAGATGTGACTGGATGATACTGGGTCTTTATGATTGGATATTCCTCTTCAACATGAGCCCCAAAAAAAAAGAGCCGCCGCCGCTGCGCCATTTAGTTCGAGGCACCTCGGCTCCGAGCCGCTGGACTCCGACCTGAGAATGGTGGATTTTCCATAACCCATGACGGATCCGGCTGGTGCTGGTATAAAAATGCTAACATAAAGGGGGTTAATCTTGATGGGATCCATGGCACACCATATATAGCAGCACCATGGATCCGTCATGGGTAACATTCCATAACCATGTTAGTTCGCCAGAGGGTATCCGCACTTGAATGGACACCCAAGTTAGATCATGTGACATCTAAGAAAACGCTTCGACTTCTGCGCGCCTTTCCGTGCTCCCAGAAAGTTCTCCAACATGCTCTGGGGTTCCTCTGCATAGAGACCTGTTCCCAGCCTCACTTTTCAACGGCTCAACTCGTCAGAAATCTCCGAAACATTCTGAAACATTCTGAAACCACCAGTTGGTATAGCCCTTCCATTGGCTGCAGTGGATGAGCACTACCAGTAGGCATATTGATGATGATGCAACCAGTTCATCCCATGTCCAGCATGTCCAGTAAAAGATGAATCGTTCTGAGACGAAAAAAGTTCACCACCATGGCTGCGGGCGTTGCGTTGCTGCGGATCAAACCTGGCATTTTGTGGGTGACTTCACCAGTGAGGCCATTATGAAATTCATCCGATCTCATGGATGTATTCTTGAAATATGTAATTGGAAATATTTGGGATATCATATATATATATATATATCCCAGCTACAATTTAAGTCTCAAAATCACCTCTAATACCAAACGGCCTCTATGGTGAAGAGGAAAACCCATAAAATAATCAGAGCCTGGTGGACCTTCTTCCCATCATGGAATTCATCCTACCCCTACATCTCCCTTGCAGCCTGCTGAGTTTATGACAAGCTTTTAAATATTCCCTGGCTCATCTGACCTAAGCATTTTTACTGGTATCATCGCATGATACTGGCTGCTTTCTAGTGGTTCCCAAATCATGGGTTATGTAGTTCATAATTCCTATGTCCTATGTAGCAGGCAGTATACCCCCAATAATCATCAACCAACCAGCATTCATCAATCATATCCGCCCCTATTTGGTTTGTGAACTTCCTTGATGGTTCACCCCAGTTCATTCTCGGGCTTTGACCCCAATTGATGGGATAAGATGGGTTGGTCCAGCTACAAGTAGGGTTTTCCACCGAGTACTACTCCCAATTTCTGTAACTTGGGGTTTCTTTGGCACTGCGAAACATGCCACAGCCACTCCGCGGCGACACAACGTCGTGTGGCGAACGCGAACACCGCGTTGGGGAGCGGGGCGAAAGACAGCGGCCAGTGCCAGGGGCCTAGCAATCACAGCTGAGGGAGAAAAAACATTTTGGAAATTGGTTTATTCTGAAAACAGGGCACCTAAAATTTTGATGGTTAGTCACTTTCCCTGCTAAGATGCCCATTTTCAGACACACCCAAATGGAGTGTACAAAAGGTACTCTTTTCCCAACGGAAAAGAATGTGTCGTAGCCATTGGCCTCCTTCAAATCAGGCACCTGCCAGTTGGCTCCCACAGAGCCCCAACACAAGAATGTTCAGTTGGAACAAGGTGCAAAATTGAAGTAGTATAGTAACCCCGCACGAAGTTTCAAAAGTGTATATTCCGAACAAGATTTCAAAAACGTCTGCATCTTGGGCGCCAAAAAAATGTGGTTCCCCTGGCCATAGCACCATGACTGGGGATGGTTTCCATGGTGAAAATCTGAAGGATCTAAGGCATCCAAGGCCAGCACCATGTCCGCAGCCCAGGAAAACCGCGGTGAGGCCATCCCTGCCACGGGAGTCGTCCAGGACTCACTCTGAGTTGGGCTTTCTGATGGCTGCCTCAGTGTGGCCACCATACAACCATACATCTACAGCAAGATATCATCCTACTTAAATTGTGGTTTTCAAAAACGAGAAAAAGCCAGATCCTTGGAAGTATATATATATAATATGTATATTATATATATAATATGTATATTATATATATATTATATCATTATATTATATATAATATATATGGTATATGGTATCAATATGATCATATTCCACATCTTTGTTTCGAGTCGCAGTCGCTTCCGCGGGATCTGCGTGGGCAACGAGAAGTTGGCATCTCCGTTGCGGGCAGACTGCAGGCCCTGGAGCGGTTCACGCACCTCAAATTTGGGGTCCATGGCTGCCATGGCTTGCTTGGGGTCCAGATGAAGAACTACATGAAACAAAAAGGTGTCACCAAATACAAGGGTTTTTATGGGTTTTTTCTGATTTGTTGTTGGAAAATGTTGGAAATGATGGCCCCCCTGCATGTGAGAAAAGGCTTTCAATGTGGTGAATATATGGGGATTGTAGTCATGGATGTGGTGTTTCTACAGGGATCACAATGGCACGGTTTACAACTTGTGTAGTAAGTACTTCTTAAAATGGGGCAGCTGTCACCAAGCCCCCAGTGATCCAATACTGGACTTGTGTATCTTGTGTTCATAGAGGGTACCATCTACCTGTGGTAGTATTCAACCTTAAGGGGGAAGAGATTTGCTCAAAAAAAAACATTTCATGACGTCCAGGAAGGCACAGGAAGGCAGCGCATCACTCAGGACTCGACAGGGGAGGTGGGACTCGCACTCTCTTCCGGTGTGGGTGGCGGCGTAAACGCGATGGAGCTGACGGTGCACCTGCCAGAAAGGTCTGCTGGCTGAGATTGGAATTCGAATGAGATGTGGTAAAGCCAATAATAAACCTCTATTGGGGATGGTTCATTGTTGGGTAAACCACATTGATGCTAACCATTCTGATAGTAGTCACTATTTCGGTGGTAATTTTCCAATTAAACAGACCACGCGGAGTTATTGATTCGGGGTTGACGTTAAGCAATGAGTTATACGACCCTATACTAACCCCACACCTCCACGTCATCAGGCCTCGAATTGGGAGAGATGCGCCGCTTACAACCAGGCTTGAGCGTTCCATCAGGCCCAATGATCCGGTCATGTTCTTCCTGGCACAAGGCTTCATTGTTTCCAGGTGTCCAACTGTCCATAAAGGTTGCTGCACACAACACACCAAAGCCGTTAGATGCTGTTCGTAAAATGGGCAAAGCTCTTGGAAAAGACAAAAAAAACAATATCTCCGGGGGCCTCCTTGCTAAACTTTGCAGCGTTGGCTGGTTTCAAGGCCGCACAGCTCCTGGAGCGCGAAGATGAATGGGTCAAGTTTTTTGCCAAGGGAACCATTTTCCTCCGAATGTTAATCTTAGTTCATACAGTTTTGCTGTTAAAATCCTCCACTTGGAGGAAAACACCATTTCCGTTTGTCAACTCTCCCCAAAAAAATTGGACAGCCAACGCGTTGAGCTGAGGAACTGCTGCTGGACGTTGTCGGGGAAGACCTTGATCTGCCTGCCCAGATTGCCATGAAAGACTTGGGATTTGGTAAAGTTGTTTGAAGCTGATCCAACTATGGGAGATGCCCTCTGGTAAACAAAGATGCTGGGAACTCCCCCATGTCTCAAGTGGAAAATCATCAACATATTCACCCCCGCAATGGAAGGTAGTCACGAAGAAGTCATCTTCACTTTTACATATTTCCGCCCAAACGTTGGAAAATCCCAATTTTTCCCCACCTGCCAGGTGAGGGTTGTTAGATTTTATGTCGGTTGCCTGCTCCTCTCCTCCTCTCCTCTCCTCCTCCTCCTGCTCAACCGCGACCCCCGACGCACAGTGTTTGTTCTCTGTCGGACCTCATCCACGACCATCCACGCCCAGTGTTCCCTGCCGGACCTCAACCACGACCATCCCCGCCCAGTGTTCCCTGCCGGACCTCAACCACGACCATCCACGCCCAGTGTTTCCTGCCGGACCTCAACCGCGAGTATCCACGCCAAGTGTTCCCTGCTGGCCCCTCATGTAGGAAGATATGGGACAAAGAATGCGCAGAAGAAAGTTAGAAAGAATGTCAGACAAGTATGTTATATATTACTTGCAAACTCGCGCGTGTGTGGTAGAGTGACCGGGGCAATGCCGCTTCTTACTTTGCAGGTGGCAAAGTTTGAAGCAATCAGTTTGAACAGATGACAGAGTCACTGGGGTGGACAGAGACATTTCCACTTCTGTACCTTTGGAGCTGTTTGCAAAGACGCTTGAGACAGGCAACATCTTACAGCAAGTTACTACAAATTACTTGAAGTGATCTCATGCTGGATTGATGCTTGAGACAGTCAACATCACACAGGGTTTCTGTTGTGTATCACAGCTATGGTGGCATGGTGGATATGTGACATCGGAACATTTGTTGGAGCATTTGGGCCCTCATCTACTCGATCGCGGGCCAGAGGCAGGATGGACATCATCATAGAAGAATTCAGGAGGAGGAGGTTGTGTGATCAGTAGTGTCTTCTTGCGTGTTTTTGTTTGCTTGGCAGGTGATGGCAGAGGGTGACCAATCTGCGAGTGCTGCGCAGGCGAGGAGTTTGAGTGGAAGTAAGCACATTGGCCAGTGGCTGCTTTCAAAAGTGTTGGATAAGTGATTTGGAAAGCAGCTTGTGCTTTGACACCCTGCGCAACAGCCGACGCGAGCTCAAGCACAAGCAGAAACGTGAATAAGATAATAGTGCTCAAAGGATAGGGACATGAAACGCTTGAGAATATAAATGTAGTAGGTGTATCTCTTCGAAATGTTTCATTGAGAAAGATTGGAGAGGTTACATACTATATAGATATGCCAGATAAAATGCCATGAGATATGCCAGATAGATATGCCAGATAGAATGTCAGATAGAATGCCAGAAGATATGCCAGATAGAATGCCAGAAGATTTGCCAGATAGAATGCCAGAAGATATGCCAGAAGATATGCCAGATAGAATGCCAAATAGAATGCCAGATAGAATGCCAGAAGATATGATGCCAGAAGATATGCCAGAACATATGCCAGAAGATATGCCAGATAGAATGCCAGAAGATATGCCAGAACATATGCCAGAAGATATGCCAGATAGAATGTCAGAAGATATGCCAGAAAATATGCCAGAACATGTGCCAGAAGATATGCCAGAAGATATGCCAGAAGATATGCCAGAACATATGCCAGAAGATATGCCAGATAGAATGTCAGAAGATATGCCAGAAAATATGCCAGAACATATGCCAGAAGATATGCCAGATAGAATGCCAGATAGAATGCCAGAAGATTTGCCAGATAGAGTGCCAGAAGATATGCCAGATAGAATGCCAGATAGAATGCCAGAAGATTTGCCAGTAAGAAAATGTATAAATGTCATGGTGGGGATCACACGAAGTAAAGTAATTTGTTGAATGACTATCCTTGGGCAAAAAATGCCGTACTCGTACTCCATTGGCAGCCATGGCCTGTAGCTGTCCAGTTCATAGCCACTGGTCCACTGAAGCACCTCGCCACAGCTACAAGTACAGTGAAAGCACTGTGAACGAACCCACTGCATTAAGAACTGGGCCTGGAGTGCTGGATTCACCCCTGCTAGCGAGATTAGAAGTGGAGAGATATTTCACTAATAGTTATATAATGTTATATATAGGGGTTTATCCTCCATAACCCCGACTTTCTGGGGTTTAAATTCCCATGATTATACCCATTTAACCCATATAGTTTCCCCCCATTGATCCAGTTGCTTGCAGGACTTCCACTGCCAAGCGACCCGTCGGTCCTGGGGCGACGTCGGCCGCACCGGCGACGAGGGCGAAGGCGAGCGCGAGCGCTCCCAGCGCGGCGAGCGACGGTCGCCCCGGGGCGAAGCGGAACGCGCGGAGGGTGGAGAGCAGTCGCCTGCAGGGTCCAAGTGGCCGCAACTTGCCATTGGGTTCAAATGATTTCAGCGCAAGTGTTGAGTTTGATAAAGTCTCATTCCGAATCAAAAAGGGGAAGGGTGGCCGGGTGGCGCCACTTGCCTACTGAGAGCCACGGAGGAAGAGGCACCTTAGTCACAGTCGCATCTCGAATGCAAAATATGCGCCGCAAATTGAAAACATAAGATCCTAAGAGAGACTGTGCAGCAGAGACAAGGCGCACGGAGTCATGGAGTGAAGAATCATGAAAACAAGCCGTCAACTGTTTGCTTTACGCCGAATGCCTATTGATCGTACAGCAAGGCGGCCAAGAACCCGGCAGTTCCTTTGTCTGCAGAAGGAAACCTGACAAATGGATAGAAATGGATCCTGGCAAACCAAATAATAAACCTACCCTCTGGTAATTTGTTACATAGCTATTGAAAATGACCATAGAAATAGTGGATTTTCCCATTGAAAATGGTGATTTTCTATAGTTTTTTGTATGTTTACCAGAGGGTACAACATTTGGGGCTAATCCCAGCCATCAAGTTATGATGACGACTGGGCTGCTAATCGCGCCTGCGCCGAAGGGGTCTGCAGCTTGGTGAAAACAAATCCTGGGTGATGTGAGTGATGTGTTCTATTGAAAAAATAAATAGACCCTGTATGACCCTGTAATTCAATTGGTGGTTTGGTGCATAGAAAAGCGTGAAAAAATGGGTTTGTCCAGCATGGGAACAAAGTGTTCATCTATGATATCTTTGGGCTTTGTAGCTTTGCCTGCAAACCGGCTACGCCAAACTCCGATGGTTCATAAACAGGTTTCCCATGAAACATCATCAAACATCAAACAAAACATGATGCCATTTTGGTTTCAGACCCAAAGATCGCAGAGCCGGCCTTATCTCCAGGCTCCATTGCCTCCGGGCACCTCTCAGTTCTGGGATTGCCAGACCAGCCCTGCCAGGCAGAACGAGTTTCAGGCGGCTGGAAATGTGGAGATATCCAAAAAAAAATGTATCCGATATCATCTGTACAGTAAGTCCTGAAACCATATCAAATACTGTATCATATACACCATACAACTCTAATATATTCAGAATTTGAACGAAGTACTATTACTAATGACTTTCTTTACAAATTCCAAACTCTGATCTGGAGAAGAAACTTGCTCAGCTCCTGCCTTGTTCCGTGGCGAAAGAGCCGCGCTCACACCCACACCTGAGACTTTCCCCGGCTCCTGGCAATTTGGAATCAACTCAAACCACGAACCCAGGCTGAAATAGATCAGCGAGACCATGAGAAGTGCCTCAATCCTCTTCTTTCGCGAGCCAAAGATTGAATCTGGAGGAACATTCTCCTCACTCAGCCCCGTCGCTATGCCTCAGAAACACATTCATGCCACGGTTTGTTTTTTTTTGGCGCCACCCAGCCCCACGCTGCTACATCTCTGGGGCCATGGTTTCATCCCACGGCTGGGCCGGCCATCCGCATACCCGGAATCAGTGAAATCATGCCAAATCCTTTTTCCCCTGCTGAACATAAACCACTATCAAGCAAAATTATCTTGGGATGTTTATCCATGTTCATCATCATCAACCTAATTCTACGAATGATTGACATTGATGAATCGGGTTGACATTGCAAAACAAACAAAATGATCTAAAATGGGATCCGCATGATTAGCTGGTTGTATCCCTTCATTTTACAGATCCCTCTCTTCTTCTACTAGCTACTTTGGTAGCCCCAAAAGACCTCTACGGCCAAGTGGCTTTTGGCAGGGCAGCTTTTTCGGCTGCTTCTCACTGGGCTGGTTCTCCCATGGTCCATTCCTTGGGGGCACAAAATGCTCTCGTTTCATGGGTAAAAGCAACCAGACATGGGGATATAATAAGGGTATGATGGCGACCTATGGTTTTATATGAAATGTTTTATACCACCATTTCAGTGATGGTCATGTTGGTCAATAGAAAAACTCATCAAAGGAACTATATAAATATACGGGCCAGTTGATTTCAACGCTGAGAGTATGCATTTCCAACATTCAACCATGCAGTCTTGGGGTCAATCATCCCTTCCGCCACGAACGGCCCCCGGAACCTTGTTTGGAATCGTTTGGGGCCCCCAGATGGTGGAGGACTTAGTTAGTTCTAACTGTTGATGTCCCTTTATATTTGGTATACATATGACCCTGTTTTCGTAGTTTGGTCAATTGGCCCTTGATCTTAGGGCTATGAAATTTGACCTGTTGCCCAATCAGTGGCAGGTTTCGGCAGGATGGCGGTGGGTCGTTCAGCAAGTGCAGCATTGACACCTGCGCCAAGAAGGATTGGCCATCAATGTTGGATGGATTTTACATGCAATTCACAGGAAACCTTCATATCTATATTTTGGTGGTCAAAGCCGCATTATCTTGAAAGTTTTTCCTCGAACCAACTCTGAAATGTGGGTCAGCTATGGGTCAATGTTGAGTTCCGTTGACTATACCATCCCGTGCCGATAGTGTCTCGTCATATTTCGAGACGGTTCAAACCCTGTGTGGCCAAAGTAACACAGCCCCAAGGAAAACAAACGACACTTTGAACATGTGACAATATATGGTGTGTTCTACAATTTTGTATACAGTACATGTACAATCTGCACATCATTCATTCGTTCATGTCATGTCATGTCATGTCATGTCATGTCATGTCATGTCATGTCATGTCATGTCATGTATATGTATATGTATATGTATATGTATATGTATGTATATGTATGTATATGTACGTATATGTATGTATATGTATGTATATGTATGTATATGTATGTATATGTATGTATATGTATGTATATGTATGTATATGTATGTGTATGTATGTGTATGTATGTGTATGTATGTGTATGTATGTATATGTATGTATATGTATATGTATATGTACATGTATATGTACATGTATATGTACATGTATATGTATACGTTTATGTATATGTCTGTGTATGTGTATGTGTATGTGTATGTGTTTATATCTGAATCTGTATGTGTATGTGTATGTGTGTATGTATAGACGTATACGTATACGTATGTGTTTGCATATACATAAACATATACATATGCATATAATCATATACATATACATATACATATACATATATATATATACATATACATATACATATACACATACACATACACATACATATACATATATGCATGTGGTTTACTCTGACTTTACAGGCGTTAAAATAATTCATTTTTTACGTATGCTGCAAAAAATAGAATAGAATAAATAATATGTAACGAATCGTAATCATACAGTCATCCCTACAAAGTGTATATCGTAGGAAAAAAATAGCGAAAATTACTTTCTCTATCTTTTGGGGGGTGCTAAATACAAAAACACACAACAAACTGTATGGACTGGCACATGCCTTCAACTTGTGGCACCCCAAAGAGGCGATCGAAGGTGGATGCCATGCTGCAGCTGATGGATTTTGTTGAAGGCATGGCATCCCATCGAATTCCAGGTGTCTTTGATGAGGTATAGAATTCCATGGCCTTCTGGTAGATTTTTTCTTTTTGGCTTTTCCAGGTGTGATGGTGAGTAAAGGCAGCAAATACTCAAGCCAACAGCTGAGGGGGCAGCATCAATGGTGAACACAACTGATGCATATTGATGCCACGTTGGCAGCCGTTTGTGCATCTACGTGCTGAGTTCCATTTAGACATTGCAAACAGCAAGCGTTTTTGGCCACGGGTTGGCTGTGAATCCGTCTGACTCTGCACGCTATTGAAGCAGGAAAATCAAGGCAGACAAGTTCTGAGGTTGGATTTCTGTCCCACGTTTTCTTAATCCGAGATTTGCACAGCATAACACAGGTTGCTCCAAAATACCGCCGCGCCAGTGTCAGTCTTCATCTCATCTACGACGTCTACGATCTCCTGACAAAGACAACAATGGTCTGCGTTGCTGGTCTCTTGGCTGCCGACGGGGCATGTCATGGCCATGAACGAAAGGGGAGCTTGTTGCAGTGATTCTGTGCCATTCGCAGTTTGCATTTGCAGAGTATCCCAACTTCAAAGGAAGTTGCCAGGGCTGCAGGTTCCTACATGCAGTAAAGATATAAGTTATATGATATATATATATATAAGTATATCTGCCTATATATAAATATATAAGTTAATATAAGTTATATACTTATACTATCTTATACTTATACACACATCCCAGCAGTGAAGACACAAAGTGCCCAGTTACCCATTTTTCAGCAAGCAGTTCGGAGAAAGTCTTGAACATTGAACCGATTCTTCAGTGGCAGTGGCACTCAAAGCAAAGGTAGATCCCACATGTTTGCAATCTTTAGTCAAGCTTTGTCGTGATCGGAAGCTTCTTTTCGAAGAGATGTACCTAGCACACCATGATCATTTCCACGGTCGTGACCACTGCTCACCTCATTTCATCTTTTGGCCTTGGCGCAGGTGGCCGTTGGGCCCTTCAAATGGATACATTACCATACACATTTTCATTGGAAAGACACTGACTGTATCATACAGTCAATGAATTTCCCAGCGCCACACGTTGATGGCATTCCCGGGCATTCATGGCATGGCAATTTAGCATTCTTTTTTCGGCCTGTGTCACTGCATTCCGGTAATCCGTACTTGGCGGAGCAAATGGTCAGATTGAAAACGGTATGAAAACGCGAATTCCATGTCAAATACAACATATGCGACAATGGCGCTGCAAACAATACTCAACCGTGCATGCTGTTCATTGCATGCTCAAAAACTTCAAGGCGGGCCTGGCATGGCAGCATCGATTCTGGGAAGCTTGAGGAGTGCTGCATCGGGTGGTGCAGTGAAACAAGCAGAATCTAGTGGACATGTGGTTGCAGGACAACATTTCCAAGAAATACAGCAAAGCTCCTCAAAGCTATTCTCATTGTTTGTTTGGCGTTTCCAATGCGCTCCGGATGTCTTTAATGCACTGGAAAGGATCGGCTGGATCTTGAAAGAGTCACCCAAATTTACCATGGTACAACAGGTGAAATGAGCGAGAAAAAGATGTCAGCCACTGCAAAACCAGAACAGAGGCCGGAGGGGCCGCGAACTCCCTGCTGGCTCTTGCACCTCCCTGGGTAGAGGTTGGCACACGCAAAAGTGGTGCAAAGTCATCGTGAAGTTCTTTTCGTTACGTGTTTACAGCCCAATAGATGAAGACGACTTTAATGGTACGGCATCTAATGGCATGTATTAACTGTATTCAAATCTGTTCTGCTCAAAAGCTAAATTCTGCATGATTTCACTTTTCATCCGGCAAATCTCCAATTTAAGTACGATCTCAATTTGTCTACCTAGAAATGGAGCACACGACGAAAGTAGGTGTTTGGCGAAGGCTGATTGCTACATGCTTTGAAGTGGCTCTTTGGTTGGCGAAACGAAATACAAACTCTGCGCCATCCCCTTGCCACGAACCATTTCAAGCTGTGCCCCTTTCCAACCCCTTCCAATCTGCCTGTCCACCCTGGTATTTTGCTTTGACCCTTGGATGTGTGCAAGGTCTGCACAAAGGGCCCATCGATTTTGGTACAAAAGACGATCATCAAAAGCATCATCGCGCATGGCTATCCCAAACAGATACGGGTAGACTCCCCAGTGCATCCATTGATGAAGTCACATTGACAAATTATGTGGGTGGCCACTTGATGGACAGATTATCTATGTGTAAACAGCCTTGTCACTTAAACAACCACTTCAAACGTGCCAAAAACCACAACTGATTCAGAAGTGGGCGTCTCGAAAAGAAGTATATAATATGATATATATATATATTATATATATATAGTATAATTCTTCCAAGTGCCAGAAGTTCGAAACCCCTTGTAGAATTTTGAAGCTTTCAATTTCAGATCTCGAATTTGGTTTGAGCGCAAGCCTTTAGCCAGAAATTGAAGGGCGTTTTTCCTAGAAACATCCAGTTTTACGCCTGCATCATCCAACTAAGCCTGTGCATCCACCTAGACCTGTGCAACATCGAATTTCACCTTGTGCAATATGCATACATGTTCAACGGAACATGCTCAAAATGTGCTCAATTGATTGAAATACTCAGAGGTGCAAGCGAAACTCAGCGAAAGCGGTCATTTCGAAGGAAAGGGTCGCTAGGGATAACATCTTTACCATTTGAAATGATCCTTCACCAACATGCATTTGTTCGCATATGCTGTGCGTGCATTATCTTGCTATCTCTTTTTTCTATTGATATATCTATGGATCTACCTATACCTACCCACCTACCTACCTACTTACATCTACCTACATCTACCTACATCTACCTACATCTACCTACATCTACCTACATCTACCGACATCTACCTACATCTACCTACATCTACCTACATCTACCTACATCTACCTACATCTACCTACATCTACCTACATCTACCGACATCTACCTACATCTACCTACATCTACCTACATCTACCTACATCTACCTACATCTACCTACATCTACCGACATCTACCTACATCTACCTACATCTACCTACATCTACCTACATCTACCGACATCTACCGACATCTACCTACATCTACCTACATCTACCTACATCTACCGACATCTACCTACATCTACCTACATCTACCGACATCTACCTACATCTACCTACATCTACCTACATCTACCTACATCTACCTACATCTACCTACATCTACCGACATCTACCTACATCTACCTACATCTACCTACATCTACCTACATCTACCTACATCTACCTACATCTACCTACATCTACCGACATCTACCTACATCTACCTACATCTACCTACATCTACCTACATCTACCTACATCTACCTACATCTACCTACATCTACCTACATCTACCTACATCTACCTACATCTACCTACATCTACCTACATCTACCAACACCTACCTACATCTACCTACATCTACCTACATCTAACTACATCGACCGACACCTGCCTACATCTGCCTACATCTACCTACATCTACCTACTAATCTACCTACTAATCTACCTACTAATCTACCTACTAATCTACCTACTAATCTACCTACTAATCTACCTACTAATCTACCTACTAATCTACCTACATCTACCTACATCTACCTACATCTACCTACATCTACCTACATCTACCTACATCTACCTACCTACCTATTGGGGGCATAGTCAGCCAATGGTTCGTATCCTGGGTTGGCGGCTGGCATTGTGAAACATCGAATTTACACATCTACGGAATTCCAGGTGTTGGCAGCGAAAGATGGAACCTCTTTGCGTGGGCTGCCCTCAATGGAGATGCTCCCTTGGAAGTACTCGTGGTCACCATGGATTGTCCAACAAAGACGTGTCCATCCCAACTGAGTGTTCAAATCATCTCAGCTCCAGCGTGTGACTCTACGAATCTCAGCCCCAGCAATCTTCGCAGCATAGCGCAGCTGAGCATCAGCTCCTTCTGCTCTTTCTCCATCTGCTCAAGCTCTTGAGGATGGTCTTTTGGATCTGGCCAATTGGCCAGCGTCTCCTGCAGGGACTGCGGAAAAAAACAGCTTGGTGCCCCGAAAATCCCAAGCCCGGATGGTAATTCAAGATGCTGAGGAAACATGGCTTTGTTGGTTTTGATCACTGAAGCGGCAATCCAGAGGTATACAATGAGTGAAGCCATTGACACAATATCAAGTTCCACACAATAGGACTTGGACCCTTCAACCCATGCACGCTCAAAACTGCTGCCACCAGTCACGGTCAGCCCTCACATTGTAGGGCCGAAACTTGCAGTAGTTGTCACAGAGGAAACATTACATGGGCATCCCCCAACAAAAAACACCACTAAGATCAGTTCGACCTGCTGAATGTCCGGTTTGACTGTCCAGGAATGTCTTAAACTTAAACAATGAAAAGTTATATGAGTTCTGCCTCTCTCTGAACATGGCACCTCCAGCTGCTCGAACTCGAGCGTCAGCATCGCCACACCGCAACAGGGCGTGCTGGCGTGGCGTGGGGGTGGTTTCCTCCTTCCTGGAAAATCAAGAAAATGAATAAGAATGATATGTTTCCCGATCAACGCCACTTTAGAACATGCTGACATGCTCCTTTTCGGTTTCACATTTGATAAAACATGATAAAACACCACTCTGGACACAAAGATGCTTGACCATTGAGCCACCTGTTTGAAAAATTGTGAACATCACAAGCTGGTGGCACCCCGTATGCGCAAAATCTCAAGATCACAATCAATCTGGGCCCGTTCCTGACCCTGACCCAACCGCCGTATGCCCCAGCTGCCTTCCCTCGCACTCTATGGTTTGTTGCGTCACTTCGACGCAAAGGAGAGGTCTTTTCGGCATACCTGGTGGGGCCCTCAATGAGAAAAGCCAAGGTTTGTGGTGTATTTGATACACTGGCAGCTTCGTAAGCTGGAAAACGAAGACTGATTTCAAGGTATTGCTGCTCAAAGAAGACAAGTGTCAGACTGAGTCAGACTGCTTGTGCGACGACAACTGATCAACCTTACATAGTTGAACAATCAACATTCTCCAGACCCCCAATTCCATCCCTGAATTTTGAATCACAATTTACCTTGACGGGTCTTAAGTCTTAACTGTCTTAACTTCCAATTCCCGTAATGTTCCTCGATGTTCCTCAATGTTCCTCTTGAAAGTTATCCATCCATCTGGGTTTCTAGCAAACTCGCTGTCACTAGTTGCACTTGGCTAATGCCTCAAGAACTGCCAATGATCACGACATATCAAGACATGTAGACGAAGAATGATGAAGAGATATTCTCCCAACCCGTGGCTATGGCATATCGAAAAAGCATGAAAAGTGATGAAAAATGTCATGAAGACTACCCCTCGCCCGCTTTAGTAAAGAATTCTGTGTTAGTGTTGTCCTGCTAGGGTGCCAGATGGGCCGCCGAGGATGATGGCAGAGGTGAAGAAATCATTTTTCGGCTCCTGCAAGAAACATAAAAAAATGCCACAGCAAGGTTGCTGGAGCGGCTGGAGTGAGTGCTAGCACTGCCAGTGGCAGCACACGAAATGCCGATATCAGATTAAATATGTGACAATGGGCTGAAAATTGCGAAACAGGAAACTCTTTCGTCTCTCGTGGCAAGCGGACTCACCAGCTCAAAATCTGGACATCTATCGGAAGCCTAGGGCCTAATGGGCACTCTCAGCCAGATAAAATCAATGCATATCCATGCCAGAATTAAGACATATTTCTTGACAATTCCCTGGGTTGGGGATAGACAGAGCACATGGCCCTGCCCAGCCCTACACAAAAGTCACAAATACCCGAGGAACAACTGCTGCTCCAATCTATCCAAATAACGCTTTTGAAACATGTCTCTACATATTTGATCGTCTCTGAACATAATTTGACATAATCTCACGCAATGTCGAGCTGAAGAATCTGTACCTGCTCTGAAATATGGTGACACGAAAGTTTGGCGAACTAACCTCTATATCGCCAACTGAAAGCCAGCGCTCTGATGAGCAAATTTGTCACATCAATATGGAACATGTGTTTCATAATACCAAGCAAACACGAGCGCAGATTGAACTTGTCAACCCCGCATTTTGATTGGCTAGAAAGACGGTGTCTTGGAACAAACAGGTGCTGTAAAATCAAGACCCACAGCTGACACCATCGGGATGACCCTGCCCTCCGGCGCCTCCGCTGCTGCGAGGGCCATCTGTACATCCCCAATATTGGCGCGGAGCGCCAAGCAGTTTATCAAACCTGAGGATTGGCCGCCTGTAGGTTGCATTCTTCAAAAAACGATCGATTCGTGGTGGATTTCCCAAAGTGCCCGGGATTCACCTTCGTTCCACATAAATATCTATACACATATATATATATATTATTATATATATATAGTGAAATATTTCACTATATATATATGTATATATATATATATAGAGTGAAATATATATATATAGTGAAATATATATATATAGTGAAATATATATATAGTGAAATATATATATAGTGAAATATATATATATATATATTGTGAAATATATATATATAGTGATATATATATATAGTGAAATATATATTATATATATAGTGAAATAATGTGAAATATTTGAAACTTGAAGTGGAAGCTTCCTTAGGAAATCCTTTCAGAATGGAACGCCCACAGCAAAGGCAAATTATGAGAAATGGCACGGTCTGCCGAGGTGCATGGCGGGCCCTCACGTGGCGGTTTCGGCACATAAGCACGCCGTGCTACCTCTGTCACCTTTGCCACCTCTGCCACCTCTGCCACCTCTGCCACCTCTGCCACCTGCTGTTGTGGCTCTTGGGTCACTTGCGGCACCTGCGGCAGCACCTGCGGCAGCACCTGCGGCAGCACCTGCGGCAGCACCTGCGGCATCTGCTGCGGCTGGTTTGGTGCCTGGCCAGGAATGCATGATGCTCACAATTTCCCAAGGCGTTTTCATTCCAGCCAACGGGTTGGCCGGGTTGGCTGCAAAAAAATCTGGCCCCTTACAACTTGAAATCCTTGCCGTTCGTGAACATGCCAAATACCCCAGAAAATGCGCTGCCTCCGTCACAGATGCAACCATCTGTTTCAGCTCACGCTGACCTTGGCAGCGGCTGCTCACCCCTGGGAGATCTTGGCATTCTAAAACCCTCAAGTCTCTCCGGATTACCGTTTAAAAGCTGTACAAGGGTCAAGGTTGTGAACTATTTGAGTTTGGTGTTTTCAGTCCGAGACGTGAAGTCCTATCACCTCTGGAGTTGATTCCGCGTCACTGACCTTGGGAGTTGAATTCTATACTATTGTGATCTATTATGACTTCGTTCAGTCCAGAGTAAATCTGCCGTTTCACACGGTTTCCCTTCACTTTCCTTTCGAGTTTGAGGGTCAGTTGGGTTGCATGTTCTGTCGTAGATAGACTCTAAACTCACCGGTCTTGCTTCACTGCTTCTCACAGTACGACATGTCGGCGTTTGCATCTGCTTTTCTTGTTGCATTATTTTTCTTCTTCTTCTTCTTCTTCTTCTTCTTCTTCCTCTCCATCTTCTTCTTCTTCTTCTTTTTCTTCTTCTTCTTCTTCGTCTTCTTCTCTTTCTTCTTACTTCTTCTTCTTCTTCTTCTTCTTCTTCTTCTTCCTCTCCATCTTCTTCTTCTTCTTCTTTTTCTTCTTCTTCTTCTTCCTCCTTCTCCTCGTCAACCTCTTCCTCTTCCTCTACATCTTCATAATCTTTCTTCTTCTTCATCGCCGTCATGTTCTTCGCCTTCTTGTTCTTCTTTTCTCTTTCTCCTCCTGGCTCTTCTTGTTCTTGTGCTCTCTGTTTTCTGCATGCCGGGCCCCCAATTGAAACATGTTTGCGACTGGTGCAGCATGCGACGTGCAGATTATGTCGCTGGAGGGGGGCATGGGGGGGCTTTGAAATTAATAGATGTGTGTGTGTGTGTGATATGGTGAATTCTGGACAATAAACTTTGAAGCAAATGCAAACAACTTGCACCAGAAACAGGCTCAATTGAAACTGAAATTCAGCTTTTTGAACTCTGACTTTCAGTCGCTTCCCGAGGTCTGCTAGCCTTCACGTTCAACTTTCTCCAAACTCTGACCTCTATCCAGCTGTTCCTCCTGAAGTGGGAATGCTTGACTTCCTGATTTAGAACTGATGATTTGGTTTGTTCCCGTAAACCGCGATTGTCTCTCAATGGATCATTAGCATTAGCACCCAGAACGGAGGCATTTTTAAGGGCACCGGCCAGTCTGTCTGCCATGTTTCCAGCGCCACAACGGCCCGCTGCCACCAAGAGGCATGCTGGCACAGGTTCTTCCAAGAGAGTCGATCCTGCAAGACATGGCTACACCCAAATCTAGGATGGACTGCCGCAATGTCGAGCACCTTCCAAGCCGAAAAGAATGAAACTTGAAAAGGTTGAAAAAGGCTCGGGAATGACAAGTATGGCCACCTCAGTGTTGGAACCGAGAGGAAACCTTTCCCGAGCTCAACATCTTGCGGCACCTAACTCGGACTGTGCCGGTGGTGCTGCTGGAACCCCATGAATGCAAATCCAAGGCAAGCCAGAGCAGATGGATGCAAAATGAGCACAACGGCCACATCACAGCAAGCATGATGAAAAGAAAACGCTTGTGACCTCCTTCGGGTTTCGGAAGGAATTTCAAAAAGAAGAGTGTGAACATTCCACCCTTGATGATCATGAAATAGTTGTCAAAAACCAGCACATACCACCAGTAGTCTTGTCGATCTTCCCCCTTGTTGACCACATTTGCCAGTGTGAGCCAAACCAGGTTGAAGAAAACGGGGCTCAAAGCTGCCAGCATCAGCATAGTATTGGCAAAAAGCCATGCAGCTTTGGACAGCATGCCCTTATATGCAGATTGATCTTCAGGACTCAAACCCACTGGCAGAGTTGCATGCCCATTATCTAGCTGATTTCGCATTTGCTGATCGAAACCAACCAATCCTTTGATGTCTTTGTCGTCCAAAGCTTCCAAGGGGGAAACAAGGTTGAATGTCAACGGGGCACTCCTGGGCCTTCGCTTCACTAAAATCGGATCCACAGAAGCTATCCGTCCACATTGCCAGGGTTCTTCCTCGTCATCTCGCACTGCCACCAACTGGCCAACCTGGTATTTGTGACTCATTGCTTGGCGAGCTAGAAAATAAGTTGCAGAAACTCAGCAAGTGGTTTTCATGGTTGCTGTCATTGCTGTGAAACTGCAGTGTGGTTGCTCTTTGCTCTTTGTTTCCTGTCGTTTCTGTAGCTGCGGAAACAGTCAGCACGTCGAATGTTCTTGAAAAATTGTGGTCGATGCGGAAAGAGTCAGCACGTCGAATGTTCTTGAAAAATTGTGGTCAGAACCTTGAACCCTTGGACCAAAATGTGCGAAGAACCAGCGACATGGAAATGAATGTAGGGATTGAAATTCAGATCCCCGAAAAATATGATTTCAGATTTCCTGGGATTCATAAGAAACAAGCAGCAGCACACTGAGATCGATGAAAATATGGTCGTATCATGTCGTATCGTATCATATCGTATCTATTTAAATTTATGTTTATTGTACGGGTTTACCTCATGCCAAGCAAATGGATTGAGAACGGAAACGGGATGCCTGGAACCGCCATCAGAGACGGCAGTTTCAACTCAGGTCCTCAGCACAGCCGCCAGCAATACAGCAACATACAGCAACACATCGCATGCAAACACGGTCAGCCATGGTAACCAATGGTAACCGCTGTCATAAAACCGCTCATGTATCATTTTTCCTGCATGATCCTCGAAGTCTCCCTGCATTGTTTGCACGTCATTTCCGTGCAAACGAATCTCCTTTGTAGGAACTCCTTTGCCTGTCAACTGACATACCAAAGAAGTCTCACAGCTTTTCTTGGATGCAAATAATCATTGCAAAATTAAAGCATGCCTTTTTGGCATTTGGCTTGCAAAAAATGAGTGCAAGCAGGTCATTTCGACAGCAGCTTGCCAAGTCAAGCTTCCCTTGAAGAAGCAATTTGGAACTTGTGCCCCTGCGCAATTCGTTTGCTCTGCCCTTTTTGTTCAAAAAGCGGCAAACGGAAAAAATGTGAGTTGTCCCATGAAAGAAAAAACTCAAACAATCATGAAAGAAACGGTTACAACTACAACCCTCCTCCAGCGAATGTCAAGCCTCAGAATTTCAGCTTTGCGAATGTGAGGTACACATCGCTGTTGCAACAAATGTGGCAGCTTAACACCATGCCAGCTAGGACAGGATCCAGGAAGAGTCGAGCAAAACGACAAAGTCGATATTTGATCAATGCAGGATCAGCACTTTGCAGCCACTGCACAACGATCAACTCGAAGATGTCACAGAAAAGGATCGCAGAAGGAACCACCCATGAAAACAGATCGCGAGGCGCTGTATGATCATGGACATAATTCAGAACGTCCTTCGATGGGCTCAATCGAATCATGGTTCCTGCCAAAAGAAGCATCAGGCTACTTGCAAGCTTGCAACCCATTCGCGGCCAAAAGCGGCAAAACACGATGCCACCAAGCTGCACTGTGAGCAGTTGAAAGAAGCGGAATCGGGAAGGGTCGGCGAAGCCATCCCATACTTTGCCCCATTCCCGACCGCTTCTTTGTACTGCCTCATTTGCCAAAGCCACTTCGAAGCGAACTGGCTTGGGTCGTACAGCCTTTGCTGCACGTTCACGCTCTGCTGCCTTTTCATTCGCCCAGACCTTGAATTTGTCGTCAAACTCCACGGGGACATTGGCCAGTTTTACCTTGGTCTCAGCAAAATAGAAGTAGTACGTCGTTGTTTCGTGAGGATATTCTGCATCTATGGTCCAGGTAAAGACGGCGACAAACCGCTGTGGGACTTCCAGGCAGGTTGCAAAGACTGACAGGAGACAAGTCAGCCGCTCCAAATAACGATACTTGGACCACCTTTGTTCTGCAATGCCCAAGAAAACCTTCCAAGAAGGCACGCCCATGAGCTGCAAGGATTGAAAAGCTGGAGACGACTTGATCCCGAAGTGATAGATGTCAAAGACCATGTCCTTCAAAACCACAAAGGCGACAACTTCAACCCTTGCCATGTACAACATCTCTCGCAGATACATGTATCGGTGCATATCTAAGATGACTGTCGCAAAGTACAGCATCCGTTGTCTGACAATCTCGGGAAAAGGTGCCATGGTATCAAAGAGGAACAGGCCGATCTGCCACACCTTAGCTAACAACGGCATGTAGACTTGTGTAAAGCCGAGTACCCAAAGCAAATCCATGACCGCTCTGGCAAGCTGGGCGTCAGGTAGTCCAAAGTCCCATTCGGAGGATGATTTGAAGCCAAGGACAATGGCGTGAGATGAGCTGATGAAAATCAGATCTGCCACCAGAATCACCACTATGACAACAAAGCGTTTGGTTGCAAAGTAGCGTTCACTTTTCTTGTACTGCACGAAGATGCAAACCGGCATCCAAGCAAAAACAGCTATGGATGCACCCAAGGGGAAATTCAATTTCAAAATACCCCATGAATGCAAATCCAAGGCAAGCCAGAGCAGATGGATGCAAAATGAGCACAACGGCCACATCACAGCAAACATGATGAAAAGAAAACGCTTGTGGCCCCCTGCAGGCTTGGGAAGGAACGTCAAGAAGAAAAGTGTGAACATTCCACCCTTGACAACCATAAAGTAGTTGTCAAAAAACAAAGCATACCACCAGTAGTCTTGTCGATCTTCCCCCTTGTTGACCACATTTGCCAGTGTGAGCCAAACCAGGTTGAAGAAAACGGGGCTCAAAGCTGCCAGCATCAGCATAGTATTGGCAAAAAGCCATGCAGCTTTGGACAGCATGCCCTTATATGCAGATTGATCTTCAGGACTCAAACCCACTGGCGGAGTTGCATGCCCATTATCTAGCTGATTTCGCATTTGCTGATCGAAACCAACCAATCCTTTGATGTCTTTGTCGTCCAAAGCTTCCAAGGGGGAAACAAGGTTGAATGTCAACGGGGCACTCCTGGGCCTTCGCTTCACTAAAATCGGATCCACAGAAGCTATCCGTCCACATTGCCAGGGTTCTTCCTCGTCATCTCGCACTGCCACCAACTGGCCAACCTGGTATTTGTGACTCATTGCTTGGCGAGCTAGAAAATAAGTTGCAGAAACTCAGCAAGTGGTTTTCATGGTTGCTGTCATTGCTGTGAAACGGCAGTGTGGTTGCTCTTTGCTCTTTGTTTCCTGTCGTTTCTGTAGCTGCGGAAACAGTCACCATGTCGAATGTTCTTTCAAAGGTCAGAACCCTGAGCCGTTGGACCAAAATATGCGAAGAACCGGCGACATAGGAAAAGTGGATGAAAAATCCATCACAACGTGTAGGTACTCAATTGGAACCTATAGCCATCATGGGCAACTCATTTTTTTCTCCAGTCCCGAGCGCCCAACGCAGAGCACTCAGTGGAAGCCAGCAGCGTAGGTCCTGACCTGCGAGACAAGGCATGTGTTCCTCGATAATGCCGACGATGACGATGACGATGACGATGACGATGACGATGACGATGATGATGATGATGATGATGATGATGATGATTATGATGATGATGATGAGGAGGAGGAGGATGATGATGATGATGGTGATGGTGATGATGGTGACAACGATGAGGATGATGATGATGATGATGATGATGATTGTTATGATTATTAATTATGATGATGATTATGATTATGATTATGATTATGATTATGATGGTGATTATTATGATTATTAAATTATTATCATTATTTTTATTATCATTAGTACTATTATTATTTTGATTTTGATGATGATGATGATGATGATGCTGATGATCATGATCATTATCATGATCATGACCGTAATCATGATGATGATGGTGATGATGGTGATGATGATGATGATGATGCTGATGATCATGATCATGATGATGATGATGATGATGGTGGTGGTGGTGGTGATGATATTGTTGTTGCTGTTGTTGCTGATGATGATGATGATGATTATGATGATGATGATGATGGTGATGATGATGGTGATGATGATGGTGATGATGATGATGATGATGAGGAAGATGAAGATGAAGATGAAGATGAAGATGGATATGAAGATGAAGGGAAAGTCTAACAAAGCACACTGACAGTGATATTGCCCGCCCCGCCCCCTATTGCCCCTGTCACCCGCATGTGTCGGTTCATGGGCAACACCAGGGCATTTTGGGGGGGGGTCCGAGGAATCATTCATGATGCACCGTAGTCATTAAATCACAGAGGAAGTTGGGCAGCAAATCTGGGGGCAGATTACGGGTGCTTATTGTGCCCTTCTTAGAAAGTGGTTTGGTGACTTTGGGGAAGTGGTGCCTTTAAGGGAAGTGTTGACTTAGGTTAAGGTAAGTTGTGAACTTAGAGAATGTTGACTTAAAGGGAATTGGGTGACTTAAGAGAAGGTGGTGACTTAGGAAGTGGTGACTTCCGGAAAGTGGTGATTTTGGGAGTTGGTGACTTATAGAAATGTTGACTTAAGGGAAAGGTGGTACGTGTGACTTAGAGAAGTGGTGACTTAGAGAAGTGGGTGACTTAGAGAAGTGTGCCTTTGTGTAGTGGTGACTTTGGGAAGGGGGTGACTTAGAGAAGTGGTGTGTGTGGTTGTAGTGCCTTCGAGAGAAGTGGTGGGCTTAGGGAAGTGTTGACTTAGGAAAGTGGTGACTTAGAGAAATGTTGACTTAGGGAAGCAGTGACTTACAGAAGTGGTGACTTTGGGGGAATTGTTGACTTCGGGAAGTGGTGACTTAGAGAAATGTTGACTTAGGGAAGTGGGAGAAGTGGTGACTTTGGGAAGTGTTGACTTAGCGAAATGTTGACTTAGGGAAGTGGTGACTTAGAGAAATGTTGACTTAGGGAAGTGGGAGAAGTGGTGACTTTGGGAAGTGTTGACTTAGCGAAATGTTGACTTAGGGAAGTGGTGACTTAGAGAAGTGGTGACTTAGAGAAGTGGTGACTTAGAGAAGTGGTGACTTAGAGAAGTGGTGACTTAGAGAAGTGGTGACTTAGGGAAGTGGTGACTTAGAGAAATGTTGGCTTAGGGAAGTGGTGACTTAGAGAAGTGGTGACTTTGGGAAGTGTTGACTTGGGGAAGTGGTGACTTTGGGAAGTGGTGACTTAGGGAAGTGGTGACTTAGAGAAGTGGTGACTTAGAGAAGTGGTGACTTAGGGAAGTGGTGACTTTGGGAAGTGATGACTTAGGGAAGTGATGACTTAGAGAAGTGGTGACTTGGGGACGTGGTAGCGGTGCAAAACGCATTGTAATGGCTGCATGTATATTGCATGGGACTTATTTTGGGGAGGAGGCCGGAGCGTGAAACATTGTGTTTTTTTCAGGTAAAGTGGCTGCAGCCGGCGATGATGAAAGGCAGCTCGTGTGCGCGGCGATGCGGGTACGCACGTTCTGACTTTTTTGGTTCCTAGAGGGTGTTCTGCAACGTGCGGTTGTTCATGTGTGCGTAGCTATAGGGTGTTTTGGCATCTGTTGCAGATCGCTGTGTAATGGCTGCGTGATTGTTATCATGTTCTGTTGCCACGTGCGTAGATACAAGCAGGTTTGCCACGTGATGCTGCAAAACGCATTGTAGTGATTATTATAATGGCTGCATGTATGTTTTGTGGAACTTGTTTTGGGGAGAAAGCCGGAGCGCCAAACATTGCGCTTTTTCGTTTCAAGTTTAAAGTGGCTGCAGCCGGCAATGACAGGGAGCTCGTGTGCGCAGCGGGTACGGGTAAGCTCGTTCTGAGTTTTTTTGGTTCCTACAGCGTTCTAGAATCTGCAGTTGCAGATCGCATTTTAGTGGCTGCATCAAGGTTTCTTAGTGCTGTGGCTGCGTGCGTAATACGTAAATCGTATTGGGGTGGCTGGATCAAGGTTGCGATGGTGAGTTCTCAGCAGATTCTTCTCAGCATTGGCGCTGATCATTTTCCTTTGAAAATTCCTTTAAAAAAGTGCTTCAAAATCGTCTTTTTTCGCTCTAGCGCCGAGATCCAGTTTTGGAGCTGCAATTTCTGTTGCCATGGCGCATCATTCTATGGCGTTTTGAAACTCAGTGTCTGCAGATCGCCTTGTAAAGGCTGTATGAAGGTTCCTCGCTGCTGCGGCTGTCTGCGTAATTCTATTGTATTTTGCAGCTGAGAGTCGTGAATCGTATTCGAGTGGCTGCATCAAGGTTGCGATGTTGATTGCCAGCAGATTTTTTTCAGAAGCTTGCTATGTGTAAAGCTTTCTGTGTGTGTGTGTCAAAGCTTGCTGTGCGTAAAAGCTTGCTTTGTGGAAAAGTTTGCTGTGTAAAAACTTCTGTGTGTAAAAAGCTTCTGTGTGTAAAAGGGTGGTGTGTAAAAGCTTCTCATGTTCAGAGGCTTTCTGTGTGTAAACGCTTTTCTGTGTCTCAAGCTTCTGTGTGCAAAAGTTTCTCTGCGCAAAAGCTTTCTGCGCGCAACGGTTTTTGTGTGCACGATCTTCTCTCTGACAATAAAAGCTTTCTGATGTACAGAAGAGCTAAGATAAGCTAAGAAGAGCTTCGATGAGATGAGAAAGGTTGAGCAATGCTCGGATAGAGATGAGTAGTTGAGAAGAACTACTAGAGATGACACATGAGAAGAGATGACATGAGATGAGAAGAGCTGAGATGAGCTGAGATGAGCTGAGATGAGGTGAACAAAACTCAGATGAGATGAGATGAGGTGAAGCGTGGAGTGTGAAGAGTGCAGTGCAAAGTGTGGAGTTTCAAGTGCAATGTTTGGAACAGCACAAAGCACGCACGCTCGGGTCTCGCTGGCGCATGGCGCATGCAAGTTCTATAGATGAAAAATGTCTTCTAGTATAACCCTAAGGCAACTTCCGCCCTGCTTTGTGCAGGTACTACTGGTAATTATTTGCTTTTACAAATGGACAACCAACCAGCGAGTTGAAATCAATGTGTAAAGTCTAGATGTCATCAGTGCAGAAAATCCAATTCGCACAACCCCTCAGACTCCAAAGTCACAAGATACCTGTGATATCTGAGGTGCAGGACAGTTTTGCACTCGCTGGTAATATTTTTCAAGATCTTGTTCAAGCTATGGCCTCAGGTCACATCCAGAGGAGCCCACATGATACGTTGAATTGCAACGATCCGCTCTGATGCAGAAGTTGTATCTCATATAAATCATGTAAGTGTAATGTAAGTCATGTATTTACAGATTACATATCATTCGATCCTCCTTGTAAGTGTCAGGGGTTCCAGTCATCAGCAGTCTATCCAGTCTATCCATCACAAACAACACTTCCTGCGGTCCAAACTCTGCGCATTTCCTCAGGCCGTGGAGCCTTGGAACTCAGCTAGAGACCTCTTGCAGTTCAAGCCTTGGTCGACAGGGCAAGTCCGGCGACGGAGAATTGGGAACGAACAACGGTCACACCCCACACCGTGACAAACGAGGCATCCTGATCCTTTCAAGTACCTGACTCTTCTTGGCTAGGATTTTGTTGATGGAAGCACTCTTTGCAAATTCAAGAAATGGTTCCCTTCAACTAACCAATTTGCCCGCAGTCGCTCAAGCTAAAAAACCGTGCTCAAGACACGTGTTTCCATATCAGAATTATAATTACAACAATTTTGCCCTCCGGAGCACATCGCCGTCATGTTCTTCGCCTTCTTGTTCTTCTTTTCTCTTTCTCCTCCTGGCTCTTCTTGTTCTTGTGCTCTCTGTTTTCTGCATGCCGGGCCCCCAATTGAAACATGTTTGCGACTGGTGCAGCATGCGACGTGCAGATTATGTCGCTGGAGGGGGGCATGGGGGGGCTTTGAAATTAATAGATGTGTGTGTGTGTGTGATATGGTGAATTCTGGACAATAAACTTTGAAGCAAATGCAAACAACTTGCACCAGAAACAGGCTCAATTGAAACTGAAATTCAGCTTTTTGAACTCTGACTTTCAGTCGCTTCCCGAGGTCTGCTAGCCTTCACGTTCAACTTTCTCCAAACTCTGACCTCTATCCAGCTGTTCCTCCTGAAGTGGGAATGCTTGACTTCCTGATTTAGAACTGATGATTTGGTTTGTTCCAGTAAACCGCGATTGT